CCAATATCAGTTAATGTTTTATTTTAGTAGTAATATTGCAAATTTAGTTGAAATTAAAAGCAATTAAAGTCACCCTTTGCTTTGACTGTGACATGGCAGGTTTGTCATTTTTACTTCAGAAATCAGCTTCTCAACATTCACACGTTCAGTGACTAGACTTGTTACAAATAGAGATGTGAAGATCAGTTTGTTTGTTTGGCTAAAAATCCCAAAAGGTGATATTCTGCCAACATTTTGTGTGTGCCGTGAGCCAGTCAGCCTGTCTGTGAGTTGTGTAATTTGATGCTGGTCCAGATGCTTCTTTAAAAATGTAAGATTTCAAGATTTTGTTAAACAAACGAACAGATTGGGGGAATATGGGGCCTCATTACAGGTATGTGCTGTGAGTGCTGTCTAGTTTTCAAAAAAGATGTTGGAGAAAGAGCAGAACATTTCACTATTGTAAAGGGACAGTTGAACACCTAGAGTTGAGTGCAATCTTGTTCCATTATATCGGAGAGAAGGCAGACATCTCTACAGACGATATCTCCAACACTCAGCAGCTCAAATGAAAATAAACTAGATAAATATTAGCCACTACAGGTAAGAGGAAGTATTTGTATTTTTGATTTGGTGGTGAACTGTCCCTTTTTAAGCAATGCAAGGAAGAGCAAAAATACATTTTAATGAATGCATCACACTTTTATTTGCACCTTCCCTGTCGTTCATTAGGTGTAAGCTCAGTCTGTGTGTGTGTGTGATTTCAGTGAGTGATGAACCAGAGGTGCCAGTTGACGGTGACAGCACATGTGATCCACCTGGCAGCACAGAAGACTCTGCAGTCGCCAAACCTCTGCCGCCCCCTGACGTGAAGACCCCCTTGTCCATGGACAGCCCCAGCAGAAGAGCCTCACGCAGCAGAATCAAGCTAGCCGCCAACTTCTCATTCACAGCAGGCCTCTGATCCTTTTCACATGCACACACACAAAGCAATACTAGTTCACACACAGTGTAACTCTAAACACAAGAGTTGACCGGCTACACTGAACACGCCACACAGACCTACACGAGCATTGATGTTGTCGCCTCTACATCCTGAACAGGCTGTTGCTTTCTTCTTGTCACTCATCGGCCTTTGTCGTTTTCTTTGTTTGCTGATTTCACAATCGGTGCGTGCTTCCGATGATGTTCATCAAGCTGATTTTCTTCTTGCAGATTTTCTGCAATCCTCTAAATTCTGTAACCTGTGTTTGATTTCACCTCAAGGGAAGTTAAATTATATTTGCATGCACATCTCAGTTCAGAGCCACATCGTGTCGAACACACGTTGGCTTATGAATGAAGAATGAGTTAGTTGTCACTGTATATAGATCCTTGGGTAATGGGAGAAATGCTAGGAGTGTGTTTTCTACATTAAATCTAAGAAATATAGTTACTCACATTCTCAGATTATGAATTTGACAAACAGAAGGCTATTGAGATGTTTTGTTTATGTGCTAAATTGAGAAACCTCCATGTGTACTTCTTGCTGTATCTCCATAGCAGAGCATTTAATTTATGACATTCTTACATTTTAAACTCCTTTTAAATTTTAGGAGATTTTGCTTTGTAGGTAACTGTAGACATGTCAAACAACTGGCCGCTAAGCACCTGCCCGTTTTGATTCTTTCAGTCTCTGGGTATTTCTAAAGAGGTAGCTTCTCTTTGAGGTATATTCTCATCTTTTGTCTCTGTTAAGTAGCCTCAGGACAGTATTTCAGTTCCTTTAAATTATGCAGAGTATTTAGTAGTCTGTGGAAAAGTTTGGCCTCAATGTTTGGTGTATTTGGTGGCAATTCAGTGATGGGTGTGAAAATTAGTGTTCAGATTGTGGCTTCAGTTACGGAAGCTAACAGTTTTGAACCGTTAAATCACGGATGGCAAGGTTTTGATTGATATTACGACAACCCTGCCTTCAGGAATTTTTTTATTCTTGTTGTACTTTGACTTTATTTATTAGAAAGACTTTGGCTCGTCTCACCCGGGCTACTAATGAAGGCCTAAGAGGGACAAAGGTGGCTCTCCAATACTCGGGCTGGATGTGTGCTCAGGCAGCAGGAACTGAGAGATGCTTTGTTCGGCTTTCGCCAGCAGCCGGTGTGTTTGTGTTGTTTTAGCTGTGTTTTGTCTGAACGTGGTTTACACTGGAGTAGGTGGTGTGAAATGTGCATGGTGTGCATAAATGAGTTTATGCAAGGTGTAAGCCCAGGAGGAGCAGACAGGAGCAGATTACAGTAAGACATTCTTTAAGATCAGGTCTTTTATTTGCACCGTGTTTTAGGGATCTTAGAGTTGACGTCACCCTCTCGCAGTTGCCACATAAATGCTCAAGGTTTTTTGAGTTAACCTTGTTGCTGGAGAGTGCTGCGTCTGCGGTGACGTCCACTGCCTGAGTTGAAGATTTGGAGGGGAGCAGTGAGCACTCCTGAGTTTTTGATTTTTAACGACGAGGTGATTGGTTGTGAGTTTTTAGGGGAAAGAGATGGGTCAGGAGGCTGTTTGTGGGGCACCACGGGGGCTCTGTGCAGCCTCCTGAACAGACTGACGTAGACACAGAGGACCCTCTGCGGCTCTCTGGAATCTGCCGGGCTTTTACAATGGCTTGTATTTGCCTCGGCGCCAAAGGAATCGCCATCGTTCTCTCCCCCCCCTTTCCCTCACATCTTTCATAGGAGTTTTTACTTACTAATGTGTTGGTTTGTCCATTTTCCTGTCTCAAGTGTTTACAAGACTGCTGGCTGCTGAATTGCCACCAAATACTGTTGGCTGCCATGAAGTTTAGCATGACCGAGGCGCCGCTGAAGTCTGAAGGTTGTTGTGTTGAGAGGAAAGGTTCAAAGAATGGGTAAGAGCCCATTTAATCAGTTTCTGTCTGGTTTCGGTGTTTACCTCTTCAGCCAGTGTTCATTTTCTTTGTTGGGCTTGATTTTGACTTGCTAGATTCCTCCTGCCAACTCATCAAATTGTCTGAAACGCCAATCAAAATGTTTTTAATTAGGGCTGTTAGAGTTCTGACTGTCTGTAAACCTCTGTGATAAAGAAATGAGCAGCTCAGTTAATGATTTAGAGTTGGTAATGATAGAAAGGAGCTGAAAATGCTCAGAAGGAATTGTCTAGATTTAACTTTGGCAGTAAGAATGTATTACTTTTTGTGACTCTGAGCAAAGCCTAGCTCTCCCCCTGCGTACCGCAGTGGCAACTAACTCAGAGGAATGAATTTAACTTCTGTGTTTAGCTTTCACTCTTTGTTTTAGTTACATCAGTGAGAAGCTACTGTGCCTGTCAAAATATGCACGTTTGCATAGTTTTGGTTCATGAAATGTGAAATGAGGCAGTGCACTGGGAGGGATTAAAAACATGTTTTTGCCTCGGTTCCTTTTTAACTCTGTCCGACCTTGTCTTGCTTATTCAGTCTTCACGTTGCACAAGTCTACACTTCAAGAAATTATTATTATTCAGCAGTGTCCTTAAATCTCCTGCCTTGTAATTATGATTTGTTTACCTGGTCAACAACTGTCTCACTGACGTGTCCTCTCTACACTCACCTCCCTCCCTCTGTCGCACTGTTTTACTGCCTCATCACACCAGAAGTCGCTCTAACAGTCTAAAGTGTTTGAAAGGACCAAAAGATTTCTGTTAATAAATTTCACAAGCATCAATTCTGCCTCGTCTCAATCAGTTTGTTTCAGAGAAATCAAATGACTCAATGAAGAATCACCCAGTGTTCCTGAAAGATGCCCTTTATTTAAACATGTATGTACAGGTAGTTTCAGCTTATTTTCTGCATATTTGTTCAATATTCAACATAAGGACCTTCATAAATTCACTACTACTACAGAACGCTAAGTTATCAGAAGGAGGGTAAAGTGACAGAGAGCAACACTTTGCTTGACAGGAGTCACTAATGTCCTAAATACACTCAAACATACACTGTCTATTGTAGGCATTTACAAGAGAGTTGCATTCATTTCATTTCCTGGTGTTTATCATAAAAACGCAAGACTAAATTCAGAGGATGCAAGTTGTTTGTCAGCAATATCCATAATAACTATGAATGATGTCATACTACCACGGTCAGTAATTCCCAGTAGCTGATGGCTGAGATGATGTTAGTATGAAGAGTATGTGGGAAATGAGCAAGCACAGTGGATCATTTAGAACAACACCCCACCATGTTGAATAAAATTATTTATAAAGGTCCAGTGTGTAGGATTCAGGAGGATATATCAGCAGAAATCTAATAAATATAATGCTTTCTTTAGTGTATAATCACCTGAAACTAATGATCGTATTTTCTATACTTCAGAAAGAACTGTTTATATCATGGATGTGTAAAGAGAACTGGATACAGGGGTGGAGGTGGGTCACTTTTAATTAATTGAAAGTTGGTCAGCATGAAGCTGAAACGTTTGACCTCTCATGTATAAAATTACCCACATCATCCGCATCATTGGGACCATAGACCCAGACGTTACATGGTTTGGTGTACTCTTGTGGGCCTGGTTTATATCTACATACGGAGCAGGTCCTCTTCTTCGGAGTCTGTATCCCAAACACTGGCTCTAGTGTTGTTGAATTCTTGCTTGGCACATAGCAAAAGTTTTAGTTGGTCTGCAACCGCAGATGCCACTAAATCCCAAACACTAGGCCCTAAAGTGTTGGCAGAAACGGGTTAAACAAAATAATGAAAGAGCTGTGAACCAGTGGAAACACAGCTACAGAACTGGGTCATATGAGGTTGCATGCTAGTAAGGATTAGCCACTACAGAGTGAAATGCAAATGTTGAAACGCACAGCTGATATGACCCAACTCTGTAGCAACTGTGTGAGTATTTTCTGTGTTTTGTTAACTTACAATGACCACCACAGATTTTTTTAAGGCTGCCAAAGCTCTAACGGCCCAGCATGGGATCAAGGGGGATATATTGGCAGAAATAGAATATAATATCCATCCATCCATCCATCCATTTTCATCCACTTATCTGGGTCTTAGGGGCAGCAGGCCAAGCACCCCAGACGTCCCTCTCCCCAGTGACGCTTTCCAGCTCCTCCTGGGGGAACCCACGACGTTCCCAGACCTCATGACCATAGGTGAGGGTTGGAACGTAGATGGACCAGTAAGCTTCAACTTCCGGCTCAGCTGCTTCTTCACAACAGTCCAGCACAGTGCCTGCATCACTGCAGACACTTCACCAAACCTCCCATCTCTCTCATGCTCCATTCTACCCTCACTCGTGAACAAGACCCTGAGATACTTGAACTCCCTCACTGGAGGCAGCCTCAGATTTGGAGGTGCCGACTCCCATCCCATTTCACACTGGGCTGCAAACTGCCCCAGTGCATGTTGGAGGTCACGCTGTGATGAAGCTAACAGAACTAATTTTTCATGACTGTATAATCACCTGAAACTAAGAGTTGTGTGTTTTTCATTACCTTGGAGTGAGCCACTTCTATACATATGGAGTGGGTCCTCATGGATGCTTTGAGAGAACTGGATACAGATCGGAGATGGGTCCTGTTATACCTATAAACGTTGCTCAGTGGGGCAGTAAGCCAAAAATGTTCTCTTGCGTCTCTTTTAGACTTTTCAAGTATTATCATGTCCAAATGGATCAAATTCTGATGATGAAATGAGTCATTTCACAGGGGCTGTGAAGCTCAAAAAAATGTATATATTGATTTACAGACGTTTCTTTCGCCTTGTAAGTTAATGGGAAAAAGTAATCCTGTGCCCAATGGCATCACATGACGGTGTAATTCTGTTTAGCCACTTCCTGGGAGCCTGGTTCTCTTCTGATAAGTTTCAGTTAGTTGCAGTCTGCAACCTGACCACTAGATGCCACTAAATCCGACACACTCAACCTTTAAATCCAGTACATTAGATATCACAGAATCACAGATAGAGAATTAAACTGATGTTGAGCCAATGCATGAAGTCAAAAATATTGCTCAGCTCCAATGCAAAAGCATCCACTTGCTGCCCTCCCTCAAACATTTATACCATTTTTTTATACCAATAACCATATTGTTCGTCTGGGCCACGTGTCCGTCCCACCTGGGAACAAAGATAAAAACTCCTGAAAGTAACAGAGGTTAACTGGTTGATGTTAAAGGGCTGAAATGGAAAAATAAATGCCCATTGTCAAACATGACGGGGTGATAATAGATGTTTTTTTTCCTGTCAGACAGAGAACCCCAGCATTTATTTACTTTCTAATCATTGTGCTTGTAGTTCCCTTTACTTCAAATACATATTCATCAAGATTTCCCACGTGCACTGATCAGGGATCAGCTCCCAAACTCCGGGCTGAAATCTTGAGGCTGAAACTTAATCTGTGATTCATTTGCAAACCTGATTCCTGAACAGTTTCAAGGGGAAACCACAGCTGACAAAGGTTCTCCGTCACAGGAAGAGATTTATGGCATGTCATGAGATTTGAGTGTGTTGTTTCTGACACAGGTCGTTAGGAGGTCTGTGTCAGTTACATGACGGCACACTGGGTGGCTCCGCAGCAATCCTTTATGATGGCCACTCCTGACTTGGTGATGGATGGTTTGTTGGGAGGCGGCTCTGGGATTTGTCTCTTGGGCTTTGGAGGATCTTAAATAGAGAGGAAAAAGAGAATCATGACACCGACAAAGTGAAAGGGAACACTAATCCTGCCTCACTCTGGCTGGGTTTTTTTTCCGCCCAGACATTGTCACTCACTTTGTGTGGCTTTGAGCTTCTTCTCCAGCGGCATCAGCTTCAGTCTGAGGAACTCAGCCATCTCCTTATCCTCCTCTCGCTCCCTGAGATTAAGATACAGTCACACAGTCAGCTGTTTGAATACAATGCAGTCGGTACAGATTTTTTTTTGGTTACTGGACAGCTTTATGAACCTGAACTACTGTTTGTGCCCCACAAAATGACCATTTATGTACCAGTTAATCACCACGTATTACTATTATTATTTTTTATTATTTTTATAATGCCTCCACAGTGAACGGAGAATCCAATAAAGGCTAACATTTTTCATTAATTAAGTGCTATATCGTAGGCATCTGGACTTGCTTGAGTTTCTTAAAGATGTTTCACCTCTCATCCAAGAGGCTTCTTCAGTTCTAACAGACTGGTGTGGAGTCACAGGCTTTAACCCCTGTGTGGGTGTGAACCCTTACAGAGTCGTTGAGGTCACATGTGAGTCGTTGACCTACCCGGCCATCATGTGTGTCGTTAGGGTTAGGTGGGTCCATGCTATCTGGGGAGGGATCTCAGGACTGTATTGTAAATGTGTGAGAAGTGGTGTCATAGGCCAACTCCTCTGTTGAACTAGGGGCATTCCAATTTGACGAAGATGGCTTCTTTCGCGCCTCTTTCAAACCATCTGTCTTCTCTGGCCAAGATGTGAACATTGCTGTCCTCAAAAGAGTGTCTTATCTCCTTTAGATGTAAGTGGACAGCTGAGTCTTGAATCGAGAAGCTGGCTCTCCTATAATGTGCCATGTGCTTGTGGAGTGGTTGTTTAGACCTATTGGCACACATTAAGGCCAGGTGGGTCAACGACTTACATGTGACCTCACCCCCACACAGGGGTTAAAGCCTGCGGCTCCGCACCGGTCTGTTAGAACTGAAGAAGCCTCTTGGATGAGAGGTGAAACGTCTTGATGAAACGTAAGCAAGTCCAGTTGCCTAGGATATAGCACTTAAGATTACCATGACCTGGATGACTAAGAATCTTTACCAACATTCTTCATCAATGGAAGTCATTGGGGACCACGTTTAACAACAGCAAAATCATATCCAAGGCAGCACGGTGATACAGTGGTTGGCATTGTCGCCTCACAGCAAGAGAGTTCCTGGTTCGAACCTGTTTGCATGTTATCCCTGTGTTAGGTTTTCTCCAGGTACTCCAGCTTCCTCCCACAGTCCAAAGACATGCAGGTTAATTGGTGACTCTAATTTGGCCATGGGCATGACTATGAGTGTGAATGGTTGTCTCTCTCTATGTGTCAGCCCTGTGATAGTCTGGCGACCTGTCCAGGGTGTACCCCGCATCTCGCCCAATGTCAGCTGGGATAGGCTCCAGCCCCTCTGAGACCCCCAACAGGACAAGCGGTTATGGAAAATGAATGAAACTATTTACAAACATCTGTTAACAAACTCTCACACAACTCCTGCAGTATAATCAAAGTCTCATTTATCCAGTCTTATGCTCAGAAACTCCCAAACACACATATTTTCACTAAAACTTTTCAGTATAAAACACTGCCAACAAGCAGCCTGCCTGAGCATATACAGTACAGGCCAAAAGTTTGGACACACCTTCTCATTCAATGCGTTTTCTTTATTTTCATGACTATTTACATTGTAGATTCTCACTGAAGGCATCAAAACTTTGAATGAACACATGTTAAACAACTGTTAAAATTCATATTATGGCAAGAACCAATCAGCTAACTAAAGAAAAACGAGTGGCCATCATTACTTTAAGAAATGAAGGTCAGTCAGGCCGGAAAATCGCAAAAACTTTAAATGTGTCCCCAAGTGGAGTCGCAAAAACCATCAAGCGCTACAACGAAACTGGCACACATGAGGACCGACCCAGGAAAGGAAGACCAAGAGTCACCTCTGCTTCTGAGGATAAGTTCATCCGAGTCACCAGCCTCAGAAATCGCAAGTTAACAGCAGCTCAGATCAGAGACCAGATGAATGCCACACAGAGTTCTAGCAGCAGACCCATCTCTAGAACAACTGTTAAGAGGAGACTGCGCCAATCAGGCCTTCATGGTCAAATAGCTGCTAGGAAACCACTGCTAAGGAGAGGCAACAAGCAGAAGAGATTTGTTTGGGCCAAGAAACACAAGGAATGGACATTAGACCAGTGGAAATCTGTGCTTTGGTCTGATGAGTCCAAATTTGAGATCTTTGGTTCCAACCGCCGTGTCTTTGTGAGACGCAGAAAAGGTGAACGGATGGATTCCACATGCCTGGTTCCCACTGTGAAGCATGGAGGAGGAGGTGTGATGGTGTGGGGGTGTTTTGCTGGTGACACTGTTGGGGATTTATTCAAAATTGAAGGCACACTGAACCAGCATGGCTACCACAGCATCCTGCAGCGACATGCCATCCCATCCGGTTTGCGTTTAGTTGGACGATCATTTATTTTTCAACAGGACAATGACCCCAAACACACCTCCAGGCTGTGTAAGGGCTATTTGACCAAGAAGGAGAGTGATGGAGTGCTGCGGCAGATGACCTGGCCTCCACAGTCACCGGACCTGAACCCAATCGAGATGGTTTGGGGTGAGCTGGACCGCAGAGTGAAGGCAAAGGGGCCAACAAGTGCTAAACACCTCTGGGAACTCCTTCAAGACTGTTGGAAAACCATTTCAGGTGACTACCTCTTGAAGCTCATGGAGAGAATGCCAAGAGTGTGCAAAGCAGTAATCAGAGCAAAGGGTGGCTATTTTGAAGAAACTAGAATATAAAACATGTTTTCAGTTATTTCACCTTTTTTTGTTAAGTACATAACTCCACATGTGTTCATTCATAGTTTTGATGCCTTCAGTGAGAATCTACAATGTAAATAGTCATGAAAATAAAGAAAACGCATTGAATGAGAAGGTGTGTCCAATCTTTTGGCCTGTACTGTATATGAGCTCATCTTGAGCAGGGTTCAAAAGCTTGTGTTCGCCCAGGCACGCCACTCTGCCGTGCATGACACTGTTTGTGCTGATGTGTTTTTTAAGCAAAAATCAAGCAGCAACCTCGGGGGTTGAAAAATGGAGCCAAAGCTTAAGTGCCAAAAACTGCAGTTCTTTGAACGGCCACTTGAGGTTGGCTCCAGAAGCCAGACGATCCCCATAGACCCCCATGTTAAAATGCCCTCTATAGCTAATTTCAACGTTCATGACAACTGTACAGGGAGTGACTTTTTATATAACTCACCTGTTTATATTTTATTAAGGCTTAAAGTTACACATATTTAGGATCAGGCTGCCATGAGTGACAGGTGTCACTACAGTCAATGAGTCAGATCCACCGCTTGCTTCTCCACAGCTCTGCTTTTTTGTCCAAATATGATCATTTCTGGCTCCAAAAACCAAGATAGTGACAGCCGAAATGTCAGACTCGAGGCTTCAAAACATGAGTCCACAAACCAGTGGGTGACATGAGGGTGACTACATCCATTATTATATACAGTCTATGGCAAAATGCATGTGTTTGGGAAGCACTGAGCATACGACTTGATAAATGAGATGTGGTGTGAGAGTTTGTAAACAGAACTTCAGCTAATTTAGCATTTAGCCATGCAGCCTCACAGAGCTGCTAGCCTAGCTTGTTCAAACTGTCAGTGACAGACTAACTCATTACAGTGATTAATTTAACCCATTACTAGAGCATGTCTAATAGTCCTCTTTTAAAATGAACCTTTGCAGTCGCTCAGAGAAACTTCACCATTTGCTCATCCAGTGTTTCCAAACCAGACTATGATTTTACATCATGATCACGTCTATCTGAAAGTTATCTCTGTGTCACACTCTGCGGGTTATCTGTGGGAGCAGAGGAGGAGGGAGCAGAAAATGATAATGCAGAGCCATGGTCATCAGTCAGCCTCCTCCACACACACACACACACACACAGCAGGCAGTACTGTGATGATGAAGTGACCCCATCCCCCGGCTTCAGTCACGCTCACATTACTCTAATGAGCCTCCTTCCCGCTGTTTCTCGAGGCTTCCTGTGTCTATCAAATGAAGAAACAAACAGTGGAAGCAGTTCAACCCAACACTGTCTGAGTAAACAAACAGTCGGTCACCACCCGCAGAGCCCGGATATTAACTGTGGCTGTATGTACCTTAATCTCTCCACCTCAGCATCGTCAACCAGGAAATCCCTCTTCTGCACCAGTTTATGAATCTTCAGGATCAGCTCTTCCTCCCGCTGCCTGTGCTTCTTGTTTTTTTCTTTCTCTGTGGGGTAAGGACACAGAAAATAAAAGTCACAAACAAATAAATAAATGGGTGACTACAGGGACAAGCAGACTGAACTGAAACCATGATGCTCCACTAATTCATCTCATAAAATATAAATGCAGGTTTTGTACATTTAGTCGCAACTGACCTTTACAAGCTGACCTTATAGCAGAGTCAGCTGGCTCTTAAACACTGAGTCACATCGCAAACAGACCCTTAATTCTCTCTTCATGTATAATGTATTACAAATAAGGCACTGACTTAATTATGCAAATGGAAGAGAGCTCTGTTTTTTGTTTTGTTTCACTTTGCAAAGGAATTTGCATTCAGAGTCAGAGATCTACGAACACATCCTCTTTGCTTTGTTTCACTTTCCTAACCTTCACACTCCACCGCACAGAGGAAGACACACATAAACAGACCTAACATAAAGTACACACACACACATGCGCAGACAGTTGCAGAGGCAGGTTGTCTGACACTGCCTGTATCCAGGCTAGGTGGGGAAAATGGGAAAATTGACTGCACACATCAGCTCTATCTCCCATCCGGAAACAAAGTGGAGCAGTGCAGCTACACTGTGTTTCCCCTGGGGGCAGAACAATCTGAGGGGCGCGTGGCTACAATGTATAAATCCCAATGTCAGAGGAGCCGGAGAAGCCGCGCGGTCTGTATGTCATGTGACTCTCATTGTGCTGGAATGGAGTTATGGGCTGCCAGAACCCATGGCAGCTGCAAACATGAGGCCCCGGTGGCTCATGGGAATGTCAGCAAGGGGCAGTTTTTATGTGCAGTTTGTGCGAGCAGTAATCCCATAAGCATAGGGGGTGGACAAAATAATAGGAATGCTTAACAGTATAATGCAATCCAATCAAAGCTGCAGCCACTGTTGAGGACGGAGACGTCACAACCTCTGGATTCTGTTGAAGGGAATTTGGTGGTTTTAAAGAAACACTCCCACACACTGTCTTACTTGCAAAAAATAATAATTTTAATGCATGAGCACGGTTATATGAGCCTCAAAACCAGCCACAACTCAGCCCTAAGCAGAGTGACTGTCTGCTACTGACCAGTCAACAGACTGCAGTGTTCACAGCTCCACCTTTTAGTACCAGATCTGTGTGCTAGTTACCCCAACAGAGGGGGGACCAAACATGGGGACGGTACTGAACGGTTCCATTGGTACCATCCACAACTTTTCACAGTGGAAATGGAAAAAATGACCTTAGTGTTTTTAAAATCCTGACTGCAGCCCTGTATCAAATCAACACAAATCAGGACATCAGACGTAACCACAGAGGTAAATCCACGTCTGGACAAGCGGATTAAGAAGGCAGGTTCAGTACTTGGCCGGATCTTGGATTCAGTGGGGACTGTGGTGGAGAGACGCACACAGAGCAAGGTGCAGGTCATCCTCGGGAACAAGACACCCTCTACACAACATCATGGCTGGACAGAGAAGCAGCTGCAGTGATCACCTTATTTCTTTGCGTTGGAATGCCTCAGGAGATCCTTTGTCCCCCTTTATTTATTTCAATTGGCACCTTATGTATTGTATCTATCTATCTATCTATCTATCTATCTATCTAGTGAGTCTAGTGGTTAAAAAAAGCCCTGTGATTGGCACGTCACTGGACACACATGTGCCTCTTAGCTGCGTATATGTGTGTGTTTGTGTGTGGCCTTGAACAGGACACTAGCCCCTCCTGCCCCCACACACTGTTGCCAGGCTCCCTGCATGCAGAGCTTCATGCATGAGTACTATGTGAGATGATGTCAGTGAGCCACTTCAGCTCGTTCCCGCTGCACTTCAGACACAAACAAAACTGGAGCTCACTTTGATTCTGTACTCCGCTCCACAGACACACCACAGAAACACCCAGGGAGTAAAAATGAGTGTTTACTGAAATTCATTTTGGACGCCATGCCTGGAAAGCTTCCCTCAGCTCACACTGCCTTCACACTGATGATGCATGTGTGTTTGTGTGTGTATGATTATCTCTCCCTCATAACTCCACCACGTCCCCGAGACTTACGATCAATCCTGCATAGTTTAGTGTAACGGCTCTCCCTATAAATCACCACGACACCCGCTGGGGTTATGGGACTCTTGCGAGCTGCAAACAGAAGCACTTTCTGCCAAAAAACTCTATTTTTGGTCGAGTCCAAACAGGAAGCGTGGACATTTTCGCACACAGAGGATCAATTTCAGAGGTTTCTTTCCTGAAATGCTTACAGATGGTTTTCTTTAGGAGCGTGTGTGTGTATGTGTGTGTGTGTGTGTGTGTGTGTGTGTGTGTGTGTGTTTGAGCCGTACCTGGTACTGCGACAATCTGTCTCAGCTCCTGCTTTAAGCTCATGATGTCTTTGCAGAGCTGAATGTCATCCATCCTAGAAGGAAAGGAGAAAGAAAACAGTAAACCACTGGCCTCCATCAGTTTGAGGGACAGCAGATATTATTAGCTGCTTCCACATCCACTTTGGACGTCTTTATCTGATTGGAATGATGTTGGGCAGAGTTGTGTTGTATCGTGGATCCGGGAGGAAAAACAGGCGTAGCTGCAACATCTGTGCGAAGGATTTGTACAGTGAAATCTGTCAGGCATGTCTTGATCGAGTGAAAAATTCACAGTTTCCAAAAGCTCAGAAATTCATCTTTTAAACTTGAATATTTCCACCCAACTTGGGCTGGGGAAAGTTATCATTTCATTTGTTATCTGTTATCATTTCCAGGCTTTCTCAAGAACCTGTCAATTATCACATCAGTAGCTCTGGTCCTTACGAACAAAACAATAGATCGCAACTTGGTTCTGACCCCTCCTAGCATGTTGTTATGGGGCAAATATGCACATCAGAGTTTGTTTGCGTCCCATTCTTCCTAAAGCTACAGAAGGTAACTTTTACAAAAGAACTTCTTGTCATATTTGCTGAAACTGTCACGACATCCACACATCATATGAGACAGATGGTGCTTCTTAAAGTCAAGGAGGGATTCTTAAACCTCTAAATTTCAATGAAGCTACGTCACTGAATCCCGCCGAAGGGCTGTTCCGTTGTCAAGGATCCTGTCAAGTACCCACAAATCTTTGTGCACAATTTGCCGGAATTAAAGACAGGGCCTCTTCAGTGATGCACACCTGAGCACTCGCCAGCCTGTTCTGATGTGGGTTCACTGAGTAATAGGAGAAAGCGTTTGAGAAGCACCAAGATAGTCTGTGATACTCTCCTCTTATTGATCAGATTCCTCAATCAGAATTGAGGAATCTCTAAAGCCTAGTTCAGACCAAGTATTCGCAATGAGACGAAACTGTTTTGAAATGTTGCAGAGAAAGGTTGCAGCACTGTGAACTCCTGTCACCTGCAACTCTGCTGGTCAAATCGTCAGTGGCTGGTTTTAGAACTTAAGGCTGCTCATCTGTTTCAACAGCCAATTGGCTTGCAGTGAAGTCCGCTGGTCAAGTCAAAATGACTACAGATGGCGTGCTCGCTTGCTGCGGCAGGTGCTCCATCCTCGCCAAGCCCTCTGCCCACTGCAGAGGTGTCCTGTCCAAGGCAGCCCTCACTCTCACTCTGACATCTCTCCATTTAATGCATGTATAGGTCCTGTTTGTGCATGTGTGTGTATTTCAGGTCTTTGTGTGCCGTCTTCTTCTTCGTCTTCTTCTCCTTCTTCTAAAATATTCTAAGATCTGTCTGAGGTTTTACAGGAGTGACTCACTCCAGATCAGGTCTGGCGGCGTTTGGAGTGAAAGCAGTTATGACAGAACTGTCAAATAACCAAAATAATATGACACGCTTTGTGACATTGTTGGCTCAAACATTGCATTTGTTAAACTGGAAACAGAAAACCCTACAGCCCACTAAACTTTGTTAAAAGATGTGATGAAACATAATTAGAGATTAGTTTTCACTGACAGGAAAGGTGGCAACATTTTGTAGATTATTTCAATAAGATAAACCCATGACCGGTAATCACAAAGATGGTGTCATCTACAATAATATCTGTGACATCCAGAATATATGTGACTGTATTTTAAAGGAAAAACACAAAAAATAAACAGTTAAAAAGAAAATGTGCAAATATTTGAAAATAAAGGACTAATAGTTACAAGACTTTGAGAGGCTGATAAAAAGAAGTAGGACAAAAGCACTGTTGTTAGCTTTGGACTAAAAGAGTAAATCTAATATTAATCCTGCAGTATAAAACCAAAAATATTGAATTCAACATTAATATAAATCAGAGAAATTATCAAACCCTCCCATTTGCACAACCAAAATCGAATACTTGGCATGTTTGCTTTATTTATAACTGAAACGATTAATCATCTATTCTGTCGATTGAATAATTGATTAGTCGGCAGATCATTTCGGCACTAATCTCTGCTGCTGTACTGTAAAATCCACTTTTGTACTTGTCATTAAGACATCACAGCCTCAGGCTCCAATGTGTCACACATCAGTGGAGAGTGTGCAGATGGAAACATGCAACATAAATCAATCCTCGCTGCTCTCGGAGCTCTCTGAGCCCCTGCAGCCCTGACGTCTCACCCTCCGGCCTCCACATCTCCCCCTCTTCTCCCCTAAATCCCCGCCTCCTTCTCTTCCTCTCTGTCTGCGGAGCTGTGACAGCTACCACAGGTTTAATTCTGTCTGTGAAAGATCAGGCTGATGACTCATCCACAGCCCCCCGCCCTCCTCTTCCTTCTGCATTTATCCCTGTTGCTCTGTTTCACACCTCCCTCTTCTCTTTCTCCCCTTCTTGACCCCTCCCTTCAGCTTCTTTCTCCTCCTCTTTCTCTGTTCTTCTCCCTTTTTCTGCCTCATGTTTCACTCCTATAGTGCTTTCTGTGGATTCCAGCAGCTTCTGCACTCTGACACTCCATCTGCTACTTGGGCGTATGCATGTGTGTATATGTGTGTGTGTGTGTGTTTATGTGGCGTCTTGAGCCACACGGAGGCTGACAACAGAGACGTAAGCAATAAGCAGCGTGGCGGCCTAATGAAGCCTTTCAAGTGGGCGTGTGAATTAACATTACCCACTGAGTGAGCTCTCTGAGATGTGTATCAGCATCATCCGACACCTCAGCCATCGCGGCTGCACATGTTAGAGGAGTAATGACCCACAAAATAACACTGTTCTGTTACAGCGCTGAGACAATGTGATGCACTTTCAGCACATACAAATAAACAGTGCCCAACACTGTGGCTCATATTTTCACTGTCAATTCAATTTTGTGAAGGTGCAATATTAGAGACACTTCATGATAATGTAATGCAGTTTTTTTTCCTGGTTCACTGAAAGTGGAATTTGACAAGCAAAACAAAAAATGGTGACAAAACAAGTTCAACAACAAAACTGCTTTGTTTGTTTTATCGCATGTAGTAGGAGTGTGAAATCCTCCATCACAGAGTAGGTCATTTTATATTACAATATCAGTATATTGTGACATGTAGTCAAAGTTAAAAAATCAAACTGAGAAACTCCAATATTGTTATGCCAAAATTAATTTTCTATTGTACGACTGTTTGTCCCTGTGTTGTGTGAGGTACGTTGTTCACTGTTTGTCTGCTGTTGCTTGTTTGTTTTTCTGTTTTTGTGATGATGGAGTGAAGCTGTTTGTTTGTGTATCAGTTGTGTAGGATGTAATCACCACCTGCTCTCACTGAACTCTACTTCTAAATGCAAACAAGTGGAAAAAAAGATGAATAATCAGTATTTGAATCAGCATTAAAAATGAGAAAAAAGAGAAAGAAATATAAATGTATATATATTAATTTACATAGTCTCCAGTCGTACTGTTGAGCCCTACATGTAGTCTACTGTGAGACTGTATTAAAAGGCTGCAATGACTAGTTGATCGACTAGGAGAAATAAGTTACAATTGTTAATTATTTTAGTAACTTTTTAAGCAAAAATGCAAAAAATGTAATAGTTTTAGCTTCTGAAATGTCCAAATGTGCTGCTATGACTTGTTTTACAGTGAAGTAAACTAAATATTTTGGGATTTGGGTGTGTATTTGTCAGTGAATTCTGCAGCCTGTTTCACATTATCTGACAGTGCACTTAAAGGGATAGTTCAGATTTTTGCAGTGGGGTTGTATGAGGTACTTATCCATAGTCAGTTATTATATATAGTAGATGGTGACTGGCACACGGCAAGTTTGGAGAAGCAGAAAGGAGTGCTGCCAAACGTATTTTAGCCACGTAAAGAAAATAAAAGATAGCATAAGTTTATGCTATATTGCGAGTATTTTCACCACTTTACGTTTCCGTCAGACAGCCCATTTATACAGGGAAGCTGTAACAGTAACTTTGATAGCTGAACACGGGCGCTGCTGGCCTACTGCCACCTCGGTCAGTTAGATAGTTTGTGTTATTCTCTGACTTTGGTGAATCTGCACAAAAACTTTTAAACACCAAAGTCACACAAAATCACAAACAATATAATTAGGGCTGTCAAAATAACACGTTCATTTCAATAAATTAATCACAGAAAAGATAACGTGTTTTAAAAAAATGCTGATTAATCGCGTTCCGTGGTGCCCTTTGACATGGTGCGTTAGCTTTCTTACATGATGGAGGTGACACTGCTTAGCCCCATAATGGCACATTTGCATTTCAAAAAAACCTAGATGGAACTGTTGATAGGAGCACTGAAATCTCTGCAGTAAGGAATTTCCGAACCAGCAGAGAACTTCAAGCCTAAGAATCCCCTCAACGCAAAGCATTTAACGATGAACCCGGAGGTCCGAGCTAACACGGCCTCTGATGCTAGCGTTAGCATTCAGCCTCGCAAGCCACACTCGACCAGGTGTTCAAACTGAGTAAGTCTACCTGTGACTGAACAACTGCCTTACAAAATGGATTGCGGTGGACTGCAGACTAGTTTTGGTGATCGGACAATTGTGTCCAATCCAGCAGCTTTACTATGACACATCTGCCAAAGTTAATTTGAATTGAAATTTCTTAAATACTATCACAGCAAAAGTTGCTTGACAGCCCTTTAAATAACTGATGGAGGCAGCAGTAGACCAGCAGCTCCTGTGTTTAGCAATGTTAAATTGCTGTTTTTCTCAATGGAGTCTGGCTTTATTTATTTATTTGGATCCTCATTAACCTCAACCATGGTAGCAACCACTCTTCCTGGGGTACACACAAGTAATCATGACATCATAACGTACAACAAATACATAAAAAAAAATCAAAGGCAAAACAACAACAACAAAACAGGAAAAGTACAAAAACAATAATCAAGAGAGCAACATAAGCTTCAGTTCCCTGTTGGAAATCACTGTCTGACTGTAAGGTAAAGCAGTGAAAATACTCTCATTAGTTAACACACTGACTATGGATAACTGCCTCATACAACCCCACTTCATAAAATCCAAACTGTCATTTTACTGTAGTGACAAGACCTTGAGACAGCAGATTTGTATTGTACAAAATGTACTGCTGCAGTGTGATCTCAGTATTTGTCTGATCATGTTGTCATTCTCCACAGAAAGCGCAGACACAACATCCCTATGATAAACGCAGAGAGGGTTCAGACAGAGAGGAAATAAATACAGGATGCCATAATACTTGAAGCTGATGCTGATGACGAGCCACTGAGTTCATCATGGTGACTCATCCAGCTGCTATTGGCATGTCCAACCCTCTGCATAATCAATGGACAAATGCTGCCTCTCTCAGTATCGAGCAGCCTTAAAAGAGCCAACTTATGTCACAAGGAGAAAACACTTAAGCGTCTCTGCAGCGTGTCATGAGAGTGCCAACACAGAAAAACCTTATTATCCACTCAAGGACAGCCATAGGAGTTGCTTTTTACACTGTATCGATTCAATCTCTGTCACACTCTATTACATCCGGTGTTACAAAAGCACAAAAAAAATGACAGTTCAGCAACTCACATGAAGCGCAGCTCGGACTCTCGGCGTACCAGGACCTCTCGCAGGCGCTGGATACGAGCCATCTCCACCTCGATCTCTTCTGGAGCCATGGTGCTCTCTGCCATGGACACGTCTGAATGACCTGGGAGGCAGAGGGAGGAAAGGTAGGAATAAAAAAGGTAGTAGACTTTAAAGGCAGGGGAGGACAGAAGAATGAAACCCTCAACGTCCTTATAGTGATAACGTCTTTTCCACAAGGACAGCTCTGCTTTAGACACAGGGCTAAAAACCAGATATCATATTTTTGACCAAATACCTCAACATTGAAACTGACAGTGATATTTTATGGTAGACTTCTGGTGCTTTCCAACTCATTCTCATCCAAGCTCATAAAATATCGACACTTTATCACGTTCCTTAGCATGTGATACCGACACCGAAGGCACCCTTCGGTGTCTCTCTGTGACACATCCCTTAGCATCTGTATGTGACGCACAGTTGTCTCCTGGATGAAACACACTGTAACATGGTTAACACTGTCAAATGGTCGTGGTTAGGTTGAGGCAACAAAACGGAGTTGGTTAGGTGCGAAAAAACATCATGTTTTGGGTTCAAATAAGTTCGTAACGTGACGCAAATTTGCACAGTATGTGATAGACCTAAGTTAAATAACGTTGGTTTAAAAAAAAAAAGCATTGATTTTTGGTTCCACACAGGACACAAACAGCTGAATCCTGGGTGAAAATCTCTGTTTGTTGGACCCATCCGCCACCCCTCGCCTCCACCCTACATGGAGTTTCTCGTTCTTTTGTAGGGTTGTCCTGAATACCATCTTAGGAGCTTCGAAGCTTCATCAATAAGTACCCATGAATATTCAAAGCTCTGACAGGACGCAACTGAACCTGGGGGCAACAGGGGGGGTAAAACTAATCAACCACTTGCACTCGAGCTGACATTATTGGGGCTTACCGCTGCTGCGTGTGAGAGAGAGGGAAGAAAAGGTGGAAGGTGGACTATTGCAAGCAGTGTCTCTGTAAGTTATTAATAACACGGAATACCAGGGGTCAGGCCCAGATGCAAAGCAGGTGCTTAACTACAGTTGGCAACCATGGAAAACTGTCTTGTCTCACGTGTTCCTTTTCCTCGTCAGACTGCCAATTCAGTACTTGAAGCTGGAGCTGTTGACTGCACGGAGAACACTAGTCGTATTTGTGCCTGACACTTGCCACCTTTCAGTTTCCTCCACAATTTTAGAAGTAAAAAAACAAACAAAAATCGAAGCATTCAAATACTGATTTGGACATTGATCAATATGGCAACAATTGAAGCTTCAAAGGACTGGGTCAGCCCTACTACTTATACCATGTCAAGTGCTCTAAGTGTCAGTACTGTCAACGATTTCTTCAAAGCCCGGTACGTCTCATAGAGGTGCCAATGGGTGCCTCCTGCGTCAGTATCACTCAGCGAGGGACGTGACAAAACCTTCTAACAGGCTTTCACAAAGTATTTACATTGTTCATAATTAATCATCAGTGACGTAGATGATGACTAAGTAAGTAAAGACATATAACCTTTGACGGTGCTTCCGAGTTTGAAGATTATTTTCTGGTTTAAATTACAAAGAGAAAACTCCTGGTTACATGTTAATCGTGTATTTGTTTTCCTTCAATTTCATGTGAGAAATACACTCACGAGTTTGTCCTAATTTCTGTCTTTTTAATCCTTAAAAAACTTTCTCACAGTGTCAGCGTCTTGGCAGACACATCTCTCACCCCGTCTCCCTGTGACGTGTCATCTCACATCAGCCAAGAACATGATATTTGGATAGAAAGCAGCATGTCTAATTGAGAGGGGTGATTTGCGTCTCAGAGTCACAGCAGTGTCTCAGGCACAAATGACTGCTTTCCATTAAAAGTCTTCAGTCACTGATGATGTGAAGATGTGTGTGACATGAGGACAAGCAGGACTTAAGCATGCGAAACAGGCACTTTGAGATCTTTTTCAAAAGAGGAAGGTTGTTAAAGAAGAAAAAAAAAACGTCTTCACACTGACATGGATCAATGAGCAGCTGTGGCTTATTGCTGATTGGGTTATTCCTCCCTGACCTGGATGACTGACCTCACACTCTCCATCACTGACTACACTGACCAAACACTTATTGCACTGATCAATACACTGACCACTGCAAATGACTTTACCAGCACCTGAAAACATACAAGAAACAGTATGGATCTTAATTTGCTGACACAAATATATTCCATGGCTGTTAAACTGAAGGAGCTGATTGTGTATTAGCGTGTTGTCCTGGTTTCCTTCTCCTTCTCTTTCATGTCATCAAGTGTTCTTCCTCCAAATATCGCCATCTGTCTCCACTGCAAATAATTAAAGGAGAATTCCCCCAGTGTTACACATGAAGATCAGTTAACTCATCTTCACTAGCAAGGACCACACCACAATGATATGCAGTTTAGAGATTTAATAAGGATGTGATTGTCAGAAAATGGTTATGAATGGGGGAGTGCAGATTGCAGGTGAATGAACGGGATGGAGATGACGTCATCGGAGGGTCGGACTGGGTGAGGTGTAGATGTGGGCGGAGAGACTCAGTGTGGGGGTTCCGTCTCGAGTTCTGATGAGCCCATGCTGTTTAGGAAGCCCCCAGTCGATGCCTAGAATGAGATGAGGAGAGGTACGCAGCAGATTGACAAGAGAGAGGAACAGAAGGGGAGGGAGGGTGGGTTCGAGAGATCTGAGAGGCCTGTGGTAGAGCTGTGCTGGTATATATATGTTAGTCAGGTGATTAGAGGAGTGGTTGAGGCGTGGTCCTGCTCCTGAACCTAGGTTAAACAATTAACTCCATATGAGGAGCATTACTCAGCTCAGTGAGAACAGCTGTGTCATGTCCTCTGTGGCTTTGGAAGGAGCTATGTCAAGTTTCAGGAAAATTACCCAGATGATGCTGAAGTGACATCATCATGGCTATCTTAGTTTCATCTTCACACTTCAGACTTTTAACAGAAAACTTGTGTTAAAAACTGGGGGTATGGAATTTGAAAGACATGGACATTAACCAAGCAGCAACCTCCGGGGCTAGAAAATGAAGCTAATGCTGAAGTGCCTACTGTACGGGGGTGATTTTTTTTCAGAACTCAACCATTTACATTTCATTAAGGCTTAAAGTTTTGCATATTTAAGGGTGGCTGGGCTCAACCTTAGAGATAGGGTAAGGGGCTTGGACATCCAGAGGGAGCTTGAAGTGGAGCTGCTCCTTCACTTCTAGAGGGGTCAGTTGAGGTGGTTTGGGCATCTGATCAGGATGCCTCCTGGGCAGAATACGCAGAGGGATTACATATCTCGTCTGGCCTGAGAACGCCTTGGGGTCCCCCAGGAGGAGCTGGAAAGCGTTTCTGGGGAGAGGGATGTCTGGGGTGCTTTGCTCAGCCTGCTGCTGCCGCAACTCTGCTTCGAATAAGCAGTTGAAAATGGATGGATAAGGGCGTGGCCACTTTGGGTGACGGAGGTGACTTCCACTGTCAAGTTGCTACCACTGCTACAATGTTGGTAAAGCAACATAACTATGGAAGATCCCCAGATTCACAGAGTACAGGCATAGCCGTAACTGTTGTTATTTTAGTGTGTTCTCAGTTCATGAAAGTTAAATGCAATGATTGGGTCACCTAAAAAGTGTTTGATGTACTAAAAGACACTCTAAGGAGTCTAATGTCCAAGCCTGGTTTTAACTAAAGTAAATTAGCATTTTCACAGTTAACCATAGCCTGTAAATGCACCATGCTAACCAAGCTAGCATTTATACTTGTCTGGTGGTGTGTCCGTGTCACTGCAGTTACACCTCTAAAACACTAGTCGGCAGCGGAGGTTACTGTGAAATACTGTACAGTTTTGTCGAATCAAAACACACATTAAACATGGCTTAATAGAGACAATTTCAAACACAAGTACACAAATCAGCTTCACTATAACTCGCAGCATTCACAGACAAACACTTGTCTTTATCTGGACACATTTTCCCCACAAATACAACATGCTAATGTTATTAGCACAAGCCTATGGCATTTTACATTGTATAAATTAGCCTAGCAGCTAGCAATCTTTTCATCTTCTCATATAAAACCAGGGACAACAGCAACATTTAACAAAAGTAAAGGTACATATTTTTGCTCTATTTTTGTCTAGGCTTTACTGTCTACACAATTTATTGTTTCTTATCTCTGAGATAAAAGTAAATAAAAGCTTTGTTTCCACTGAGGGAAATGGTTTCAGCTTACACGAGTAGACAGGAGTACTGCGTCATCGTGACGTGTAGTTACATTTCTGGGGAGGTGCACGTCAGACTACAGGTCATCTCGACCCTCTTGTCCCAATATGGTCACTTCTTGCTCTAAAACCGAGATGGTGGCAACCAAAATGATGAACTCAAGGCATCAGAACTGAAGCCTACAAACCAGTGGGCGATGTCACGAAGGCTACGTCTATTATATTAAACAGTCTATGACATTTACCAGGCAGGCAGGGTCTAATTGAAGACAAGTTGCATTATTAGAAGTGTAGGATGCAGGGTTATTGGTGTGACCCATACTAGAGGCTAGGTCTGGATATCTCAGCCTTTGCTGCTTAAATTTTGCCCTTTTTCAAGCTATTGTGGAGATGTAACACTCAATCATTGGAGCATCTCTTAAAAAAAGTATCATATAATACTTCAACATAATGATATGACCAGCATTCACCTGTCAGACTACATTTCACATCTCTGCAGGCCTGAGACATGAACAGTTATCTATCTTTCACTTCTGTGCAGAACATGAATATTTCACAGAGACAGTAAATGTACTGCAGTGAGACTGGATCCTGAACATGAAGCTGACACTGATACCTGCTATCAGTGTCTTCCTAAAACAGCAGGACTGCAAGTAGCAATTATTTTCATTAGTGATTAATTTGCTTTGTGTTTAACTGATGGAATGTTTGGTCTGTAATGTTAGAAAGAGTGAATAGTTTCCCAGAGTCTAAGTTGATGTCATTAAATGCTGTTTTTCATCCCACCAACTGCCAAAACCCAACATATTTAGTTTATAATCATAAAGGTTATGGAAACCAGCAAATATTTACATTTGAGAAGCTTGAACCAGAGATTTTTTTGCCATTTTTGCTTATTTTATCATTAATATCCATATAGGCTAGACATGCACCTGTCCGTATGGATATTAATCCTCCTGTCCATACTGGCTGTAACGCCATCCCTTACTGACACGACCACAATGCCAAAGCTGATAGGTCTTTGTGCACCTGAATAAACAAACTATTTGCATCTTTAATCCGGAGCTATCAAATGTGACGCATGACATTTATCCACAGTGTGTCTTCTAACATTAGAAGACTGTACCAGCTCTCCGTCCTCCTGCAGCAACATGAACTGCAGTCTGCGTTTGTGGTACTTTTCATGAGGATGGAGCTGACTCACCACAGCAGACAGAAGTCTGCACAGGAGGGCCCTGGTTTGTTTGTGCCACGTTGATGTTGAATCATCGCCCGACGTGTCTGCTGACAAAAGACTCTGACGCCAAAATCAAACTTCATATCATGGAACTGCAGCACGATACAAAATACAGCAGGAGCTAAAGATGTTTTTGTTTTTTCATCTTTTCTGTGTCCCCTTTCTGTCTTGTTTTTCTTTGCACACTCCAGCCACGTGCTAACCATCAATAACACCAAGCTGCATTAAGTCCTGACTGGTGGCAAAGTGCCAGCTCAATAATGTTTTAACAGCACCCTCTCATTTGAACAGGCCGCTCACACACACTCAGCATTAAAGACATTACGAGGAACCAACACCTTTGATATGTTATAATTAAAAGCTGCATATCCACCAGGGGACAGGTGAGGTTATCTGAAGTTATAGGCAACCCTGCTCCTCACATCACCTGCAGACGTGAGCCAGTCTCCTCACACACATAATTAATCAGCTTTGTTTCATTAAAACAAACTGGATCATCAGTGTACATCAGGATTAGGACTTAATGAGGAATAAACAGCCTGGATCGTGCACAGTGCAGCGGCCACATGGGGCTCGACAACAGGGAAATGTCAGCATCTGTGTGACATCCAATGCAGACGCCCCTGACACATCCTGCAGTCACACTGTATATATACACACTGCTGTTGCCTCTGGACTCACTCCTCGAAATAAAGGAGCACAAAATAGAAAATGCAAGGTAAACACAGGCAGTTTTTGAGAGAAGAGATAAACCTGGGGAGGCGTAGCTCTGCTTTACCTCTGTCTTGTTTTCTGACTGTGTGTTTGTGTTAGACAGAGAGAGAGAGAGAAAGAGAGAGAGAGAGCAATGGCTGGTTCTGTGTCTAAAAATATCCACTGCATTTTTTCCTTCTTCTCTGACTTCATCTGGAAGTTTCTTCACACCCTACTCTCCTGTGATTTGTTATCGTCAGTGGAACCAACCAGGACGGACGCGTCTTAAAGCACGTTATCACATTGTTGCCTCTGCTGTCAGCACATGCGTCATCCATCATCGCCCGTCATCACTTGGGATTAGATAGCGGGACAAAATAACAGAAACATCTGACACAACAGCTCTGCAGCTAATGATGTTTATTCTTGTCCAAACTGTGTTTGTGCAGCTTTATGGTCACTTTTGAAGCTGCAGTTTGTTTAGAGCTGACTAAACAAGTCAACTGACAGGAAATTAATTGATAGTTATTGTCATGCGTCAGCATAATGCAAAATATTCTCTGATTTTAAGCTTCTCGGAAGTGACAATATGCTGCTTTTCTCTGTTTATATCACTGTAAACTGAATATGTTTTGGTTTGTTTAAAACAAGCAATTCACAGACGTCACACTGGACTTTGGCATACTGTAACAGGACCTTTTTTATAGTATTTCTAATGTTTTACAGACCAAATGAGAATCAGTTATCAGGGAAATAATCATTAATTGCAGCCATGACTGACAAATAAAAGAGATGCAGGACTAAATAATAGAAACAGGGTTTTCAGTAGCTCTCACAATGTTCAAGAAACTGTGTTTGTATAGCTTGTACAGTCATTTTTATATCTGTAGTGTGTGGTGATGTACTGTGTCACTAGAAGTTATTATCATGATTGTGCAGAAACTGTTATTTTAGTGTTCATCCCCTGTACAATTCAACAAAACATGACCCAAAGAAACCAAGATAAATAAAAATAAAAATAAAAATAAAATAAATAAATAATTACAAGAAATTACCTGAAAATTAGCAATAACAAAATAAAAACAAAAATTAAAAACAAAAAAAGCAAGGAAATTATTTTTTAAAAAGTGCTAAAAAAATAATTAAATAAATTAAGTAAAAATGTCAAAATTTTCAAACTAATTTTCAGGTTATTTCCTTGTCATCTTTTCCTTATTTCTTGCAATATGTGGGACATTTCTTGCCAAACTGCTCACTGCCCTTTCCCCTGTGTTATCAAAAATAAATCAAACCAATTTGCTCAGGTTTCAAAGGTTTACATGCTTGTGAAAGGCGTCTTAATGCAGCACAAGAGAACTGATGTTGACTCAGGTTTCAAAGGGTTAAAAATAATCACTAAAGTGAGGAAAATAGGCATTTGCCTTAAACTCAAATATGCTTGTAAATGTAAAATCCAGAGTAGCTTTATAGGCTGTATTGGTGAGAGCAGAGGACCGTGGTATTGATTAACAGCTGCTTCATTCTGCATCAGACTGAATCAAATGTGCACAAGTTTCAAAAATGCGCCGGGCTTGCTGTATCTGTGGTGTACCCCCCTTTTGGCCCAAATTCATTCACAAACCCCGCAACACCCATAGTGTGCATGAAGGGGCATTAATAGGCCCTATAGCACCGAGGCAGCGCTATTGATAGCTACATCCCAAACCTTTGTGAGTCATGTATTAACCATTTCAGTGCTAAGTGCTGTTTGTGTTTTCTCAGAGTGCAACATATGCTGCAAAACCCAACACGTTAACCTGCTATATCTGAGCAGCAGGCGGTGAAACATCATCTTATTTTAATACATGACGCTCACCTTTGTCTGTTGTCCATGCCGTCTCCGACACGGCGCCGTAGCTCCTGAGCGCGCGCTCGGTGTCCGAAATAGATTTCTTCAGTTCCATGTCGGTGGAAGTGCCCGCCCGAAACCTGGATAGTCTTTCTGCTAAATCTACACAGCTCCTGTGTGTGTGCGCGTCCCTCCTGATAACTCAGTTTCACCCGGTGACAAGGCTCCAGCGACCCGAGACGTTGAGCATCTTTATTCAAGCTTTCAAGTCCCTCGACGTGTGGATGGAGGAGAGGATGCAGGGAGCATGCGCAGTGCAGGCAGGGATGTGAAAGCTTAGGAGACACCCACTGGCACCGAGATGACGGTAAAAATAAAACAATAGGCACACAGTTGCAATGAAGTTTTTACTGTCAGCCTGTTCGAGGGTTTGTTTTTAGAATGCCAGAGCTCTGTCTGGAAATATTTCAGGTATTTATTAATAATAAAGCGATGTGGAAGCTGCAGGAGGTAATGGCTCTTTAAGCGTTTTGTCTCTGAAGTGCACTTCTTGGCAGGCTGAAATATCTACCAAATGACAAGTGGCAGATGTTTCCACATAAGGGGGTCTAGCTGCATATGGCAAAATTAGTCGAATCTGCATGAGCAGCCTGTTCCAAATTTAGAAACATCTTTATTAAAAGGTGCCTAAAGCTTCATTTTTGAAGCCTTAGAAGCAGAGAGAGATAAAACAGAGTGGAAACAGGCTGCAGAAAAAAGAGCCATGCAGCAGCAGGCAGGCCTTTCAAAGAACAAGTTGTGCTCAATATATTCCCACAAGAGACGGAGACAGAGCTGCAGTTGCGTCTAAACTGTGAGTAATACAGAGGAATACTCCTGTCTGAACACACGCCTGAAAAAAAAACCCTCTGATAATACAACACGTGATATTTCAGATCAACTGTGAGCACACGAAAATCAAATCTAGGTTCAAGTGTGTGACCCCCGATCAGTAACACTGATTTATCTTATGTTGCAAATGATCAGTAAACACACAGTGAGTCAAAGGGATTATTTCAGTTTATTCAACAATATTTATCTCTACCTCAATCAGTGCAACTTTTGTGCAAAATGTGATCAAATCAAATTTTTAAATACATTACAGTCAACAGCACTGATCAAACTGTAGTTCTTTGTGATATCCAGGGCCAGCTCCTGACTTTTGAGGACCCAGCAGGATTTTGTTTGGGGGATCCTCTGATTGTGGCACCTCACGTGGCACTGAACCAACTTGTGTAATGCAAATATTAGTTTAAGCAAACATAATGTACAAATACGCAGCAACACTTCCTTTAAATAGACTACAGTAAATACAGCATTTGTCTATTACACTCAAATCCTGTGAATGGTCCTTGAAATCAACCTCTAAATATAATTTATTTAACTTAAATCCTGGGCTGCGGTGCTGGTAAACTGTCAAAGAACAGCTTGTGAAGGTATTTATTGCAGTTTGTGTTGACTTTCTTTCTTGTCTTGTCTTTTACTTAAATGTAATACAGCTGCAAAATGGGATTTTTTTGCAACAGAATCCCAGGAATGCTTGTTTTTGTAGGGGACAGTAAATTACTTGCTTAGCCTACTTAAAGTGTGCATTACTTCATCTCTGAGCTTATTGTTCTGTCTCTATTTTTGGCAAATATGGCACAAATTGTTGCCAGTTTTTGTCTAGGAAGCTACATTTTTCGTCTCTTCTTCTTTCATAAAATCTTCTCTGTAGGACAACATCAAAACCGACCAAAACACAGAGACAGAAATGTCAGACTGTGCTAAAGCAGTGTACAAATCTCAGAATAAATACATGGCTAATTAGAAACAAACACTCAACAGTAATAAGTTATTATTGTAAGTAAATTAACTTATAATGCGTGATCATACTTTGATGTCTGATAAAAGGGATCAAACAGCTGCAGTGATTACATCGTTTTTCTGCACCTCAATTTAAACACTAATCCTGTGAGATAGATCACATAATACAATCACACAGCGTCTCTTGCATATGCTACTTCAAAATGCATTATTGGAGACTCCATTTTAGACTCCATCACATCAGCCCAAAAAAAGACATCTCTCTGTGACACCAGGAATTTCAATGATGCTTGGAAACACAAATGAATCAACTGTTGTTTCCTTTGTTAATTACCTGCCTGAGACAAAAGAGCGAACCTTTTTTTAAAACTCTATATATAGGAATAACAGTCAGCTCTTGTACTGAGCTATATATAAAAATTACCTCTATAGAAACTGTGCGGAGGCTTCTGATGTCAAGAACCACTGCAGGCAAGGAGACTTATAAAGTTACATTTTCACAAAGAGGTAAAGTTTTAAAAAAATTGGGAAATGATGCAAAGAGACATAACAGAGAGCACTCCACAGTATCACATTAACATAAAGTACGACAACAGGCAGGCAGCATTTCCACATTCAAGTAAATGGATGTCTGAGACGACCTTCGTTAGTCATTAATGGACTCAAAGACTTCTTCAGTAGTATCTCATTGCCACAATATGCAGACATAAAGGGATAATGGTTGGAAATGTGGAAATCTAAAGTGTGTTTCCAGATATGTTTTTGTTGTTTCATGCATAAAGTACCTACCTATAAATCAATAACAAACAGATATGCTCTATTATACAACAGAGTATTGGTACCTGTGTGCATGTGTATCTAGCACGTCTTGTACCAGAGTGTAAACTGTAACCAAAGCAGACAGTCCTTAGAGATCAGGCACTCTGTTGCAGTTACAGATAACAGTGGAAGCACTAAAAATAAACAGAGTGATATGAAAAGGTCCAGTGTGTAGGATTTATGGGCATCTGCGGGCAGAAATGAAATATAATATTCATAACTATGTTTTCATTAGTGTATAATCACCTGAAACTAAGAATTGTAGTGATCTCGTAAATTTAAAATGAGCCGATTATATCTACATACAGAGCAGGTCCTCTTCTCCAGAGTTCCTGAACAGACAAACCAAACACTGGCTCTAGATAAGGCCATTTGCGTCCGCCGTCGTAGTTCTCCTACACGCATGGCATGTGGGAGGTGTTTCAGTTGGCTGCAATCTGCAACCTCACCGCTAAGTGCCCCTAAATTCTACACACTAGACCTTTAAAATGTTTACAAATTTGTCCAATTTTATGAAATTAAAAGTCTAAGGTTATGAGTTAGCTGCCACTCCACACTGTGGAAATCCCTCTAGTTTTTAGATGTACAACAGAGGAATGTGGAACATCAACCTTACACGTTCCCATCATCACAGCTTCCTTCCCAGACACAGAAGTCCTCATAAATCACTCCAGTATCATTACGTATGGTCCAATTAAATAGGGGAACACTATTGTGAACAGAAGGCTGCATTTATAAAAACAAAACCTGACAATAAATATAGCAATGGTTCACTTTTAGGTGGAAAAGTAGGATTTTCTCACTGAGGTGATATGCATATTGATAAGGATACTGTATATACATTCCATTGGCTGGGCGCTGTTTCCCAAAGCACCTTAGAGCATCAAGAGGATGCACATTTTCAGTTCAACCTCAATGACAGTTTGAACTCCTGGCAGTGATAGTGCAACATCAACCACAGACAGGTTTGCCATCCACTGAACCAGCTGTCTCCCATTCAGACCTCTGCCTGTTTTGATCATTAAAACAACTGATTCTACACACTTCACTTCTGAGTAGGTTTAGATGCAGCTGTTCCCTCTTTGGAAGCTTCTATCTTGTCCTTGGAGTCTACTTTCTCCTGTGCGGACTCCGCTTCGTCCTCTTTAGGAGGGAACATCCATGCCAGAGCAGCACCGGCCGTGCCGTCGCCATTCTGACGTGAGAAGCAAAGGAAGGTGGCCCAGACGAAGGCACAGCAGCCGGTGAAGGTGGTCCGCACGTACAGAGGCACCAAGGCAAAGTTCAGAAACTGAGGGAGACAGATAGTGAAATTAAATCATTGTACTTGTATATTACATTTTTGATTGATTTGATCATGATTCAGATATATTAGTTTCTTAAAATAAATAATTCATATGTATATGTTGTTGTGAGATATAATGAGACATATTTCAACCCTGTTGCCAGAGCAACTATTGGCATTGTACGTTTCTGCAAACCATGAATTGCACATTGCAATGTAGCAGAAACCATACAACAACACTGTGGTTAACGTATGCACAAAAAACACTTGGTTATGGTTAGGAAAAGATCATGCTTTGGCTTAAAATACCCAGCTTTCGTGGCACAATCGCAGCAGGACAAGGAGCGAGGTCTCTGTAAAAAACACCGCATTTCATGGCACTATCACCAGTGAAAAAATAGCGACGGGTCACTACAAAACACCCATGTTTGGTGCCTAAAAAGCCGCATGAAACACAGCAATGACTCTCTAAATAACAATCAGTTTTGTTGTTTGTTGGTCTCAAACAGTGGTCTGCAGCCATGGTGTTAGAAACACTGACTTGATATATATAAAACTTGCAAATGTAAAGTATTCGTGGTTTGTAGAGACAAACAATGCCAACATTTCATTCTGGCAACTGAGCTGAGTATTCAGCCCTTACTTTGCCAGATATGTGTTATAATTATACTTGGAATGGGTTTGAAAATGTAAGATTTTAATAGTGAAGAAAATCTAAACCGCAAAGCCAGGCCAGCTATTAGGAAATACGGGCAGGTAGACAACATTTTCCAAAGTGGGCCCCTCATCCACACACTTTCCTGGGGGTTGGATATCCTGGGAATATAATCCAATTAATCATATTTTGACATGTATTTAGTATCTACTCTGTGTTAAGACCTTATGTTCTTATTCTGAAAAGCAGAGGTAGTCACATTGCCCCAAACATGCCCTCCAATAAATGGTTAGAGAAAAGTAAAATCAAACACTGATTGAAGAAACTGCAAGGTATTAAATCATAAGCTCAAATCATGTTGAACAATTTTTCCCTCATTTATTCGTTCAATCTTGAGGCTACTTTAATCAAATATTGGTCAAATTGTGAGCAGAACTGAAATAGTAAAGAGTATATGGCTGTAAACTCTCAGTTTAAGACTGTTCAGGGACTCCAGTATGCAGAAACATTGAAATACACCATTTTGAAACATGGCAATGTTCCTTTTTCCCTCACCAAAATTTAGTGTAATTTTGGGACATTATTTACCCTCCTTTCTGACAATAGCTTAACATAGTTGATCCTCTGTACCCTAGCCTCTGATCCTATGTACCCTGACCTTTGTTTTAGGAGCCCCTGATTTTTGATGAGGTAATCTGACGTAGCTAGTCAGGCCGCAGTCTGCCTCACACGTTTACATTAGCAGCACTTGTGTGTTCTGTGCATTGGGTAACCGCCGCTCTCTGTTAGATGGACTGAACCATTTCACAACACCTGTACAGGGTGGGAGTATCGGATGGCCTTTAGAATGTGTTTTAAATATAAATATACATTAAATACATTTATCTATCATAAATACATACAATTTGTATCATCAGTGATATAAGTCAGTAAGTAAACTGTTGCACTTGATCCCATTTAAGGGTCAACCATAGGCCTTTTCATGGCCCCCCCTGGGGTCCACTTACTAAGCCACACGTCAGGTTTATCATGAGGTTGTGAAAATGACTGAAAGCTCTGAATCAGTCAATCATGTGGACCTTAGATCTGAGATTTTATTCACTACATATTGTCCCCAAGGGTCAAGAATTAACACCAGTGCATGAGATGTTAATATTTACCTGCATAAATGGCCAGAACATCAGCCCCGTCTGAAAAGAGAGAAAGCACAAATCACTTGTAGACAAAGAAAAACGTCCACTGACACAGCTGAAACATGTGATGATAAAAAATTAAGCTATAATCAGAGCTCCTAAAACCAAATAATACACACAAATGCTTCCATACAGTCTTCCAAACACACTGAGCATCAGCTCTGGATGTCTGCACACAGAGAGCACACCACAATTTCTCATCTGTTTTGACTCAGGCACAAGTTAACTGTCACAACACCTCACAGCTTGGGCTCCATGTCACACACGAGCACTTAAAGGCGCTGGCAGGATGGACACACACAGTGACAGCCTGCTGCTCCCACACACCTTATATGTGTTCAGGAATTTTTCCCTCCAGTCTTCAAAAATATCCTCCTTGCCCTCCAAGAAGCTGACACCTGGGTGAAAAAAGGACACAGCACAGTTGAGCCTCTGACTGTCAGCTGGAAAATGATTTGACTGATGGAAGTTTCATTAGAGACAGTTTAAGTGGACCATAAACACAGTATATAGTAGGAAGGGTAATCACTATAGCAATGTGTCACATCCTGTTTCCTCAAGCTGTGTTACTGATACACTGGTACAAATAATGGGCCTGGGTCCAAACCTTTGTCTCAGCTGACTCCACCGAGTTCAAGTTGACTGAAAACAGAGTGTAACACATTGAGAATTATATCTAACATCAGGTTAATACAACAACAGCTATTTTTTGTTTTCCTCTTTGCTTTTTTGGCATCATATTTATAAGATTTTAGTAACTACGTGCTTATTTTGCTGCATCATCCATATACTTGTTTAAATTTGTTTGATATTCAAATTAAAGCACTCTTGTGGTATTAACTACTACTTTTTCTAATGTAATATAATAGGACTTTTAAAGCAAGCATTTGATAGTATTACAAGTTCTTGGCATTAATGGCCATGTGCAACACTAATTATTTAGGTTTAATATAAAGGTGTTAGAAGGTTTACATCCTCCAAGTACAGTGACATCCCCAAAGGGACTAAGTAAAGCTCCATGGCCCCTGCTTGTACCCCCACTGGGCCCCCCAGCAAAGATAAATGGAGGCCTACATTACTGACTTGGCGCACTCATTTTTTAAGCTAGGCAGTGGTATCTTAGGAAACTAGACAACCAAAGACATCCATTTGTACCAACCATGTCAGCATAGCTTGTTGGCAACAGAACAACTGGTATTGCTATTTTCAAAGAGGTCCCTTGAACTCTCACCTCAAGATGTCTGAATCAAAATGGGTTCTGTGTGTACCCATGAGTCTCCCCTAAACTAGAGAAGGCTTGTTCCCAGTGCATGTTTTTTCCCTTACAATCAATGTACTACTTTAAATTAAAGCTGTTTAAGGAAGAGGAAATGTAACCTATTTGGAGAACAGTAAGACAGTGTTGATTGTATATTAACGTCAGTGTTGTCACTGCTGCCTGCTTTGCTAGGCTACTATCTGTTGTCACAACAAAGACAGAAAAGCTCATTTTTTGGGAGTAGATCGAACAGCAGACACTGGATGTTGCTGGCGAGTGTTGTGCTAATAAGCTTGTTGTTAGCTGTGTAGTCAACCCTCTGTTAATGCAGCTTTACATTAGCTACCTAACTAATGTAAGTGTCAAGATATTGTTGTCATAGAAACATTTCCACGCTGGGGAGGTCATCAAAAAAGGCACTGGAGTGCTTTTTTATGAAGCAGTGGCATGAAGCGCCTCCAGCGCCCTGCCACCATTTTCCTGCTGAAGAAAAACACTATATAGACAGACGCCTAACATGCATAGATAAAATATTAAAACAGGGTTGTTGTGGAACCCATTAGGCCTGTGTCAACTGTACTGTTATTAGTCTATGCACATTAATATTTAGTAATATTAGCCGTAAAATAAGAAACCAAAATATATCACTATGTAATTCTTTAACTTTCCTTGTCGATGTAGTTTTCAACTTGCTTGTAATACTTCAACAGCATAATGGAATCCCTGCTATTCAGCTGTTAGAGCCATTTCTATTAAGTCCTACTTTCCTATTGTTTGTTGAGTCACTCTAATGCGCCACCTGACCTGCCATCTAGAGAACCTTTAATTAAAGGCAGGTGTGCTGAATTGAGTGTGGAGTGTGGAAGACGCCACAGGGTTACAGCCTTTATCCACCGTATTTTTGGTTAATCTTAGTTTTTATTGTTTAATTAAGTTGTTTAACACCTCGTTGATTTGAACTGTAAAGGCCTGTTTGTTTGGGGAGTTTTGTTTTCATTTTTTTTAATGAGACAGTTAGTTCATAGCGTCATCTTGCAACTCTCCATACATCCTGAAAATCAGTCTACTCTACAACCAACCAAAGCTCCTGGATCATCAAACAGTGAGTAAAACTAAACCAAAGACAGTGAGTTCACCATATCTACCGTCATGGCATCTGAACTTATTTGGAGGCTGCAATAACTGTTATAGCTTTTGGTTTTGGTTTTGCCACCCCAAGATTTTCAGTGACCCCATCTGGCCACCCCTGTAAAAAATATCTGGGAGCACCCCTGTCCAAGTCTTAACTCTACTAAACCTCTCATTCAAGACAATATCAAACCTAGTGTTATCTGCTTGGAGCATATTATCTGCAGTGTGATGACTTTCACCTGACCTCTGCTTGTCAAGCTTTGTTTCACAGGGACAATGAACAACTGCTGATCTTTGCGCTACATGAGACCAACACTACAGGATTCCAGTTAAGTTACAAACTGACAGATACGCGATCAGACTTTAAGTCAACCATTAACTGCCCGGTAGACTCAGTGTGTCCTGGTGTGTGTCCTAGTCCCGTCCCAGCGCCCAATGACCTGTGTAGAAGACACTGGTAGCCAGCGGTGCCGCTAACGTCTGGTCCATCAGCAGCTTCCTCAACACCATCCGGACTGAAGTCCCGGGAAACCTTCGCTCCAGGAACCGCATCCAGAAGAAACTGAAGTTGCCATGGAAACTGAACGCGACCACGGCGACGTTCCGTGTTTGTCTCCAGTCCATTTCCTCCCTTCGCGCGAACCACTGGTGGACAAAGTCCCCTCCGGCGAAGAGACAACCGTACAACGTAACATTGGTGACCCAGGGAAACCGACGAAACACCCGCCGCATTATTTTACAGTTACAGCCGCCCAGTTGAATAAAAGGTGTTAGCAAAATGTAACGTTAGCTTAAAGTGACGTTAGCTTAATGTGTCAAATCACACCGGCGTCATCTCGCTCTTCATTTCCGTCCGGATTTCGAAACGCTCACACAGTTTAACGACGACAAAGTGTATATGTTTCTCGCACTATGAATGTCATGAAGTCATATAATCTCAGATAGGATACTTGCTGGCTGGTCGTACACCATGTCATACCGGCACGGGACTGGGTCTGCTCAATCTGCGTAAAATCACTACGCCCCTTTCTACGTGAAAAAACTGACAGTGCGCTCCAGAGTTCAAGGGCGGAGCGAAACAAGAGATCAACCAGGGGCAGCTTCAGTGAAATAAACCCCAGTTTAATATCCGCCATGATACTTTCAGTGGAAGCTATAAATGTTAGTGAATTTACAAGGAGGGCTTTATCATCCACTACCTGACAGTCAAGTAACATGTAACAACTGATACAAGATTTTTGGGCTAATACAGATGTTGATATTTTGAGAGTTTAAAAAATCTGATAGCTGATTCATTCATTTACATGAGGGACTGTTCTTTACTTATCAGTAGAGGGGGGTGGGTGCAGTATGGTTGTGTTTTGACCCTCCCTGAAGCTATTATTATTTTTTCTTTGAGTGACTGGCGGAAAATGCATGACCCTTCCTCTACTGTAAATTAGTTATTCAGTTTTTAAATCTTAGCTTTTGGTGTTTAAAAGTTAAAAGAAGACTAAATCCTGGAGTTGAAAAAATTAAAAAGAGTTTTTTCACTCTTGTCATGCATGTCGGTTAGTTAGTGCTAATGCTTTAATTTTGGCCAAATTTTAAAAGAGCTGTGGAATAAAGAGATTTTTTTTTTTTTCATGAAATATCATTATCTTAAGATCAGATTTTTTTTCTGATGGAAGTTTTGTCACACATGATGTGTCCAAGGAATGACAGAAATTGTAAAATGCAATGATAATTTGAGTTTTTACAATTTGTGGCTTTGATGGGCTAAATGGAATTTTCTGTGCTTTTTTAAATAAGAAAACATTCCTCCAAAATTTGGAAGTTTAAAAAAAATCTAGGGTAAAATAAATAAAACAACCTAAAAAGCATTTCTTCAAAGTGCTTCAAAAATATTTGACATGCACCATTTCTGTACTGTTGTTACCAGAAGTTTAATTTATGGGGGGGACACAAGGGACATGTCCCATGCACTTCTGCAGAGGGCAGTTTTGGACTTGACTTTTTACAGCCCAGAAACTATCATTATGTTAAAAAAAACCTCAGAAACAGGAGAGACTGTCCCACTGTGCTACTTCACACACATTTATGAAAGTATGACCATTTTTTGGAAATCATTTATTGTGTCTGTGACTCAGCAGGAACAGCTGAGATCTCAGCAGTTGATAGACAGGGAGCAGGGACTGCATGAGGCATGTGGAGAGGTGAGTGAATTATAAATTATAAAATGAAGTGCTACTGTTCAAGAGGTCAAAGTACAGATGGGTGATGAATGAAAACAAACATGAGGTGTCATTGTATGGAGTCAGGCCACCATGCCAACTCTATTGGAAGGATGAACACCATTCCTCCACAAGATATTACCTCATTTGTGTTTCCAGTAGGGTAGGTCAATATATTGATCATTTTCAGCACTTTTTGCTGTATTAAATATTTTTTTATGACCATCTATTTCAGTAAGCAGAGATTTTAAAATTATGATTGTGTTTTGTTTTTCCTCAGGTAGGGGTATTTGTGCCTGAACTGTGTCCCGACCAGCATTGAAATCAACTGGACTGTTACTTGTTATTCATCAGTCAATAGGCTTATACTGTACGGTATGTCAGCCCAGCCAATTTATTTGCCAGATGTTAATGTTTAACGTGATATGTAGTAAAACCCACAAATGAAAATGATCTCAAATGGCACTAGATGCTTCTATTGACATGTTGAACTAAAAAAATCCAAACATATATCCAGCCTTCAACTTCATTCACTCTGTACACAAAACATAGAGACGACCATTTCAAACCACATGTGACCATTTACATTTATTTAGCAACAGGTACAGTATATTCACAAGTTGCAACAAGTTGCACTGAATGCTTTAAGCACCTTGCAACGTTCTGAATAACACAACTGATGAAAAGGCCTTATACAGTATATGGTGGTGTTTCCATTTTTACAATTTGGAAAAAAAAAGACAAAGCTAGAAAAATCATATTTTGTTGCGTTTGATAAGAATCCACATCATCCTTTGCAAATTACTACACACATTTGCACATGCAGTTCCCTAAAACATTCATAGCCAAGTATACAGCAGTATGTAGAGTACGCAATGAAAGATCATATTCCATTCTCATCAGGAAGGTGCATTTGTAGAGAAAAATAAACTTTGCTCAACACGTCAACAATGCAGAGTGTAGCATTAATGCTGTCTTCACTGTTTTAAACAAAGTGCTAAAATAACCCCCATTAAATACATTTTATACATACATTTCCAAAGCCCACCTAAGTTTAATTTAGATTGATTAAATACCTTCCAGAAATGTTTTGAGATGGGCAAAGTTTGATTTCCCGTCGATGCATTAACTGACAACATTAACCAACAGACAAAAATAAAAAGGCGATTAAATTAAATTTGAATTCTACAAGCTGATTGACAGTACTAGTATAAACTAACAATGGGTGCATGCAAGGTAGGAAACCAAAATAAAAATGCTTTGGAAGAAGTACAAGTTGTAATTTTGGGCCAAAATCATACAAAGTATAAGTACTGTCTTTTAACTGGACATAATGTTAATCATTGCCTCCTATAATCAGAAAAGATAAGCACAGTATGACATTAACCTTGACTTGCTTCAACACAGCAGGTGGTGTAAGGTGCAGATTTTACACCACCTCACAAGAGTGGAAACGTTAACTGTTACAGGCATAAAGAGAATCACTTGTACTTCCTCTGCTCTCTCTACTGGACCAGCCAGATGAGTCAGGAGAGCCACTCAACATACATACATACATAGAGTATGGTCCAGCCTAGGGGCTGCCTCCATGTTAAGACACGATGAACAGAAAACAGACAGCGGGTGGATGAGTCACAGTGTATCCATTGAGCTGAGAGGCAAAAAACAGTCAGGTTCCATGTTAAGGTCCAGTGAGAGTTAGGAGGAGGATCTATGACTAGACAACTAGACAACCCTCTCCCAGTCGCCCGTCTCGGTCCTGTGGTAGAGCTGTGGCTGACCCGCGGGGAACAGGCTGTCAGAGTTGGGGTGTTCTAACAGGAACTGGATGGTGGTCTTCATGTGCTGGACAAAGTGCGGCGGCTCAGCCATCGGAGAGGTGGACAGGTACTGGGCACAAGAGAGACATACCAGAGTCAGAGTTTGTATTAAGGCACTTTCTTGGGCTGTATTCACAAAGCTTCCTAGTACAAGGAGTTGCTCTTAGTGACGACATCCTAAGAACATTTTTAGAATTATGATGTTTTCTCAAAGGCTGTGTCCACCAAGGTATTTTTTCCTGAGGCCAGCGTAGTTTTGGAATTCTTTCTGTCTGCTTTTGTCAATGGGAGCGCTGTGCTCGAAGGGGCAAAGGGGCACTGGTAGGGATGATTTGTGTCTGTTACAACCTTCTATTAGCAGAACGATCACACTAACAATTACAGCGCTTTCACAGTCTCATATTGTGACGCAGTTCATTTCATTCCCACTGGGTGTCCACACCTTGCAGGCTCACTAAAGCTGCAAAAGACCCAGAATTTCTCTGAGAACTTTCCTATATCACTCCTTAAGTAGGACTCCTTTTTTAGAAACTTTTAGGCTAAGTCAGAAGCTCTCTGAAAGTACTTCAAGAATGTCTGTGACTACGGCCACTGGATTGCTGCTTTACACTCACTTTTTTGAGTGTTATAGAGGCTTTGAGTGAAGCATGAAAAATTGTATAGTATAACAAAGAATGAAGTAGATCACCTTTAATTAGTTCCACACTCCCTTACCTTTAATATTGTGTCATCATCTTGTGACAACCAGAAGGCAATATCCAGATTTGGAGACCACTTGCAAGGGCCGATTTTAACAACCCCTCGACTTGAGTCATATATGTCAGCCATCTGCAAGGGAAAAAAAACATTCATTTTATTAATACGCTTTGGATTGAGACTGTGCCTTTTTAATTTTACTAAATAAAACAATTACAACATTATTAATTTAGAGGGAAATCAGTATTCTTTGTCAGTTTATTATTATAATCTTATAAAAAAAATACATAAAACAAGGGGCTACAAGTTTTTGCATGACACAGAGAGACTTAAAAATATGTTTTCATGCCACACCTGTGGAGTTATTCCATTAACAATGTTTTTTAGAATCTTGTAGTACCTGTCCCCCAGTGAAGGTCCTCGCTGATCGCAGCTCCTCTGCAGGTCCTTTACGAGTGAAGGACGAAGGAAACACATCTCCTGTTTTGACATTTACACCTGTGCAGAGGACATATTACATATTAGAGGTCAGGTCATGGACCATGAAAGCATTGTTCTCACTCTGTAACATATTTATCACTTACCTATCCCATACACTACAGGCCTGTGAGTTTCATCAACAACAATGTCATTCATTTCTACAGAAACAGAGAGCAGAGAGGGTTAATGGTATGAAGCAGTGACTAGCAGAATATTTTTAGTCAAACAGGTATCAAGGGTACCTGTGATGCAACATGTTTCCAGATGAATATCCTCTTTCTGTTTCTGGAACGCTGCTGTAAAGTAAAAAGAATCTTTCTAAGTGTTACAAAGCTCAAACGCTGCCAGTATAATATTACAGTGAGACACAAGGTGATATGAAAGACTATACCCAGTATGTTAAGGCTGAGTTTATGGGATGTTTTTGACTCATCATTAAATCCCCCGGCAAGGTGGAGCTCAAGTCTGCATAACAGAAAGTAAAGGAAATAAAGAACATCTGGATAGGATGTACACTTTTACTATGCACGTTTTTTTGTGTGTGTGTGTTTCATACCTGCCCTCCTTGCTGACGTTACTCAGTGACATCACAGCTTTCACGAGTTGTGGGACTTCAGACCAGGTGCTGGAACCATCACAGTGAGCGAGGCAAACCGCTCCACTTCCTAAGAAATAGCAAATCATGACAGACATTAAAAAGTCATTCCTGACTACAGTGTATACACAGACAGAATAAGGCGCACAGTATGAACCTAATTAAAAGAACATTACCGGTGTGTCGCAGCACAACCAAATGGCAGGTAGTGGCATCATCAGATCCAATTACTGAGACACAGTCTGTGATAGGCAAGATAAAAAACATGTATTATCATTATCATCCAGAATTGTGATGGCTATCTGGGAGTTAGTAAGAGGCTAACAAATGTTGTTATTGCAGAACTTCACATCAAACAGCTCCCAACAGTCCTTATTAAATAAACATGACTCTGAACTTACTGCATTAAAGACCACTGAGGCTTCTGTTGGTAATTGCTGAATACTGACTTGGCTGAGGCCTATTCTTCTAAGTGACTTTCACCAAACCCGAGGGTACATTTGTCGAGTTTTCATAGCTATTGGCCTATATAATATCTACAAATAAAATTCATAATAACCTTTGGCTGAGCTGAGTAGAGAGAAGGGTTGATATTAAGATGATTTGTTCCAAACATCAGGCTTTACTCACTGTCTGCTGGTGTCGTTGCAGCAAACTCTCTTTGTTGGACATACAAGAGGCACTTTGGGTCGACATCAACGAGTGGCCTGGAGCGAAATGTTGTTGCATTTTCCTGTGACATAACAGCAAAAATGTGTTACTTAAAAGGGACAGATCACACCAAAAGAAAAAAGAAAATCCCCTTACGTGAAGTGTTATTATCAATCTAGATAGTTTTGGTGAGAGTTGTCGAGTGTTGGAGAAATTTGCTGTACAGTGTGTCTGCCTTTTTTCAAATATAATGGAACTATATGATACACTCAAAGTGGCAAAGAAATACATTTGAAAAACTCAACAGCAATGTCTCTTTCCAGAAGTCATGACCAGGTTACTCAAGATAATCCACAGACCTTGTTGTGAGTAGTTTCATATATGAACTATTTTCTTTTTGCCAAACTACACCTGCTAACGGTATTGCTGTGCAGAAGAAAGCATACATCTTCTGCTAGCTCACCTAGCACCACTGAGCTAGCTAAGATTAAAGCTCAAGCTGGCATGAGCCTCTTGTCCATGAGTAAATGCATGCTTCCTTTTGCACAGTGATATAGTTGGTGGGTGTAGTTTGGCAGAAAGAAAATAGCTCCTGCATGAAACTGCTCACAACAAGATGTGTGGACTATCTTGAATACCCAGGTCATGATTTTTGGAAAGAAACATTGATGTTGAGTTTTTCAAATGTATTTTTTGACACTTTGAGCACCACGAGTCCAGTGCCATCTAGTTATATTGTACTGGAGAGAAAGCATTTATCTCTACGGCAGATATCTCCAACACTTGGCAATGCACACCAAAACAATCTAGATCAATAAATAGCACTATAGGTGGAAGGAAAATAGGTATTTTTCATTTTAGGGTGAACTGTCTAAAAAACTAACTAACTAAACAAATGTCAAGGCTTTGTGGACTTGTCATACTGAAAGGAAAAGACTATCAGGCTCAGATCTTCATCAGTGTTACTTCACATTTATCAATAAAGACTACAAAAAACTTCATCTTTGGGATCATATTGGTCTTATTATTTGACAACACAATTAAGTTTTATAGTTGTCATATAATAGGAAAATGTAGCCTTATCTTCCAACTGAGGACAGAAAGGACTCACTAAATTTATCTTTAAATAAAAAAGTAACCACCCCTTGTATGTCAAAATTATATTCCATTACGACCATACACAAGTCAAGTAGGTTTAAAATATCATTTTAGGGCACAATAAGTTACACTTCCTTAGCTACATGTAGCAGAAAAAATGATGACAGTTTGTTGTATTATCTCCGACTGCCATCAGGTCTCAACCAAATCCCGTTCATAAAATTAGCATTTCACTTTAACATTAACAGCCAGCCTGTCACAAAGTGTTTACTTACAGAAAAGTGCGAATAAAAGCAAGCAGTTTGTCAGCAAGCTAAATTTAGCCACACTTTCTGGAAACAAACCTGTAAATCTGGATATTTGTCGAACAGTTCCGCTGTGGAGCTTATGCTGTCAACTCCTCTCTTTTGAATTAACAACGGCATTTCCGTACGCGAGGTCCACTTTAAAATCAACTGGTTATCATACTATTTTAAATACCACTAAATTCATATTTGTATGGCTTAATATCTCATATTATAGCAGCACACACCAACGGTCCATCCCGAGTATGTATTCCGGTTGAACTTCCTGGGAGGCTGTCTTCTTCTACTGTTTCAACGGAAATAGGGCTCACGGTTTCTGACACACCGCCACCAACCGTTAAAAAGCACGAACACGTACACGAATCATATTCACCATTATAACGTAGGGAGTATTTGTACGTAGCGCTCGTTCTTTCCAAATGAAGCTACGTAGAATTACTAGCTGAAGTTACGTCGCTGAAGAGGGCAGGGAAGCAGCCGTTTAGCTACGTGACGCACACAACAATAGTTCACCAAATTTCGAAATTAAGCGTAATTATAGTCTAATATTAATAGTTTTGCGAGTGTAAATTGCGCATTACTGTAGTTTCTATTTGCTAATAACGCCGAAGTAACGCTAAAGCGTACGTAACGATTATAACGTTAGCGGAGATAGTTTACTTTTTTCGACAACATGAGAGGGGGTTCTTCCTACGGAGACAGAGACAGAGACCGTGGACGAGACAGGTAAGTTTGTTGTTAATATTTGGACATAACACACACATGTTTGTAACAATATTAGGTGCATAATGTGAAGATATCACAGGCAGGAAATTTGACCCAAAGCCGTGACCGTTGAGACTGGTCTCTCAGTAAGTGCAACACAAAAGCAGAAAAGCTCAAACCTCCTGAAGGCCTCTCTCCAGGCAGTTGGTGGTTAGTTTCACTATAAACATTGCAGTCGTAGAGGTCATGTTATCACCAAAGTCTGTAGACTGAAGCACAAACATTTACTGGTCACCGAAACTTGTGTTTTTGTCGAAATTCCGCAGTAATTGTTATAGCCTCAGTCATCATAATTATCAGTTACATGATGCAAACTGAGCTGAGCATTAGCTCTGATAATTTTAGCTGAAAAACATCACAATAATTGGTTTTACAGTGTCTGTCACTTCTTGCACGTCAAAGCACATAAATTAGACACTGTTCCTTACAAAATCAAATTAGTGGGTCTAGGATAAGTGTATTACATAATTGCACTTTTAGATAAACAATACAAGAAACGGATAGATGCATGCAGAGGCACCACCGCGCTAGGGAGGGCCATGGCCACCCTGGGTTGCAACAGTGTGAGATTTTCATGGTATCATAACCATCTCAGAAAATATTGCGGTTTCAAGGCATTACAGTATTACAGAAATTTATATTATTATCATACAGAATGACCCTTGAATGAATAAAAATAGAAGGGTTATTTTTGGTGGAACAAATGTTATATTACTATAATTGAGACTTGAAACTATTTTGTAAATGGAACTATATGTAAAAAGAGTGTCCTCTTTGAAAATACCTAAAAGAAAGGGGAGATTCTCCGTCTAGTTGCATTTTTTTTTCAATATCGTAGATAAGTACATGTGTAGGATATGATAATCGTCAACTTGATATGATAACCATCCACTTATGTATCATGGTAGCCTATATCTTAAAACCCGTATATCACCGCAACCCAATTGTGTTATTTATTTTATGCATTGCAATTTTACTGTGATGTATTATAACCAACAGGTCAATTCAAAGGCAAATTGCCTCATTTTGTGGACAGTAAAGATCATTACTATTATTATTATAATTGGCATGACAAGAGCAAATATGTCAAAAACATAAAGTACATTGCTGCAGGTAATGCCGTAGCCTGCCTTGCTGTTAACTATTACTGTGTCTCTCAGGCCACGGTTTGGGCCCATGAGCAGCCGGAGTGGACCTCCACCTATGAAGTTTGGGAATCCAGGTGAGCGTCTCCGTAAAAAGAGGTGGAACCTGGACGAGCTGCCAAAATTTGAGAAGAACTTCTATGGTGAACATCCAGAAGTCCAGCGCATGAGTCAGGTAAATCAAAGAACTGACAAAGTGTTGATCATATTTTCATCAGTATCGCTCATTTTTCACAGTGGCCATCAACAATTGTGTTGTAGTTGCAGACAATTTAGATTAACAAAGGTATTTAAATAATTGATACACCCTGTCCAAATATATGTTCTCTGTTTTTTTCCCCCCAGTATGATCAGGAAGAATTTCGCAGAAAGAAGGAGATAACCGTCAGAGGCTCCGGCTGTCCAAAGGCGGTCACTGCCTTTCACCATGCACAGTTTCCTCGTTAGTAAACCATACATTACACAAACTATAATGTCTGTACAAACTATCTCTAGCATGTACAATAAATAATTCATTCACTTACTCCAGCATTTCGGGACTTTAAAATATAATTTTTGTGTTTGTTTGTGCCCCTTATATGGTAAATTTAAACAAAGCAATACAATTAGTCTAAATGACCAGGTGGAGTGTACGTAAGTTTCATGTTCAGAAGAAGAAAATGCTTTTGAGGACTGTCCTTCGGCTGCAAAGACTGTTAGACAGAAACCACAGTAAAAGTCCAATAGTGTAACCATCATGTTGATTGTCTCCCTCCTCCTTCTGACAGAGTATGTGATGGATGTGCTGTTGCAGCAGAACTTCAAGGAGCCAACAGCAATCCAGGCTCAGGGCTTTCCTGTGGCCCTGAGCGGCAGGGACATGGTGGGGATTGCCCAGACTGGCTCCGGAAAGACACTGGCGGTAAGGCTACCTGGCCTTTACCCCACCCTACATAGTGATGACACTTTATTGTAGTGATGGGCATAACGATTCTTTTCACAGTATTGTTTTTTTTTAGAGTTGACACGTGAAAATGTTTCTGACTTTTAGAGTTTTGATACTTTTTGTGAAATATGGCGTCAGTTTCTCCGTGACGCTCTGTTAAAGTACATGCACATTCAACAGCTAGTGTTTCCTGCCACACAAAACTGTATTTTGTTTCATTACCAGTCATCATGATTTAGCACAACATGTATGGTGTGTAGGTAGGCTATGTTAGTTCAATAGGACGTTAGTGAAATGTCACAGATCTGTCGTTCATTGAGGAGTAAGTAGCAGACGTCCCAGTTAATTCTGCAGCCTTGTGCTAGGTTCAGGGGTGTTGAAATAATCAGAAAATGTGTTCTTAATCATATTTCATAGCTCACCTGATGTGTTTGTTTTGCTCTTCATTATCCAAATTTTGTTTAAATGCTCTGAGCAATGAAATACAACACATCTTCTTAGTAGCATCCACGTTGATTCCACATTACAACTTTAAGCTCATGGAAGAATGACACAGAGGTCTTGACTCTTGTCTGATTCCATTGGTCCTCCTTCTTTTATTTAGTGCCATTGCTGCTCTACCTTATGACACGTTACAGATTTATGAGCACTCTGACGTTTGACAGCCCATCACGACGTCACTTGATGTTTAATTGAAAGTCATAAAAAGTGTATTTGCATAGCACATCTCACAGGATGTGAAGTGTTGACAGCTAAACATAAAACTGCAACAGAAAGACATGAACACGAATAGCAGTACGACTGCAATACAATGTTTGAACAGAGAGTTCAAATAATGACACGATAGTGGGATTCAGTGTTGTGTTTTTGTGTTCCCTGCAGTATCTTCTTCCTGCTATTGTACACATCAACCACCAGCCCTATCTGGAGAGGGGAGATGGCCCAATTGTGAGTGCAAATTCCATATGTGTTATTATGTTATATAGAAGTGTTTCCTCTGTTAGTGTGCGCACACAGTCAGTTTGTTTAACCTCCCTCATTCCTCTTCTTCCTGTCCTCTTAGTGTCTGGTACTCGCTCCGACCAGAGAGCTGGCTCAGCAGGTTCAACAGGTTGCATATGACTACGGCAAGTCTTCCCGGATCAAAAGCACCTGTGTCTACGGTGGAGCACCCAAAGGACCACAGATTCGAGATCTCGAGAGGGGTGGGTGTGGTTGTAGATGGACACATGTAATGGATTATTCAAAATAATTTGAAATGCATAAAACCCTCCTCAGTATACAGTTTATACTTAGGCATTGCGACTACTTTCCCAGCTTTGGTGTTGTGGTAGCACAGTGTTGCTAAAACAGTCCACAGCTGCTGCCTGGTATTTTAGCCCACACTGTTCCTTGTGAGGTTTTGGGTGTAGACAGGCCTGACAGCAATTGTTGGACTGCTTGAAAAAAAAAAAAAAAAATCAACAAGCAGAGGGGACATTGTTCTGCCTAATCATCTAATAACATGTGTATCTCTATCGTTTTTTTTTTTTTTTTTTTTGATGTGTTGATTTTGTGTGATTCCAGGTGTTGAGATCTGTATCGCCACCCCTGGTCGCCTTATTGACTTCCTGGAGAGTGGGAAAACTAACCTGCGGCGCTGCACCTACCTCGTGCTGGATGAGGCTGATCGCATGCTGGACATGGGCTTTGAGCCACAGATTCGCAAGATAGTGGAACAAATCAGGGTAGGACAAAGGCTCAGTTACCATGACTGCTGACTTTGAAATGATTACATTGGCATATTTAAAGTGGAAACAGACAATTTTTCAACTTTTCCCTCGTAGCATTTCCAAGTGATATTGATGGCGTTGCAAAGACAACCAGAATGCTTTCCATTTTACTCAGAGCCTAGCAGCTTCTACTGCTTTCCACAGTTGCTTTGGTTGTTCCACAGCCAATTCTGCTACTGGGAATAATAATGTAGCCAAGGGTTACAAGTTGTGCTTAGGTAGTGAAATAATAACACAGAGGCTCCATAGTCTGAACTAAGATTGCACATTCATGCACTGGTGGCCAGGGCTACCATACAGGTGCCACTTACTCATTACACAGTTGGGGTTCAGTATCTTGCCCAAAGATACTTTGACATTCAAATTGGAGGAGCCAGGGATCCAACCATTGAGCATTGACCCACTCTACCTCCTGTGCCACAGTCACCATAGGCATTTACGCTGCCTCACTGCTAACCAGAGGGAAGTTAAATTAACTCAAAGTATTTTACCAAGATGCAACTCAACAAACAGCTTTCAGTAACTGCAGAAAACTTACATTCATACTCTTTGGCAACTGGGGATAGCTACTAATAGCTACCAGGGAAAGTAAAAGCGCTATCCTTCCTTTTTTGGTTGCACAATGGTTGACACACTTCCCTTGTGCCTTAAATTGAGCCTTCATTTTTCCCAGAGAAAGTACATGTTGGCAGACAAAGTTGTGTAGTGATAGAGAGGCTCGTTCTATACCTATTACACTGCGCAATCAATATTTACTTTATAATGATAAGTTAAAGCAAAAAACATGTCTATGTACACTTTAATGTAGAGGTGTTTTTCAGTTAAATCAGTTGGATGCTTTTTCTCTCTCTCTGTCTCACAGCCAGACAGACAGACTCTGATGTGGAGTGCAACCTGGCCAAAGGAGGTTCGGCAGCTTGCCGAGGACTTCCTGAGGGACCACATTCAGATTAATATTGGTGCTCTGGAGCTCAGTGCCAACCACAACATCCTGCAGATTGTCGATGTCTGCATGGAGACTGAAAAGGACCAGAAGTAAGGATAGCGAGCGAGAACATGTCTGGCTTAAAATGACACTATGTTATGATATGTTATTAACTGCTATGATAGTGTTACAGAACATGAGCTCATCCTTTCACTCACTTGACACTGAGCTTAGTACCACTGATGTGCTTTGATTGTCTCTCCCTGTCTGCAGACTTTTTCAGCTGATGGAGGAGATAATGGCTGAAAAAGAGAACAAAACAATCATCTTTGTGGAGACGAAGAAGCGTTGTGATGATCTTACCAAGAGGATGAGGCGGGACGGGTGAGAAATGACTGTCTGTTATGAAACAACATCTAATACATCATCATCTAGGATGCATTATGCACATATTTGACAGACAGGAGCTGTTCAGTGTTCACTAATCTTCCCACTTCATTATGGTTTTGTTTTCTAGGTGGCCAGCCATGTGTATCCATGGAGACAAGAGCCAGCCAGAAAGAGACTGGGTACTCGGAGGTAAGAATACTTGTAATACAATGGTACCACTTCTCTCTAGCCCTTTTTGTACATCATTGTCTTGCCGAAACCAGTATGCTGCCATATCTGTAGGCGTACTTGCCAACCTTGAGACCTCAAAAATACGGCGGATTTAGATACCAGGCGAGGGATGTGGAGGTCCTACCCCAGGACAGGCTGCTGTGACATGAGCTTGCATAAATCTCAGGCATAAAGTAATATTCATGGGTTTACATTCATTCATTTCATCACAATGTGCAACCCCCATGATTGACGGAAAAATCAATGAGGCAGACTTTATAAAATTCAAGCCCTTTTCCTTTAAAATTTTCTGTAAGAAACCAGAATTATTCTTTCCAGGGTGTCGGAAATGTCTTACTTTTCTCTCTCTTCTACTCTCCATTTCTTCATCTCTCACTTACTGAGGAGGACAAAGCGCAAGCAGCTCTTTGTCTTGTCATGCCAGGAAAAGACATTTGGTGTAGCTGTATTGTTGTCTGACTTTTACAGTCGTGGGATTTATAGATGCTTTGCAGTATTAGCAACAGGTTGTGATAACAAAAAAGGTGTTAAAAATAATCTGGAGAAACACTGGAGAATTGTGACCCAGGAGGAAGTCCTAGGAAAATTGTGAGGGTTGGCAAGTATACCTATAAGGCCCATGGATAATACAGAGTGTGAGTGGTGATTATTTCCATGTTAAATTTATATTAATAATATGTTTAATTTTACAGAATTTCGGAGTGGCAAAGCTCCGATACTGATTGCTACAGATGTGGCCTCTCGTGGTCTGGGTATGTCTGCTCACACACATAGTTAATGCTGCATCATCTCTCATATTATTGTCTCTTCTCTCATTTTTTCTACATATTTTTGTGAATTATATTTTTTCTGTAACTAGTATTAAGTGTTATACATGTATAGAGGAACACTATATAGAGTCAATAGAGTTAATTGATGTGTGCATAGCAATTAGTATTTTGACCAATAGGTAAGTATACTACAGATGAGGCCAGCTGGATCTGGCAATTGTTTTGTAAAAACAAAATACATTTTTAGCAAGTGACAAATTTCTGCCTTTTACAATTGCCAGGTTGATTTTATTATAGGTCTCATGCTAGGAATTTTCCATAATACATAAAGTTTGTAGTATTGCTTTCAATAGACATGTGGAAATAACAAAGAAAGTGTAATCCATTTGAATTTGTTGGTGTACAATGAGATGAATCAGCACATTACATTTAAGAATCTCCCTTACTATTTACGACCTGACATTTTTTAGTGTGGAGCCTGCAGGCTCTCTGCTCTGCTGGGTTTATAGTCTGTTTCTTGTTACTGCAGTTAAATGGCTTCCTTCAACCGGGGCTCTTTGGCACGCACACTCCTGAAAGGAGGGCTGTGTGGGGCAGATGCTCCTGCACACCTTTTCTTATCTCTCCTTTATTAAATAATCAAATAAGGATGCTGCTCATACTACCCGTTTCCACATATAAGATACACCGATCAGCCACAACATTAAAACCACTGATGGGTGAAGTTGATAACATTGATAATCTTGTTATGATGCAATGTTCTTCTGGGAAACCTCTGGTCAACTTGACACACATCACCCATCAAAACACTGTTGCAAGACTGAGCACACTCTGTAATGGCAGTGGCCCCCTAGCAGGACAGCGCACCGTGCCCTACACAGAGCTCAAGGCGGCGACCTGGCCTCTAATTTCCCCAGATCCCAATCTGATCAAGCACATGCAACGTGCTGGAAGAGGTCAGACTCATAGAAGGCCCCCTCACAACCCACAGGACTCAAGGACCCCACAGGACACCCACCTATCGAGGCATGGACACAGTAGACCTGGGGCACTGGTGTATCCCATATATGCTCAATCAGATTGGGATAAGGGGGATTTGGAGGCACTGCTGTTGCGGAGTGCCGTTGCCATTAGGGGGTGCACTTGGCCAGCAACTGTTTTTGGGTGGGAGTTTCATGTTGGGGCATGCACATAAAAAGCCAGGATCCAAGATTTCCCAAGAGAGCATTGAATTGTAATGAGATGATCAATGTTATTCACTTCGCCTGTCAGTGGTTTAATGTTTTGGCTGATTGGTGTACATAAGATAATATATTGTGTAGGTGCTCAATTAATGTAATTCTGCAAAATGATTCATATTGTTATGTTTTGCAGATACATATGAGTAAGACAGTAGCAGCTGAATTTTCTGCGTTTCACCAACAGGAAGGCTTTGATCTAATTTCTTGGCAGGATAAATGTGAGAAGGGGGGATGAGTGAAGATCTTTGACATCCCTATGACCGTATCCTTGTTCTTTTTTCCCCTCTTCTCCTCTCAGGGTTTGGCAGCACACGGCAGCTGTAACAGTCTGCGCTGCTGTCACTGCCCCCTCAGTCATGTTAAAGTAGAAGCTCGGCTAGGTTTAGATGGATTAAAGCCCTCTTAGTCCTCATGGGTAACTAAGATCCCCCTGCCCAGTATTGTCAGAGTTTTAAATCCAACGAGCCTTCCTTGGGAGCAGCCTGAGGTTCCTGTTTGTCTGCCCTTCAGTCCGTCCCAAAAAGCAGACAGACAGGGGAGAGAGAGTTAGACGGGCTCGTCTGGATCCAGTCCTGGCCAGGGTCTGAGGAGGGCCCTGCAATGCAGCGAGAGAGCAACAGAACCAGCCGTTGTGTGTGTGTTTAACGGTTCTGCTCCCGTCTGACGTTGCTGGTGTGTGCAGAAGGTGAGGGATGAATCCTGTCTCCCTCCCCCTCAGCCCCTCACTATAAACCAGGACTGATCAGGGGGAACTGACTACCTTTGTAAAAACATCCTAAAGGGGGTAAGTACCTCACCTCCCCTTTCTCTTAACTCCTCCATGAGCTCACCACACATCCACGTACTTCCATCGTGCTTATGTTTTAGTCCAAAGAATAGCAGCCGGCACATCGTCATTCTGTTATTCAGTAGGTCAGGGTTGGTGAAATGGCTTCCGTCTGTCATGATGGAGGGGAAAAGGTCGACGTATTGATCAGCAGTGCTGTCAGAGCCCCACGTCTTCTGTAATAAGAAACAGACTCCTCGTCTTCACGTGTTTTGACCAGTAATCACATTGGTGTGAAGATTATGAAGCCTAAACATGGTTTCTGTACAGCTCAATTTCAAAAACCTCAAGTTCAGTTTTATCTGTACTGGATTTAAATCAATTATAATGGTGTTAAACTGAAGAAAATGTTTTGATGTATGGATTTTTGCTCGATTTTCTGACAAAGCAGGTAAGTTATTCTACTTGTTTAGATTTTTATCAACAATATATCTTTGTTAATGAACAAAATTAAAGATTAAATTAATAACATGTATACATACAGTTTATATGTATATTAATTAATTAAAATACAAACCATCAGCTTTTGAAGTGGAATTAAAATGATCAGCTCTTCCTCCAGAAGCTTTTCCCCCCCTTGAGACTATCATGTCTTTGCTTTCCTCCACGCTGTAAAACCATTCATTCACTATCCAAAAGATGTGGAAGATGTCAAGTTCGTCATCAACTATGACTATCCCAGCTGCTCTGAGGATTACGTGCACCGTATTGGACGCACGGCCCGCAGTACCAACAAGGGCACTGCCTACACATTCTTCACCCCAGGGAATTTGCGCCAGGCGCGAGACCTTGTCCGGGTGCTAGCGGAGGCCCGGCAGGCCATCAACCCTAAACTGCTTCAGCTGGTGGAATCTGGGCGTGGTGGTGGAGGAGGCGGTAAGACGGACTTAAAGCTACAGTTGATAACCTTTATGAAAATAACTTTGTGTCGTATTTGTTGAAACTGTCACAATATCCAGACAGTAGTACACGAGACAATGTTTCTCTGCCTCCTTGTAGTGCCTCTAAGGGTACAGTCGCTCATGAGCGAATGTGGGTTAGATAGTGTTTTTCATGGCCAATATCACACAATTTCAGCTGGTTAGACACGGCAACAATCAGTGTGTCCTCTACATACTAAGCTATTGGTTGTGGCTGCAACCTCGCCGCTCAAATTTCACCGAAGATGTGAATAAGCTTTGCCACCAGAAGCAAATGTTTTATTTGGCCCTTGGCTCACACTGAATGGAGGTAAATGGGAGGCGTATACTCGCCAGTGTTTGATGCATGTGTGACCATGTCCAAAGGGGATTTTTTAGTCTCTAACACAGCTGTCAATCATGTCTATCTCATGAGATACAGTCAGACTAGGCAGCGCTGATCAAATATGAATCAAAATCCTGTCAATGCATCGCCTGTTTCTCGCCTCAGATGTTTTCAGAAACATATTTTAGTGTACTGTTTAGTTGTAAAATGAGAATGTTTCCGGTCAGGCCAGTGGGTGGTGCTTTGTTTTGGCCCGACTGTTTCCAACATGGTGGCAGGGTCGCAAATATTCTCATTTTACAGCTAAACAGTACACTAAAATATGTCTCTGAAAACATTTGAGGCTAGAAATAGGCAATGCAGTAACAGAATCTTGATTCATATAGCGCTGCCTAGTTTAACAGTTCAAGAGCAGTGATTTACATGTTTGACAGCTGCATTAGAGGCTTGTTTTACTTAATGTGTGGTGGATTCTTGCATATGCCATTAGAAGCACAACCAGGAGGCAGAGAAACATGATTTATTCACAGACTGTCTCATGCACTACTTTGTGTAGTGACAAGTTCGGCAAATATGACAAAAATTTGTTTTTATAAAAGTTCACAACTACATCTGTAATACCTCACAGTCATCAAACTAAAATAAAAATGCTGGGATATAATAACACTGACATTACATGTGTTGTTTGTTACAGGTGGCAGAATGCGTTACCGTGGCAGCAGCTCCAACAACCCTAACCTCATGTACCAGGGAGAGTGTGATCGCCGCATGCACGGTGGTGGCGGCAGCAAGGACAGCCGCGGTGGCTTCGGCCGTGATAGCCGCAACAGCCGTGATGGAGACCGCTCCACTTCCTCCGCCTCTTCCTCCTACAGGGACAGAAGCCGGGATCACAGGAACAGCTACAACTCAGGCTCAGATCAGTACCAGAGTTACAACAGCGGCGGAGGCTACAACACGCGCAGCGGAGGCCAGTCTGGGGGAGGTCAGGATCAGTCTAACCAGCAGCAGGGTCAGTTTGGCCAGCCTCCTGCTCCTCCTCCTCCTTCTCAATCATCAGGGGGGCTGCAGCCTCTGATGGCTCAGCAGTTTGTACCACCACAGCCAGGGCTTATGGGCTTCATGGGTCAACCGCCTTTCCCTTTTGCTTCTCCACCCCCTCCTCCCCCAGGCCCTCCACCTCCCCGGAAGTAGAATCATGAGCAAGAGGCACTGAGTTAATTTGCGCAGCTTAGTGTTTTCACAGTTTAACTTTATATTTACTCTCCAACTCTTGTTATCACCAAGAGGCGGGGATTTGAAAAGGCATATATCTAAGGAGGTAAGGGCTTATATTTTTCTATTTGTTTTGTACTTTTAAATATGTATAGACCTGGAACTTTCCCCCTTCATTTTGTCAACCTAGATCGTCACTCTCCACAGCCTCATACAGGTGCTCTCAACCACGTACCAGGGAGGAACAAGTGTCTTGTGTTTTCATTTCAATCAAACACTACAGCAGTGGATTTCACTAGTTTGTTGTCCCTCTAGTCTAAAGATAGAGATAAAGATAAAGATTTTGCTATAATTGGGACATCCTTGGGCGCAGTGCAGAGGTGAGGTCGGGACTTTACAAAAAGGAGTCTTTCTGATACCGATATCCATATCGGAAATGCCTCTGATACTGCCTATAATGTTGAATCAGTTTGCCGTGTTGTCCTTGTTTTACTAAAGGTTTAACCTGTGCCACCCAACACAACAATGATACCAATAATTTCACATCCATACAAGGATAGTAGTATACATCAGTTTTCTTTTTTATTTTCCTTTAAATGCAGTGGTATCTCACTGGTACTTAGTATCAGCCAACATGCAAGTAGGCTTGGGAGGTATCTGTGTTTTAATACCTCTGATAGGTATCTGTGTCAGGAGGAAAAAAGTAACGTTGGAACATCTTTGATAAAAAAGATGGTGACAAGGTGCCAGAAGCGCAGAAAAAAAACTGCAAATGTAGCAAAGCCGGGGTTGTTGTTTACCTTCAAGGGACGATAATGTTTAGAAACATTAGTTGACAGTTCCTGCATAGCGTACCTTTAAATTGTGTTGACAATTGAATGAAAGCTATCTTACACTGAGGCCTCAGTGGTACATGGGTGAAAGAGCTGATCTATGGGAAAAATGATCCCTAATATATGCAGTCACATTCCAGAGCCTCGTCCTGTTCCAGCTTTTATTAATATTCAAAATCTCCGACTTATTTTGTTTGAGGTTTTGACCACCAACATATGGTAATTATTCAATTAATTTTGGGCTTGTGTTATTCCAAACATTGAAGTAATGCATCCCGGTGGTGAATCTTCTTCCGTAGTGTTGATACCATGCAACCACTATTTTAGTTTCTTTTTTTTTGTGTGTGTAATGAACTGTTGCGTTAGGTTTAAAAACATTTACTCTTTACTTCTATCATGTCCTGTAGCAAGTCAAAACTTTTGTTTCTATTAACTTTTAACTGTTTAACTCATATTGTTAATGCAGGTTTATCTTCATGTGGATTGTTGACTTTATTGTGGTTTGTTTGCTCTTTTATTCATTGTTCTTTTTTTCTTAATAAATAAATCTAAGCATTTTTTTTCTACTTTGTAAATTCTTGATAAATATTTATACATCAGGTGAATTCCCCATACAAATGACTTTATTCACCTTACATTTGTTGTACATTCTCAGTTTGTACCCAGAAGTATGTACACGTGTGTTGCTTTTATTGGTAAATATACATCATGGCATGAAGCTTTTATTTACATCAAGAGCACAGATGGAAAAGACTGTTCACCTCCTTCACAAATACACACATGTAGAGTAGAGGCCTTGTCACAACACTTTGTTTTGCTGCACTTTTTAACGTGTATCAATCTTTAAAATCTGGATTCAGTTTAGTTGATTGACTCACTTTGGGTCTTAAGTTAAATTTTTTGGGTTGTTTTTCTTTTGCCAGTCCGAATTAATGTGGGAGGTCCAGTCTGATTCATCTGAAAGCTGGATGAGTGCTTTGCATGCACAGTGCTCAATCATGTTCTTGCAGTGTACTGCGGATTGAAGCATAACAGGTATCTCAGTAAACGACTGAGGTTACCACAGACGGGGGTTTGTAGCTGCAGCAAGTTTTGTAGATAGGGGAGCGCAGCAATAACTTACTACTTTGTAACATACTTTAAATCCATCTCACCAGGACATGAAATAGCATGGCTGGCCGCAAGAAATAAGTCACCTGTCTCATGTTTTGTGGGAATGGTGCGATAGCTGGTTCTGTAATTCAGGTTCCCTCAGAGCAGACATGCTGGGGTAGGCAGTTTCATTTTGGCGTCATTGGGGAAAAATTCCATAATATACATTGAGCATATTGTAATTGAAGTGAACTGAGAGAACAATAGGTCACCTGGCTCTGTTTTCAGGCTTCAGTAAATCTAGCGTCTGACAGGAGGCCTCAGCCAATCACAGGTCATTTCCGAGAGAAGGCGTTGCTGTTGGCTGTTCTACAATTACAGATACACATGCCCATCTCTGGTGAGAAGTTGCTATTCCAGTGTTGACAGCAACTGCCTACACTGCAAGGCAACCCAAATATGGACTTATCAAAAAGAGAGTTTGACGAACAAAATAAAATAAGTCAATATCGCCAAAGTGTTTCAGAGATGGAGAGAAAGTGTTGGTAATGATTTAGCTTTCTACTAACTGGAGGGAAAGGCTCACAGCTGTGGCTACAGACCACCTCAGTGGGAGGCGAGTTGGCAGCAGCTCCTGGGACGGACCCCCAGTCAGTGGTTGCAGCAACCTGAATTGAGCCAGCAAAAACTCCAGCTCAGGGGACCAGGAAGCCCTGACTCCCCACCATATCAGCAAACTTTCTGTTGCTGCTGTTACGCAGGTTAGACCTGCAGGAGGAAGGTGTGTTTTCAAATTGTACCTTTTTTTTTTTTGGTGCCCTTTTCCAGCATTCTGCCTACCCCAGCTTTAATATCTTAAGGTCAAGACCTCTGTCAAGAATAAGGTATGATATCCATCATTATCTTCCCCACAGACTGGACCAATGATTAATGCTTATCCAGTCAAATAATGTGGCACTGTACATCCCAAATAGGAGGATACTGTGGAGAAGATGGAGGCTGCAATAAACTTGTAGTTCTTGTGGCAAATTTGCTAATGTATAGAGAAGATAAGTCTAAATCTGACAATGTGGTCGGACTGGTTACAGCCCGCTCAATGCATAGTTTACAGTAAATCGTGCTGGGAGTACAAATGTCAATTATTTACAATCTGGTTAAGCCATGACGGACTGAAAGATGGTTACTGAGGCTACCGCTTTGTCTCATTATTGCTTTCTTCCTTCCAGTCCTGTACAAGTTTGTGATGTATCTGCATCTGTCAATAAATATAAGTAAATCTCTATGGAAGTGAAACAGCTGATTCAAAGTCATCCAAAACAACCTGTCAGACTGATTGATGGCACTGTGTTGATCTAACAAAGGAATTGTAACACTGCTTTCAGGTAAGTATATAACTGAGTCAATATTACTCAGTGGGAACTTCTTAATGGGAACTCTGGTATTTTTCAACCTGGGCCCTATTTTTCAGATTTTTAATATGAGTGTCTTACAACATTACAGAAAAGGACGGACAGAGAAACCTTTCGCTCATTCTGTTATGCTCTGTGTCCAAGGCTCGTGGTGGCAGTCTCATTCTTCACGAGGGAGAAAACAGTGGAAACTTTAGTGAGGGTTGGAGAGAAAAGTGCCAGTAATAGTTTGTTGAATTGGAGTGCAGAAAGTCTATGTTAGTGTTATCTAAAAGATAAATGTCAGGGCTGAATATTTAGCTGATTTTCAGAGCGAGACATCTTGTTAGTGAGACTAGGACACAAAACAGAGCAGAACAAGCAAAAGGTATGGAAATACATGTCATTTCCCTATAGCGTCTTTTCTGTGATGCTGTCAGACACTATCTGAGCCTGTCAGTGGTGAAACCACCTGTCCAGAGAGGTTACATTGTAGTCTGTTTTGCCGCTGTCAGCTGCAGTACTCTCTCTCAGTACTGGACCAATTTCAAAAATTATTGTTCCCATGAATCACCCAGTCACAAAACCGTGGGAAAACAGGGTCCAGGTTGAAAAATACCAGAGTTCCCCTTAAACCCTCTGCATATTATAAACTGAATCTCCAGCTCTATCACTACTGTAGTTAGACACATTTGGAGTTTCACGTGCACTTCAGAGTCTTATATCTCAGGTGGAACCAGTCTGCCTCCAATCTCTTTTTATTTTAGTCTTCATGACCCTAAGTGCTCCAATCAACTCAGCGGCCGTGGATATTGGGATGATTCTGTAACATCATTGATGTGTCATTTCTTTCACAAAGTCATCATTTCCGATAAGGACATGAACATATGAAAACAGAAACAAGGATCAAACTAGTCATTTGTATACATATATGTACAAAGCAAATGAAAATCAAACGTTTCATCTCAGGCACATGTGGTAGAATCAGACCGGATGTCAAGCAATGTCAACTCAGGACTTGACATGTCCCTCTTTGGGTCGATTAACAATAAGAAAGGCAGCAAATGAGAAAGGACAATGTGTTGTAATATGGAATGGTCGCATGTGCAAAATTAAAAGTGCATGAAAATTGGTGTTGTGTAAAATAACTCAAAATCCTGAGTGAAACATGACGTCAAAACAAAAGGGATGAAAACAAATAAAAGTGCAGAAATTAAAAGCTAAACTTCAGCATTTTAACGGGCATCGATTCAGTGTCCTTGTTTTATAGTCCTTTTTCACAGAGGACATTTTTTTTACATGTCGCAGTAGGAAAAGCACGGGCGTAACTAATTAACTCAATGATGGTTGACTTCCAAACAAGTGTGCTTTTCCTGCTATGACAAATCCGCTGTAGAAAAGGCCTACTGTCACAGCTCAGACACACACTGCCCATGCATGACACAAATAATAAAACCAAGTCGATAATTAAAAACGATGTACCAGTATATTCTGTACGCTCCCAGGACACACTGCTGTGGTCTCTCCTGGTACTTTTCCAGTTATTACTGCATTTCAGATCAACTCCTCACACTGTCTCCACCACTTTAACAATCTCAAAGTGTTAACAGTTAAATTTAATTTAATTTCCCTATGCAACCCAAGAGATCTGCTAATAAGATGAGCATGACACCATTAGATCATTAAATACACTGCTGCTGCTGCTCCTTGAATACTGACGTAGTGTTGTCATTTGATAGGAAATTCAATTCTGATAAGTTATTTATCAGGTGAGAATACCAACTATTCCACATCATAGTTTGAATACATTGGGTGTTTTGGCTGTTGGTCATACTGTAAACGTCACTTTAAGCATGTAACTAAACTATAACTGAAGAGCGTTATTGATGGGCTAAAAGAAAATTATGATTTGCTGCAACCCCTCTCTGCTGCTGTCCAAAGTTAGGAATGCATCAGATACTTTCAGTTTCTGTAAAAATAAAACAGAAGCTGTGACGTGTAATTCACATGACGTGGGACATCTGAGAGAAGTGTTACACAGCCAGCGTGTTAAAGGGACAGTTCACACCAAAATCAAAAGGTACATATTTTTACTCTTACCTGTCGTGCTATTGATCAGTGTTGATTGTTTTAGTGTGAGCTGCAGAGTGTTGAAGATATCGGCCCGTAGAGAGGTCTGCCTTCTCTCGCATATAATGGAACTAGATGACACTCAGCTTGTGGTGCGCAAAATGCTAAAAAAAAGTACATCTTAAAAACTCAACAGCAATGTCCCTTTCCAGAAATCACGACCCAAGTCAAGCAGAGCAGTTTCATGAAGGAACTATTTTCTGTTGATCAAACTACACCCACCAACCGTATCAACGCAGAAGGAAGTGTGCATCTACTGCTAGCTCACCTAGCACCACTGGGCTAGCTAACATTAGAGCTCAGCTGAGGAGGACGCCATTAGTGTTTACATCTCATGCTTCCTTCTGCAAGATGATACAGTTGGCAGGTGTAGTTCGGTAGAAAGAAAATAGTCCCTACATGAAACTGCTCACAACAAGGTCTGTGGATTATCTTGAGTAACTAGGTCATGATTTCTGGAAAGAGACATTGCTGTTGAGTTTTTCAAATGTATTTTTTTGGACACTGAGCACCACAAGCCGAGTGCCATCTCGCTCCACTAACTTAGAACAAAACAGACATCTCTACAGCCGATATATCCAACACTCAGCACCTCACACATCAGTAGTACCACAGGCAAGAGGAAAAATATATATTTTTGATTTTAGGGTGAGCTCTCCCTTTGATCAGAAAAATGCACACATTCAGTTTTTAAAAGGGTCAACTTGTTTCCCCAAAAGTCACTGCATTGAATCAAAGTTTCTGACAGTTTGCTTTATAGTTTGCGCTGGAATGATTGCTGGAGGAGGGAAAAGTAGCTACGAAACACAGGAACGTGGAGATGATCGAATAAGGACAGAAAGGCTGCGAAGGAAGGCACAAGGTAGAAGCTGGTTCCCACAACTGGCCTAATGTCAGTTTGTTTTACCAAACCAGAGTCAAATACTACTGAAGTGTAGAGAGGCCATCTCGCCTCGAGCCAGCAATGAGGGACAACTTCAACCTAAATCTAAAGGAAGCAGCAGATCAGATGACGGGAGGTGGGACGTTCTCACTAAAGGTTCCCCCAGGTATTTGGAGGCGGGAACTGGTCCACGTCGCCAGATTCATCGTGAGATTTGTCACCCAGGTTGAATGTCAGCTTGTACCGCAAACGTACTTTTTCCTGAAAGACAAGAGAATAAAAAAAAGTCAGTTGAGGCTGACTCGGATTTTTGACCGCCCCAGTTTTCATGCTGCGTGTCTCAGTACCTTGTGAGGGTTGGCCAGCAGCAGGATCTGTGTGATGGCAGCTGGAGGCAGGATGGGATTGAAGGCCGGGAGCTCGGTGCTGGATGGAGGCTGCAGCTTTACTTTCATCACCTAGGCAACATAGACACACCCACACAAAAAACATGTTAAGAAGCGATACGCACAAAGATAAGGCTCTTACACTGATGCTCTGATAGATTCGAAACCAAGGAGGGAGAACTTACCTTTGGTACAGCTGCCTGAAAGCGGATGTTGGTGACAGGAATGGGGGCTGAGGACAGCATGGAGATGATCACCACCAGCACGTCGGGTCGTGAAGGAGGACAGTCTCGGGCAAAGGTGAACAAAACCCGGAGACTGTGTTTGTCGAATACAGTCACTGGTAATAAGCTGCCTGAAATATATTTGCAGAAATGCAGAGAAACAAAATGTGATGAAGAGAAATGGAGAAAATTGCACCTGTGACTAGACTCGTTCTTGCTCATGCTTACTAGGTTTGATTGCTTCCAGAGGCACAGTAACGTCAGTGAGAGAGATGTTGTCGTAGGGCTCGGCAGCAGCTGAAGAGCTTTTCTCAGCAGCTGCCAGACTGAGATTGGAGAGGAGGAGAGTGTCAGGCTGCTCTGATTGGATGGGTAGGCTGGGCGTGGGCCCTGGAGCAGTCGCGGGACCAGAGGAGGTGGTGGTTGCATTGGGAGTGGGTCTTGAGTTGGTGCTAGACTTGGTCTGCAGATCTCGTAAGGTGACTCTGGAATGAGGTTGGAGCTTATCCCTGCGTGTAGAAGAACGGGAAACACAAGTTATACAGGAGAAAAAATATCAAATATATAACGCCCCATTACAAGTGATTTAACACAACTGTGTGGCACTTCTTCATCTTTTTAGTGCTGTCTTTGTTCAGTTAAATGTTAAATTTGTTCAATTAAAGAATGTTGGAAATAATTTATAATTTTTTAATTCAACAAGCAATGTTATCAGTATACTAACAGCAGCAGAAAGCCAGGACTGAGTGCATTTTAAGATCAGTTTATCTAATTGCAAATAATATCATATCACTATATTAAATTACGTTATAACATATTTTCCTCATATTGTGCAACCCTAAGTCTGCTGAACTTACCATTTGACCTGCTGGCTTTCTGGAGGTAGAGACTGCTGTAACAATGTCTTCCCCAACAATTCCAGCTCGTCCATGGGTTTAGAGGGAGCAGTGGGGCCCCCTGCTGGAGGAGCCTGCGGTGTTTGGACCACAGCTGGTAGCAACACTGCGGCAGGGATCGATGCAGCAGATGGTTCGGTGCTATTAGAAGACTGAGAGAACAAACAGAGGGTTAAAGAGTGCCTGTCAGTAAGTGCATGAGGAGATGGAGATGATGTAAAATGGTTTTGAAAAATGAAATCAGTATTAAAACCACTCATATATAATTGTATGTGATTCTGACATATTTTAAATTATTCTGATGGTTTTTGTTTGTAGAAGAGTCTGTCTGTTCTGTCAGACATTTCTAAATTCCACATAAAATGGCTTTAATGTGAGCAGTACAGTGTTATCTTACAGTCTGCACCTGGAAAGTGTTCTGAGAGTCGAAGTTTTCCGTTACATTCAGACCTGAGAAATCAAAGACAACAAAGGTTAATTCAGTTTTTGGTGGTTTTAACATTTTAAAGATTCAGATTCAGATAAACTTAATTGTCACACACTGGAACATTTGTTTGGTTTAGTGCTCCAGACATAAAGACCCCATAAGAAGTAAGAAACAACAGAACAACATATGTTCTAAAACTACAACATAATTAAACACATTTGATTGAGACTGAATAAACAGTAAAGTAAAATAAAAACAGCCAATCTAAAATCAATAAAATAAATTGATATAAAAGTGTCACAGTGCAAGTGACCAGCTGAGAAACATGTGGAATAAGCTGCATTTATATAGGTTGATGGCCTGAGGCGTAAAAAACTCTTCTACCTACTTGTTTTAAGTTTTTTTTGGTCAAAGTTTTGGTCAGTTTGGAGTACAGGCTATTTCTTGGTCAGTACTGATTTTCCCCCATCTTGTTTGTCACTGCAATCTGACTTGGTCCTGTGTGCATGTCACCAAGCACACATGAGACCAAAAGTCAGAACACTCTGAAGAACCAATTTATAAAACATTTATAAAAGCCAACAGTTTATATTAAAATGGTTAACTCTGCATAAAAAGTACATTCTCTGCTGCAATTTCTTGGTTTTTAAAGTAGCACAGTCCCTGAAGTTACAGCTCAGTCCTGACACACCCTTTGCCCCTGTTTTGCGTGTTCATGTCTGGGGGTAAGGTGTTCAGATTGTTGTTTGAATAGAGGGAAAAGTTAGTGCTACATGGCCCTCCAAATTGAGGTCTTTCAGAGGCAAACACAAAATCACTGATAAGACAGCTGCAGGAGCAACAAAGAAAAATCAATTCAATTCAATTTTATTTATGAAGCCCAGAATCATGAATCACAATTTGCCTCAGAGGGCTTTACTGCATGAGACATCCCTCTGTCTTTGGACCCTCACAGCAAATAAGACAAAAAAAAAACAAAACAGTTCAATGTATTATGTTCCTTTTCTTTATAACAAGCATAAAAAAATCACTAGTAGTATGCTGATTTCTCAGTAGCTAACTAGCTCGCTAGCTAACATTACATTGTTATTGCTGATTTGTGCATGACAGTCCCACATTTTGAAATATTTCCATGTTGCATTCTGCCTGAAATGTAACTTAATTCAAGCAGTGAAGTTGCTGCACTTGTTACTGCTCCTCAAACATCAGTGCAGACTGGCAGGGTAGGAACACAGGTTGCTAACGTTAGCCTACAGAGCACTGCTAGTGGCCTGGTAATGAAGCAGTGTTCTTTTTTATTTCATGACTTGTTTGATCAGTTGGTAGTGTGAAACTTAAGTTATGAAAGATTTGTGCTTTACTACCACTATCGGATGAATGGCAAAAGTTATTGTGAGAACACTATTATTGCCACAGGTGCGTCTGTTTACATACATCGACAACTACTGATGATGAATCACAGTATTAAAGAGTTGTCCCATTTCATAGGAGAAGATTTCAACCACAACCCCTTGTAACTCTGTTCCGAGGCACTTGAAAACAGAGGGTTGGGGTAAGATTAAGAAATGGAAGTTCAATGTCTGAGTGTAGACCATGTTGCCACGTGTGTAGGCGCCATTATGTGCTGGAAAATGTAATGCTGTTCAAAAACACTTTCAAACAAATCCTGAACACAATTTCAAATGAAAAACATCACTGCTGATATCAGTTTGTAACACATTTGGCTAAATCTAAAAAGGCTGTGAAAGTTTGTGGCTTTGTTGTGGTCTCGCCAGATGTTGCCTGCCTCTGAAGACGCCGTTTCAGCCAGACAGACAGACAGCCAGCAGCAGGGCCACACACCGGCCAGTGGAAATCAGGTTAAACTGTGCTGTGCAGGCATTGCTGACATGTCCTCTTTGGCTTGTTAAAAAGTTAAGCTTAGTAATCTGCCTTTGTGTTTACAAGCCAGATGAGGTTTTGTGTGCTTACCCAGTGACATGAGCTCATCATCCAAGAGGCTGATGCCCACGGTCTGAGTCAGGCTCTGTAGGTTGGAGGGCTCTGGGTTGGATGGTGCTGAGTTGGCTGATGCGTTAAGTCCCATCAGGTCTACTAGTGCTGAGCTAGTGCCGTCTGATTTGGACAAAGAAAACCTTATCTGTGATCTTATCTTCTACAGAGATGACTGGATAATTTATTTAAACAACCAAGCAGTAAAAACAGTAAAGGATGCCAAATCACATGCATGCACCCACCTGGCTGTGAGGGCATGGTTGTGCCGTCCTTTGGAACATCCTCTCCCTTCACCAGGTGTCTGTACAGGTTGATGACCTGTGTCAGGCTGTCATTGGCCTGTAAGATATCCGCTGTAAGCAGAGAAAGGCTCATGAGCAACACCAATGTGGTTTTCACATCTTGTGCCTTTGTATGGGGGAAAAAATGTGACTTCATAAAAACCTTATTCTGCCTGAGATAGTATGACATTGTGTCAAAGTCATGAGTTCAGCAGCCTTACCTAAAGCTTCATCACTGTCCTCTGTATCACTTGCTAATCGGAACAACGTAGGCCTCATTTTTTCACAGCGCTGGTAAAGATCCTGCGAACAGACACGTTACAAACTCTAAAACCTGCAATGGGTAACGCGAGCAGAATTACGAGACTGTAGCTGCAGCTAGTTTTAATGTGCTAAGCTGTGCTAACCTTAATGAGTTCCTGGTTGCTTTGGGAGCAGCTGTCCCTGCTGTAGCCCTCCAGCAGCTGGCTCAGCAGGCTCACACTCTCTTTCACCTCCTGGATGGCGTTTAATCGCTTTGATACTTTCTCCACACGCTTTTGGTCCTGGAAAAAGAGCGAAAGGATCTCACAGTGACTAAATTTGTTCCTCAGGGTGATTAAGATAAAAGGAAATAATGCCTTATGGTGATACAGGCTACATTACTGTTTAAGATTATTTCTTATCACAATAAAAATCTAAATATGTGAATGTTAAAAATTTTTTTTGTTAAAGATTTTACATTTTAAAATTTCATGAGCCATGGAAATGATTTGAGGAGTTAAATTTAGACAACAGGCCCCTGGGCACAGATACACAAAAAGTCCCACTACCTCTCCTACATAGCAGCAAGAAACACAGACTTTGTGGTGGTTTTGTGTCTTGTCTTGTGTCTCTGAGATCGTTTTGTGCCTATTTTGGTCGTTTTATTTTTCGTTGTAGTCATTTTGTGTCTCCTTGTCTTTGTTTGGACCCCTTTTTGTCGTAATTTTGTGTCTTTTTGCAGTTCCTTTGCATCTTTTTGTGATCATTTTAAGGCTCTTTCTGGTTGATACATGTTAATTGGAGAGACATCTGAGATATCTCAGACGCCCCTGGGCTTGTAGACTGATGACAAGCATTTTATTTTCAACAATTAAATCTGTTCATACCCATTTTGCTAAATATGACTTTCAAATCCTAATCGTTAATCTTCATGACTCTGGGAACAACCTGTTCAGTTTTTAATGTTTTTATATTAATTATTTTGAAAGGAATTTAACGAAAGGTGTTGAACATCTGAGAAACCGATTAGTTTCAAGATGATTATCTTTAATAATGTCTAAATGAATCTAAAAGCTGATGTTCAATAGATCAAAACATTGATCATTACTTGGATTTCACTGATAATAATTATACACATATAATAAGTGTAATGCTTGTTTAAATGTTTAAAAAGCTGAAACCGCACCTGTATTTATAAATAATGCACACCAAAAGGCTGACAAGCTTTATGCTGGCAGGTGTGGTTAACCATCTAAACCACTTCAGAAACAGTTCAATAAAATACACAGTAAAAAAACGTGCATGGGGAAAAACAGTGATACAATTGGGTCTAAAACACCCTTTTTAAAAAGTTAGTTAGGTCAAATCCAAATAAGGAAGAAACACATCTGTTATATTAATAGACAGATTTTCATTTTTGCAAATATGTGTGGCAAGGTCTAGATAAATACACACATATCTATAAACACACAAGGAGGACAACCATTTTTTATTTTAGAGACAACGTTTGATCCCATTCTCGATTCAGACCTTGAACTGTAAGAGAGCAAAGACCGAAAGTGTAAAAACTTTCGCAAGAGAACATTTAAATCTCCTCCTCGTCTCTGAGATCTAACATGCTTGATGCCAGTGTATCTAAGAGAGGCCACTGAATGATTAGCCACTCTGATCCTGGGTCCGGTGTTCTGCTAGCCTCATTTTTGGTGCTCTTTGTGTTTTTCCTATGTAAACCACATTTCTTGTTGAACAAGATATAGTGCCTCTTATTTTCATATTTTTTCTGTTATCTGGTTAAATTTGAAACATTTTGACCTGATGAAGATCCAAGCAGGGTGGAAACATCTTGATTTAACTTTTGTGACATGGGGTAAGTTTGCAGACGTTGCTTCTTGCTTTCATAATAACTGGATTTCCACATATTGCCAATGTTGGAGGAAAGCGGGTGCATAACCTGCTCTATAATCCCTCTAAAAATAATAATCAAAAATATCTTAAAAGGCCTTGAGACTACTTTTCAAGTGCATTAATGTCGGCACGTTACATAATCAGGTGTGTTGTTTGTACAAATGGTGGAAAAACAGACACACATGCATGTAACTAAAACCACAAACTGTGCAGCACACACATTCAGTAAACAAAACCGATGACTCACCTCCTGGACCATTTCCTTAATGAGCTTGTTTGCAGCCCTTAGATCTTCTGGGTGAGTGCTGTTCAATAGGCGAGACAGCATCTACAAAAACAGGATAGGACAGAAGAGGGAGAGGAAAGAAAAGAGGAAGAGAACTCTGTAAACTGCTGGTGCCTTGATGACTTTCCCAGGAGTGTCACTTCAAACAGGATTTGATGGGCACAGAACATTTTTAGAAACAGTCTTTCCTTTTGAGCACCTATTCAAAGTGACTGGTGCCTCGTCATCATCGCTCATACCTTGGATTTCTCCTCATCCTCAAAGATGACATTTTTGGCTCTGGGTGGAGGGGGTGGGAGGGGCTTGTCATCAGGAAGCACAGGATCCAGCTTGACAATGCCTGGAAGAGGACAAGGACACCACATGTCAACGACTCAGTGAGGTCATCTAGGTCTCCTCTGACTCAGAGTACTGTCCATGACATACAGTGTGTGATAATGCTGCTATAACATTGTTTCTGACACCTCTTTTAGATAAATACAATCACATAATGATAAGACAGTTGTATTCTGTCCAAACGTGCTACTGATATTGTGTTGATTATACTGCAGTAACTTAAGACTGCTTTTTCAGTTCACACTAGATTCAACTAAGCAGCATGACTAAGGACTTCAGTCTCATGCTTGTGGCTCATCACCATAAAAAGGGGAACTGATACTGACTTGTGCAAAACACTATTTGCAAATACACGGAAAATACTGGGAACCAAACAGAGCACTATCACGTCATCAGCGAAATATGGGAACTTTAAAACACATCAATGAACCACTGTATGTTAAATGTATGTAACACGTCGTGCATGTAAACCATGAAGAGAATGAGAAACCTCAAGCTAAAGCAACCTGTCAAGCTTGTCCTTTATCTTGATGGTTTGTCATGCTGTCAAACTTCTAGAGCACTCACCCTGCTTCTTCAGCATCTGATAGGCATCTGCTATTTTGGTCTCGTCAGGCAGCCTCACTGTCCAGCTGTACATTATTTCTAACACCTTCTTCTTCACTGCCTCTGGAGCCCGGGCACCCAAGTACTGCAGAGAAGAGGAGATTCAAGCAGTTGTTAAAGAAAAATGTGTTTATGCTGTTCTTTAACTATTCCCACAAAGTTTCTATAGGTGGTTAAAAGCTGCTTTCACTTCTCAACAACTAACTATCACAGACAGGGATCATTACCTTGGGTGACACCACTTTGATGAGCTCATTGAGAAAGCGAAACTTTCCCACTTCACTGTGAAATCGCTTTCCACAGTTCTTCATGCATGTCTCCAGAACCTGTGAATAATTTAAGGTTTGTTTAACCTTTGCTCAAACAATCCTCCACAAAAAAGCATTCATTCTAAAAATAACGACAAGTGGCTCCTAACGTGGCGTTCTGAACACGTTTACACTTGTTAGCTTACCATGAGCGCTTGCATAGCCTCCCACTCCTGAGGAGACTGGATCTTGTGGGCCAGAAGTCTGGTTGCAAGCTGGGGACTGATAGATTTAAACAAATTAACCTTCACTTCACTCACAGACAAAAATGAGTCAAGAATAATACGAGACATCAATTTGAAATGTGCCACAGAAACACTTTGTAAAAGCATGCACAAATGATTTGCCAACATGTGAAGCTAAACATCTCTGAAGTGAAAAGAAAGCAGGAGAATGGTCAGAGATATTTAATGTTGTGTGATAAAATATTACATAGGATATATAAGGTATGATAGGATGCGAGGTAAAAGTTTTGAAACTGGATTAAAACAAATTGTTAGAGTTTAGAGAAACTGGCATAGCGTTGATTTGATTGTGCATTTTGTATATGGTGATTAAAGGTCCAGTGTGTAGCTTTTTGGGATATACTGGCAGACATGGAATACAATACAGGTGTTTTCTTTAGTGTATCATCACCTGAAAATAAGAATGATTGTGTTTTCATTATGTTAGAATGAGCCGTTTATATCTACATAGGGAATGGGATCTCGTCTATGGCATTTGCCATGTTGCACCGCCATGTTTCTACAGTAGCAGACAAACCAAACACTGGTTCTAGAGAGGGCCATTTATGTTTTTGCGTTGGCCATCGTAGTTTGCAGCCCCTTCATGATGAGCAACATAGGAAAAACAGCAATGTCACAAATGTGAAACTGCTTTATTCTGTGTTTTTACCAGTTTAAATCACTGGGTCCATTTGTTTTGGAGAGGATGAGACCTCTGTGGATAATTCGGTGTACAGTAAAAACCTCCTAAATGTCTGGATCAGAAATAAGGTGAGCACACATTAGCAGGTGCCGGGATAGCGATCTGTCTGAAAAATGACAAACAGCACAGGACAAACACTGATTTGTGATGTGAAACTACTTAATTTGGCATCTTTACTTGTTTTAACCACCTGGTCTGTTTGTTTTGGAGAGAAGGAGACTACTATGGATAATTCTGCCTCCAGTGAAAACCCCCTGAATGATGAACACTAAATGAATTTTAACCTGGAGAAGTTTCAGCTGGTTGCAATCTGCAATCCTCACCGCTAGACGCCACTGAATCTCCGTAAATCTTCCACACTGGACCTTTAAGAGAACAACTATTTTGAAATGGTGAGATATCTTCATCATAATCATCATCTCACCCGTCTGGTTCATCGTTGAGCTGATCACAAAACCCCTTGATACTGTCCCAGTCGGTCTCCTTATTCAAAGGGTTGGTGGCCTTGTCTGTGTAAAAGGAAACACATTAGACTAAATTCTGCATCTCAAATTGCTGCATATGACTTGTCTTCTATATTACATTTAGCAAAAATTATAACAAATCATGATTCTCCTGACATTCTTTATGTCAGATTGCTCTGGATAGATGTGTGAAGTCTGTCAGACTTCTTGCAGGTAGTGACTTCACACTGGGGTTTAACAGCAGCAGCAAAGTTTAGAGTAAATCCTACTGAACGCCTGTGCTCCCTGTCAGCAGCTGTAGCCTCTGGTTGTTTGCTTTACACAATCTATCGCCTCGCTTGTTTGGAGCAGTTGAGGTTGCTGGTGCTGCTGTGTCTAAGATCATGGCATTAGTACTGTGTCGTTATGGTTCCTGGTTTTGGGTTCGTTCAGCTGGCTTGTCTTGGTCCGTGGGGAAACGATCAGCAGCTAACTAGCTAGTAGATTCTGTTAGCATTCAGCTGGACATTAGTATGATTCTTTTTTACTTAAATGTCATGTTTGTGTAGCATCACCACCCTCAAACTGTCAACAGTAACCACAATGTGAGCTCAAAATACGAGCACATCACAGCAAAGGAGACATTTAATCTGAGTTTGTTCCTCATCGACAACTGACACTTTTTGATTTGATGACATTCGCTCTCTTGACTCTTAAACATATCTCCCCTGGGGAGAGTAATATGTCCGACAGCGGCAAATTTAAACTGATAATATATATCCGTGTCCCCTAACAGCGCATCGGCTATGGCTTCACGTTCAAACGTTAATCAGATAGTGTACAGTATAATGACTTACTGATGCGAGACTGCAGGCTAGCCTCATCCGGAGGCGCCGCCGCCATCTTTCGGGAACTCTAAACAAGTGGCCACTATCGCGTGATTCTTGTAACATATCGCGTGGATAGCCGTTGGAGCCGCGGCTCTGTAGCGCCCCCGCTTGGGCTCATAGCTTGACATTGAGTGGGGTGGTAGGCAGGCTGCCAACGCTTCAGTCAATGCGATCAGGATGGCTTGGCACCGGCTCCGGGCTGCTTTGATAAACACCAATTGTCCGGGATGTATTTATTACAGTGCGCTTTGATTACATTGGCGCGAGGAGGGCGTCGCGAGTAGCACGAGGCGTAACAGACTTTTTTTATTCAGCGTTTTAACCGTCGTTGCAGTCACTGCAGCAACAAACAAAACCTGCGTTGTGATCCACCTCAAGGAGGAAACTGTCACCTCTGCTTCGACTGAAACTACATCACCGTCTGAAAGAGGCAGACAGTCCTCACAGTGTCCGCGCCCACCTAAAAGAAGCAAACCTGCAGACTGCAGATATGAGCTAGCAGCAGGCTAACCTGCGTTAGCCAGTTAGCCGAGTTCGCTACGTCAAGAACTTTGTTGGCAAGCTACGTTATCAACTCGAGATACCAGCCGCGGTTTTAACCCAATGGTTCTGGTCAAGGTACAACTTTAGATGTCGTCTTAGCTGTCAGAGTAACTCGGGGCAGGAGATAGTGGGAGTATAATGCATTTTGTAGTTGCAAAAGTTAGGTAACGTTAACATCCAGCTAGCTTGCGAGCCATGCTAGTTTTTCTTAACGTGACTCACTGGCTGTTGATGAATGTATCGTATCGCAACATCGGGTGTTGTCTGGCTGTCGCCCCTCCACTGAAAGGCTGCTGATGACTCGTTTATGACCAGAGAAGAGACTGTGTGTTGTCTCCTGTCGCTCCCGGGACAAAGCAGCTCGTGTTTTATTTAACAAAAATATCGTTACTTGGATTTCTGTGATAAAACCATCATGGGGTCCCTGAAGGCTCTCCAGGAGTGGTGTCGGATACAGTGTGAGAATTACAACGACGTGGAAGTAAGGGACATGTCAACGTCCTTTCGGGACGGTTTGGCGTTTTGTGCCATAATACATCGCTACAGACCTGAATTGATGTAAGTAACACCGAGTTTAACGACGTTACATTAATACTAACTCACCCTAATGAAGCCTACAGTTACAAATGGGAAAACAGTTTATTGTAGTTCGAGTTAACGGTCCACCATTCACTGAATCTGGCTCCTGTGAAAGGTGGACACATTTTTAAAGAGTGACAGGCATGCTGTTGTCTTTGAAATTGTTTTAAAGTGCTGTTTTAATTAGTATGTTAATCCATTTAGGATACAAATGCAAAACAAACTCAGTAGCCAGACTGTGAACTCATCTGCCCTCTAGATTATTCCGTGTATGTTTGTTAGGACTGGGATTATGTGAGGCCCCCGTCAACAGTTTATCTTTAGTGAACACATTTTAAGTAGATAGCTGCCCAATTTGAAAACACTGCATTAGGCTGCATGTTATAATATTAGTTGTTAGATAACTTTAGCTAAACACACATATGGTCAATCACACAAAATATATGGCTTAGTGGTGTTTTTGTATGATGTATCATAGCCAAAACACCAGTTAAACATTTCCATGAACACTTCAGAGTGAGAGGCCAATGTGCTGTAACTAACTCAGACTGACAAGCTATGCCTGTCTGTATCAACACACCCCTCCTCTCTGCATTTTACACCTACACACACATTACAGAAGCTACCACAAAACACAACCGCAGTATGTCAGTATCATTGTGACTAAAGATACTTATTACAGGGATGAGAAAATTCTACTGTTTTGGTCGAGTCCCAAAACCAGAAAATCCCATACTCACTCATTAACTTACAGTTGATAAGTGAGTTTGACCAGCCGTTGCTTAAATGCACCCAAAGCCTGATTGTGTGTTATTTGGCGACACTCAGCTTTTCAGTACTTCCATTTCCCATCATGTGTTGTCACAAATATGTTTCTAGATCTTGTGTTTCAAACAGTTGAATCATGTGATATGAAATGTCTTTGCAGTGTGACTGTAAATATACACAGAAACGCTGCCGTTACATGGCTCACATTGGACATGCATTTCTGTGGCGTCTTGTATAGCATAAGTGGCTCTGTATATCTCAGTGGGAAGTGCACTTTGTTGACAGCATCAGATTAGTGGTTTGACTCCTTCAGGAAGAAGTTGGGGAGCCTTGCTGTTGTAGGAGGATTGTGCAAAAGCAGCCAGTAAATGACATGCTGTGTCCCCTCTCTGTCCTGGAGGGGAGACTGTGGTGAGATGGAATGATTTTAGACAATAAGCATCTTGCTCATGCTGCGAACCTCTCAGGTGGTCCAGGCTTTTGTGGGGAGATTAGACTATGCTTGGATGGGACTAGAGCAAACATTCGCTGGACCAGTCTCTGAAGGACAAGTCAATGAAGTGGAATATATCCGCACAGTAAAACTGAAAGTAAGAGAGCGGACAAATCCTAAACACCCAGTTTTAAAGTTCTGCCTCTTCAATTTGTGTCTCAGCGTGCCTCCCTGTTCAGCCCTCTGTGTTGCTGCAGCGGCCCAACGGAACTCGCTCTGATCCAGACAGACAGTCCGTCAGGCTAATCTGCGTCTGAGACCTCCGCCTGTCAAACTGGATTTGGCTCTAATGCTGGGCCAGGCCATTGTAGCGCTGCCCTGCGCTCTGAGGCCAATGTATTCTCATCAAAATACATCACACTGCTGCAGAGTAGGGACGTTAGTACAGTAAATGACCTCATCTCAATTTCAGCCGAGACCAACCGCCACTCAGCTCGCTGGAGAGGGAGTAGACATGGCTGTGAGAAATCATCCATGGACTAGTTAACCAAAGTACATGGGACAGTGCGGTCAAACTTGCATATAGATTCAGTTGTGTTCATCTATGCAGCAATGCAAAAACTCATCACACAAGGGAGGTCTGCAGGTCCTTAAAAGTCATTAAATAGCCTTAAATTTGAATTTGTGAGGTCTGAATTGCCACAAACATTTTATCTAACTTCATATATCCATCTTTATTTATTAATTTATTCATTTTTTGGTCAAAACAAGTCAGCCCTCTGCATGAAAGTCCACATTTCTGATGATGCAAATCTTTAACCCTACTACTCAAGAGCCCTAATACTTTATTTGTACTTTATACTTGCACTATTCTAATTCGCTCGAATAACCATATTCCTAAATAAAACCTACTTCTGCACGGGATACATATAAACTACTTACCTACAATGCTTAGACAAGAAAAATCGTCTGTAAATTTGGTTTAAAATTATCTTGAAAAGGTCTTAAAAAGCATTGAATTCAAGTGTTTGATTCCCAAAGATAATACAGTCACATGTCATCTACTTAGTTTTAGTTTTTCTGTGACTTCTATGTTGAATGCACTTGTTTCGTCTTCCCCTACTCCTACTAAAATTACAGATTACATATTTAAAAGCTTTATTTTTGGTTGTCACAACTTTTCCAGATCCCTCATCTGTATGCTTCAGCACAAACGTCTGACTGAACCAGATTTAGTAGATATACAGGTTCGCCCAGGCTTTGATTATGTCAATTTTAAATACCTGACACACAGTGCTCACACACACACACAGCTCCTCAGCAGTCCTCCTTCCCAAAATAAACCTTGGAACGAGACTCTGAGTCACAGTGGATTAAGTTCGCAATTCAGATCACACACTGCTCTTCATCATCCATGTCAGTGTCAGCTGGCACTGTCTGCTCTGCGAGTGTCATGCAATTTTAGTGATGTTTTTAAAAGTTTCTGTGGGCCCTTTAGGCTATGTTGGTAGACCTGACACAGAGGACCTGTTCTGACATGATCTTGATATTAGAGCTGCTGCTCAGTGTGTTTGTGACCATGGGAACTAGATTAGAGAGAACAGAGGTCACTTTGTGTGGCTCCAACACGGAGCTCATTTACAGGGATTTTCCCTTCTTGAGAGTTCCACATGGTCACCACAAGCGCTCACCAGGGTCAAGGAGTTTTTCTGCCAAAATGTTGTCCTGCCACTGCACACTTGTGTCAGCATACATTTACCTATGTACACAGCCAGACTTACATCCCAGAACACCTCAGACATTTTCCAGTTTTACTGCAGGATGTTTACTGGTGAGAGCCTGGCTCTGGTTTCCCGCTCCAGGCATTTCAAAGCGAGGCCTTGTAATTATCAGCCCATCACTTCTGTGTGGTGCAGGAGTTCTTTCCTTTTGTGCTGGCACTATTTCACATCAGGGACCAATTGTCAGCTTTGGTTGTCGGGGAAACTTAACTGCTCACCATTCCTGCCTGTCATGCTGTCAAGCCAATAATAGCATTTTGATGGTCCATAACATAAGTGGAAGTAGGTCAGCACGCTAAATACAGTGCCGTCCTATATCAGCATGGCTTCGTCTTCTACAAGACTAAAAGCAGATGCTATGTTTTGCAGTTGTTGTAGGCTATATCTGCAGTCTTATCTCGAATGGTACTTTGAATTTTAACATTTTTTCTGTCTTGTCATTTCAGAGACTTTGGCTCACTGTCTAAGGAGAATGTCTACGAGAACAACCGACTGGTGAGTCAATGTAACAGCTGTATGTTTCGATGTGTAACGCTGCTACAAGCCTGTGTTGCATGATGATGTCATTTTGTGAGACTGTTTTCTGTTGAGAGGAGGTTTGGATCACCTATGTGGCTTCGGGCGTTGCATTTGTCACTGCATGTGCTTCATTCAGCCATAAAACTATTAAGCTTTACGTCTGCATGCAGTCATGGTGGGTGTGACTTAAGTGTGTTCGACTGTCTGCGTGGAGAGCAGTGTTACTTAATCCTGATGGAGCCTGACGAGGGAAAAGAGGGAGAGGAAGCCAAAGCATTCAGTGTCATAAAAAAATCTTGACATAAGCCTGTGGAGAGACCATGTAAAGAGGATTTTAAGTGCAAAAGTGCTGACTTTGCCGCCTCTAAATCAGTGGATAGAAACCAGCAAAGAACTTGCTCTAATAATCATATTCCCCTTGTTGGGTTTTTCCACATCGTCTGTAAGCCGATAGAACATTGAGGGATGAAATGGGAGTCTCCTCATTTCCAGTCTGTGCTAAGCTTCGGCAGTGCTGTGCTGCTGTTTGCATAATTTTTATCCAACAGCTTTCAGGGAAAGTGAGACGGTTGGTAGTAGCACCAGGATCAAACTATCATGCTGGCTGCCATTATAGATAAATCAAGTTATTCACTGCATCCCTGAGCCCTAAGTCTGAGTGAGTGATCTATGACTTTAAATGTGAAAAGCACCTTAGTCAGATTTTACTATTAAGGAGCCAGATGTGAGCTCCTTAAATGTGTTCATGGTCTCTTTCCTAGTATTAGTCTCTAATACTCCTTTCAAGTAGGAGATAAATACAGGGGCTTACTAAACAGGTAACCCATGTTTGACCCTGCTTGTATACTGTATGATGGTTGTCACAGGTTTATCCTCTTGTTGTCAGCGTTCAGAGACTCCAGTCTGCAGCTGTTGTTCAACACACATTACTGCTACATGTACAATCACACTAAAATCAGGTATGTAGGAAGCAAATAAAGCTACTGTACGTTTCTGTTTCAGTTCCCTTCACTTGCTCCCATTCTGTCACTTTCCCACCAATGTGCTCTCGTTCTGTTTTCTTCTGTTTTTCTTCCTGTCTTTTTTTAGATTGATCAGTTGTTGTTTCAACATCATTCGTACTAAACTTGGCGATATATTATTAGATTATTAGATGTTATTATTAGATTACAGCACTTTTTTAGAACACAGTTACAAAGTGCTTTACATCAAAACAACTCACTGGAAACATGAAGAGAATGAAGCAGCCAAAAAAGCCAAAGACTAACACAATGAATCACAGACCGTAAAAATAAAAAAATGTCATTAAAGATAGATAAAATCACATAAATGCCAAAAAAGAGTGATTTAAAGGATGAGACAGAATTGGCAGCCCTGATCACTTCAGACAAGTATTTCCAAAGGCCAGGAGCTCTGACTGTGAAGGCTCTGTCACCTTTGAAGATAAATCTGGACCTTGGAATGACGAGGAGCGATGCATCCAAGGATCTGAGGGTGTAGGAAGGGACACAGGGCAATAAGGTATCTGAAAACTTTAGGGGAGGCCTCTCAGGGCTTTGAAAGAAAGGAATAATATCCTAAAATCAATTCTAAACACAACAGGTAGCCAGTGTAACAAGGCCAGGGTTAGTTAAATGTCTACATTGGGAAATAAAGTTATAACATCATGCACATAAAGATTAAATTGACTAAAAAAGGTAACTTCATGATTGCTGTTCCTACCTGCTGGGTAGCTAATGTTAGCTAACAACCGCCTCCAGGTTGTGAGACATCAGGCTGATATTAATAAACGCAAACAGCAGGAGCAGATGAATTTGTGCGCAGGCTTCTCTGCTCTCTCTGAGCTGAAATTGATTATTAAATTGCATGTCCACACTCTCTTCAGTTGAAACAGACTAATAGCCCATAGCCGTCAGGATAACTTGTACTTTAAGTATGCATAACGACCACATCCTTGCAGGTGGTGCAGGTCTTTTAATATTCTTTCTGAACTGTCTTTGATTAAATCAATTCAAAGTTGTGAATGCTTCTACATTAAAACACAGTCTAAAGCTCAATAGAAACACCTATTTACCAAAGGATCAGACCTGCATTAAACTGAGGTCTGAATGAGGTTCATGAAGGCAGGTGAGGTGACCCAGACCTGCACTGCTGGTTTGGTGTGATTCACTGTGTCCTCCTGGAGGGCGTATGACTCACAGGCACATCCTGATTTGGGCAAAATTGCAAAGAGCCAGATATTCCAGTTTCTAGTAGCCATAATAATAATGCTCTGACCTAACAGCACGTTAATCAGAATATTTGCATTTCACTCAAAATAGGTTCACACAGAATAGACCTATTGGTATTTTAAACAAGGATGGCAGAGTGGCAGCTACAGTTTTGTGTAGTGAATCAGTAACATGTTGGTTTCAAGGGCATCCATTCATTTTCAGCAAATTGCAGGACAGTGGGTAGTTTGAACAAGAAACAGTGAACACTTTTAGCTGTAAACCCGGTGTTATTCGCACAGTGCACCCTGATGCATTTTGATTAATTTAGGTGTAGTGCCATGTGGCCCTTATGTAGCATTTGTTGGCGGGATTATTTCAGTGTTGTGTGACTGCCAGCGATTGTATCCCTGTTGTTATGTAACCTTACCTCCCCTCTCATTTCTGCAGTGGAATTTTTCATTAGACTGATGGTTATCCTCAAAGCACAAAACATTACATTATCATCAAATGCCTGGTGTTTTGGCAGCAGAGTTAGATTAGTCAGGGCATGAGCTATGCGCTGGTTGGTGGGCTGTGGCAAGCATCTCTCTTTTTTTTGCACACATGCAACAAAGACATCATTCTGTCCTCAGTTTCCGATCATTCAAAAAGAGAAACTTTCTGTGAATACCCAGATGGAGAGTTTAGTTTCAGTGAAACATTTTTATGGTACGCAATAACTCGAACAAAACATACTTTCTCACTCAGCACTGGTAGTATCAGGCCATGCAGATAGTTTTTGGTTTTATGTGCAGAGGTGTGAGATACTGGTCTCTGAGATTTTGTCTGCCAACCCAGTACAATAAAGGTAAAAGGAATTTTGTTTGTGCTGCTCCAAGCATTAAAAAGTAATATTAGAAACCCAACAGCAGCATGCCTTTTCATAAACATTATCCCTGTTACTCAGGGTGATCCACAGACCTCACTGTCCACAATTTCCACCGCAGCTACTTTATGCCATAGAAATATTCCCAGAACAGTGACAGAAATCAGACCAAAATGCCACAATGAGTTGAAATATTAATAAGTATTCCAGGTCTGTTGAGTTGTGCACAAAAAGTAAAGCACAGTATTTGGTTATAATTTGCAGCAATTATTGTTTTCAGCTTCTTACTAATCTACCTCCGTCCTTCTCTCCTTTTCTCCATCTTTGCTTTGTTGTAGGCGTTTGAGGTGGCAGAGACGCAGCTTGGGATTCCAGCCCTGTTGGACCCAGAAGACATGGTGTCCATGAAAGTGCCTGACCGGCTCAGCGTCATCACATACGTCTCCCAGTACTACAACTTCTTCAACAACAAGTCTCAAGGTGGGTACATTAAATTCAGCTGGATTTCACTTCTTGTAGTGTGAACATAAAAGCATATAATGTTTGTCTGCACTAGGCCTGTCATGATAACTACATGTGTTTGACAGGATATTTTCCCAGACGTAACTGCTGGAAACAATGTTGTCAGCGTGAGAGCATTTAATGCAACTGATATATTTATGAGACAATGGCATAATAATGCTAGAACACTTTTTCGAAGAGCAACAAACTTTTAATTCTTAAAAATATTCAGAATTGGAATATGAAGTAATTAAGGCTTGTTAATATATGCAAGAAAATGTCTCAGATTGAGACTTACAGAGTTCAGACAACAAAAACTGAACCAGGTGATGCCTCTTGCGACCAATAGACAAGCTTAGTGAAGTAACAGGCACACTGCAGTTACCTCCATCTTCCAGCCAGTGTGCTCCACTCCTCCGCCCTCCCAGGCCGCCAGTCCCTGAGGGCCGGGTGGTTTGCTTGTGGTTTTATGAGGTTGTTGGAGGGTAAAACTATAAACGATGGAGTTTTTGACTCGTTGCCAGGGTGTTGGCAGGCTAACAGCTAATAGGACTGTGCACCTTTTACTCCCAAAGTGCAGCTGCAGGTTACCAGCAAGCAACACTGGGTCGTCTTTGAAGTGCAGGCGCGGGTGGAGAGGAAAAAAAGGGGGTAATTGCTGTGCCAAAGTCTTGTAATGTTTGAAAAATCTTGCTGTTAATTCTGGCTTTGTGTTGGCTAAAACATTGGTGACACTCTCATGTAAAAAACACACATGTTGCCTCAACACAATGGGCAGTATCAGGGTCAGTCCTGTGATAAGTCGATAATGTAATTATCATGACAGGCCTAGTCTGCACTTTGTATAACTTGTGGGTGTGACCACAGTTTATATAATTTGTTTGTATCATTAAGTGTTGATTTCCTTTTCTGCAGCAAACCCCCCTAGCATGAAAAGGCTGAGCTCCATCAGTCATAATGAGCCAGCCCAGAAAAGGCCCCCGACCCCTTTGGAAGACAAAGCAGTTGAGTCTGAGGTAAGACTTGGCACCAGGAGAAGGTGTAGAGATGAACAGGACTTACCCTTTGCATTTGTTTATAATGATTTGTTTTTACTCTGCGCCACACATAATACAATTTGAAAACTGTATCACTGAACTGCATAATTTCTGCATGATACTCCACAGGAGCCGCATGCTAACAAGATGAATTCTTTGAGTAACATATTGTTCATGGTGTCCTTTTAAGGCCTGGATAATCAAACTGAATCTGCACACATTTTTTGGTAGTGTATTGGTGTGAAGCCCTGGAGTATCTAAGTGTAATTCTGCATGTGCTATTTGGGGGTATTAAGTCATCAGATCTGTACAATACAAATCCCATCCTGCACTTGCAGTACAACAATGTCCACATTAAGTATTTTATAAGTACCACTTCCTTGTGCGGGCTTTGTGTTGCACAGCAGGGGGAAAAGCTAAGCAACAGAGGTGGAGTAAGTCTATAAAGATAGCCTCTGTATCCTGTCTCTCTTCTCTTTCGCATGCCTTCAACTTCTTTCCTCCATCGCCATACTCCCATGTACTGGCGTCCTCCCTCTCAACTTCCACCCCCCTCCCCCCTTCCCCCCGTTCTTCAGATGGAAATCCATTCCACTCCCTCCTCTTCCTGCTCTTCTTCCTCCTCACATCTGATCCCCCCTCCACTCTCTGGTCCTGAGCCTAGGCAGTAGGATGGGGGTGGGGTGGGCTAGGAGGTGAAAGCAAAACAGTTAGGTCAGTCTTTTTTAACTAACTCTTGTGCAAAAAAATACTAATAGTATAATCCTAACACTGTGTGCCAAGTTTTGGAATGCGCTGCTGCTAACCCCCTTTTTTACTTAACACGCAAAAAAACCCTTAATGCCTAGAAATTAATATCAATCTTAAATATCAATCATATCCAGAATATGTGACTCCCAGAGCCACTAACCCAAGCTGTTTGGAGTTTGTTACTAATAAAACGTTTTATATATTGATGTAAATTTTTGTGACAATCATATGTTTTAAACTGAAAAAAGAAATGCAGTAATGAACCACATGAATCACTGACAGGTAGATATCAGAGTAACCGAGTAGATGTAACTAGCTCAACAAAATGAACAATCCACATCCTCAAATCCTGACTCCGTGTTTGATCTCCCCCCTCCTCCCCCATTGCCCTCCATCTCCCCTCCCCTACCCTGACGTCTCCCTTCGTCCCCTCCCTGCAAATACAATGTCCCGGTTGCTTGCACTAGCCGAGCCAGCCCGCGCAGACAGGTGTAGAAACGGTTGCAGCAGTCAAGCGCAGCACTCTCAGCAGCACCTGCGCTGCCTGCCAGAAACACGTCCACCTGGTGCAGAGATTTCTGGTGGACGGCAAGCTCTACCATCGCAACTGCTTCAGGTGAACACTGCCGCAACAGCTTCTGTCTTCATGTGTGTTATACAGACTTTGTTTTAGCCATGAGTGATTGATGCTGTTGAGCAATACAGTGGGAAAAAAATTTGCTTTTGGGTTTCTTAAAGTGATAATCCTTAAGATTTTTGTCCTGGTTGATTTGGTAAGACCTGTGATGACTGGTGGTGACAGCAAGTAGGATTTAAAACTTACATTTTTCATAAGAGCAAAGGGTGTATCTACTTAGAGAGGAGCCAGCCACACATACTCAGGAAGTCAGACAATAATTGGACTTTTCCTACAGACGCTTTTACAGTTTGGAAACAATGATAATGTATGTAAGGGTGCACTAATGGCATATGGCAATGGAAGTTTGTGGTGGAGTGTAATAGCTTGTCAAGTTATGAAAGGGCCAAAGATCACAAATGCTACCGTAAGTTGTTGATGACAAATGCTGACCGACTGCCAGATCTTGTTGCAATTTAATACATGTATTTGATGGAGAAATGTAGCATGTACACCAGTGAGAAATTACAAGCACACAAGAATTTTTGATCTTGTCATCAGTCCACTGGTAGTCAACACATTGGAAAGCTTGCAGCCACAGATGCTGTCAGTGTTTTGGTTTAATGATTGTGTTAACCGGTGACTTTCAGCTGAATGCATCCATGGTTGCTCGTAGTAACTTGTGTAAATGTTAGTATGACATAGTATGTACTTTAAACTGATAAAAGTAAAACTGAAAAATGTTTACGAGGACACCTACATGTTCTGTTCATGTTTTCAACAGCTGCCATGACGCATTCAGCTGAGTCATGTTAACTTGTTAAACATAATTGCACTGAAACAGTTGTGATCCTGACAGAGTTCTGTAGAACTTGACTTCACTGTTGGAACAATGGTTCTGACAACCGAATATGTACCAACCAGGCATTTTGATGCTAGTAACAGTTGTATTTAAATGGTAAACCCTATGGGCCCGAACGACGCATAGTGCGTCCAAATTCACACCTGTTCTTCTCTATTGATTTTCTCTGTGACCGTGTGTCATAGGGAGAAGCCACGCATATCACGTGAAACAGCGGAATTGTAGCTTTCCGACAAGGCCACTACTTGTCGGTAGTCCAATGTTTTCACAGCGAAAAAGAATAATAAATTTACACTAAAATTATGTATAACAGAGCTTTCATACAGCTTTGCACACACATTACTCTTGGATGGATTACTCGCGAATGCAGGGTCGCACAGAAATGCCACGCATATCACATGAAAGTGTAGGAGCAGAGCTTTCTACTGATACCACAGACATCATTGTGCTGTCATCCCATCATGCTATAAATCCAGATCAATTGTCTACAAAATAAAAACCTGACGAATTTCTTTACAATCCATTATACAGATCTTGTTATCAGTCACTTCATATAGTGAGGAATATCGTATCTTACCACGTCTTAGGCTTGCGTGTGTTTCTCCCTGTCTATCCACATTTGTAGTCCATCTTTCAAGATGCAAATATCTCCATATTGTCCAGTTGACACTCCATCAAACTTTGTATGACAAAACCAGCCACTTCACCTTTGCGCACACAGACAACTGTAGCCTAATTATGCATGCTGACAGGGCTGTAGTCACCATATACATTGAGGGGGACACATGCCAGATATTGCCAGATTCCAGAGAGTCTCCCCTCTTCATATATGGCAGAATATGTCTTCTTCCAACTTGCTATGCTGAGATACATGTAAAAATGTAAGAATTTAGTAACACGGATTTGTTTTTTTCATTGATATAAAAATTAATATAAAATACAGGCACATAGGAGGACATGAAGAAAAAAACAAGATATATCATGTGTATGTAGCCTTTATAATGACTGTGATATGAGCTTAAAAGTAAAGGCAGTAAAAATACACCAAAAACGCCTAGGGCCCATAGGGTTAAAGCTTTCGAACTGAATGGTTTGGGCAAATATGCCACTTCCAATGCCATCATGCCTGAGCACATTTTTGTTGACATCAACTGTAAAGGGGTCTATGACGCCATGATCAACGCTGCCCAAGTTTCACTAGTTCAAAGCTTTTAATGTGAACAAGCAGCTGTAAGAAGCAATTTGTGTGATCACGTTTCATTTCTTGCGAATTTATCGTGTGAAGGTGAGCAGTTTAAACAGCCTGTGGAAATGGCGGACCCCGCCACTAAAGATGAAAACTACTACATAGAAAGATAATTGGAGAATATAAATATATTGTTTGGCTACTGCTGGAAAAATGCCAGCCGCAAACTGTCGAATACTGAATCTGATTTCATGAAAATCTTAAGGATTATGACTTTAGGAGCAGAACTAAATTAGTTAACAACTAGATCGTGTACCTATTAAAGAATACCAGATTACTGTGTGTATTATTTTGACAAATCAGCTCATGTTTTTGATCTGTTGTGGCTTTATATCTTAATAATCTCAGTGTCTTACTGTTGTCCCGTGTCCTTGTTGTCTCAGGTGCACAGAGTGTCACAGCACGTTGCTTCCTGGGTCCTACAAATTAGGAAGCGACTCTGGCGCCTTGGTCTGTACACATCACCTCGCAAGACATGCTTTAACCAATCAGAATGGCCGGCCAGATCTTAGTAAGAGACCAGTTGTAGGTGGGTCTGCCAGGATAGGTCGCAGCACAATTCCTCACACCTCGCCCTCTGAGAGGGAACAGGCAAAGACTCCTCTGGTAAACCAAATCAATGATACTGACACGCCCACCAATAACTCTGACACAGTCGCTGCTGTTACAACAAGTGCAGCAGACTCTTTGGAGAAAGCAAAGGAGATGGATGGCAGCGGAGGGACAGAGGAGACACCACGTTCTTCTTCTCCTCCCAACCCTTTTGATGAGAGCGATGAAGAGGAGGAAGAGGGCGAGAAAGAGGAAGATACCAAGACACCAGCCAAATTAACGACCAATGGGGACCTCCCTTCTACATCTGACAGTCATAATGAAGTTGCCAGTCGGCCAGTACCTGCACCCCGCCGGATCCCTGAACCGACCCCTCCTCCTCGCCCTGCCCCTCGAGTTCGGCTACCCCGTACGGCAGATGGCCTTACAGCTGGTGTGTACTCACTGTGGAATATAAATTATCAAAGATGAAAACAGGATCTGCTGATATTCATCCTCACTTTTTTCTTGTAATCACAGGTGAACATCTGAAGCCTCCAACTCCTCCCAAACCTCGAGCAAGGTCACAGTCTCCTGGAAGGTAGTGAGACTTCTCTTAAATGGCTCTTTATATGTCCATTGCCACCATTTCACTGACCTTGATCATATCATAGTCTTGTAGGTGTTTGCCCCGTCATGCCTCCATTGGCTGTATTTTGTTGTCTTCCCCTCTGTGACCCCTCCATCCCTATCTGTGTGTCTCACTGTCCAGCCTGTCCAGTGGCTCCCATAAACCCAAAGACCCACCTTGGCTCGCCCTGGTCCAATCAGAACCCAAGAAGAAGAAAGCCCCTCCCCCTCCCCCTGCCGGACTGGCAACCCCTCCCAATACAGGCTCTCTGTCCTCTCTCAAAGGGGACGGCTCCAGACCCAGCACGCCTCCTGTGCCCGCCAACCCATTCGAGGACGACGACGATGATGAAAATGGCGAGGTAGCAGAGGAAGAGGGAAACGAAGGCAGTGCGATTCCTTCCACAATTGTTGCTAGTCACCCATGGTACAGCATCACTCAGGCAGCTGATGCTACGACAGGTGCAGACACTCCCCCTAGTGGAGGAAGCTCGTCCCGCTCTGCTAGCCCGGGAAGCGCCAAGAGCAAGAAACGGCCGGCGCCTCGTGCTCCACAGCCACCTGCAGGTCACCAAGGTCAGTTTGGTCAGCGTTGAATTTTACTGACATTGATCTTGGCTACCATTGTGATTTAAGTACCCTGTAGAGTTGGGTTGATATGCAGGTCCAGTCCAGTGCACAGGGGTTAAACTGGTTTAATTTTATGCAAACTGGTTTAACTGGCAACATACTTTCAGTAGTTATTTGATTCAAACACCCTCAGATATAAAATGTAAGTCAGCACTTTGGCCCAGCTGAGCTGGAACAATGAGGCTGGAGAACAAAACGAGAGAGAGAGTGGGACGTTGAATACAGATGCTCATTGTTTTTTGTTCTCTTCCCATCCCCTCTCCATTTCAATCTGTCTCAACTACTTTGTTTCATTTCTGCTCTTTTTGCCTTCTTGTTTTTTTACTAAACCTCCTTTCCTCTTCAGTTTCCTCTCACTCTCAGCCCTCCTCTTGCTCTCCCTCTCCAGCTCTCAGCACAGAGAGTCTGTCTTCTGGCTCGGACCACAGCTCCTCCCATCCCCCTTTGGGTGGCGGTGGCGGTGGCAGTGCCAGCAGCGACCAGGAACACTCCTTCACCAAAAGTGTCTCGGAGCCTTCCATCTGTTCGCCGTGCGACTCTACGGCATCTCCTTCCTCCTCCTCGACTGAGCGTCTGCCTCATGCTTCCCTAAGCCCCTACCCTTCCCCCATGCTGTCAAATGCCAGCTCAGCTCCAGCCACTCCACAGACCAGCCGCAGCGTTGGGGCCAAAGGGACCAGAGACCCTCCACCACGACCCCCAACAGCACCCAGCCCATTGGCTTCAGGAGTCACCCCGACACACAATAAGGTAATAGGTCCCCCTCAAGCAGCTACCTCCGGGACTGAAAATTGAAGCCAGTAAGGAAGTACCAAAAACTGGCCACTTGAGGCTGGCTCTAAAAACTCGACAGACCCCAGTGATAAAACCCAACTTTAGGGCAGAAATAAACACGTCTGCAGTCTGGCACAAAAACAGTTTTGGCCTCGATAGATAATTTCCCCCATCATGACGACTGTAGGGGCGATGAATTTTTATATAACTCACCTGTTTTAATGATATTAAGGATTAAAGTTATGCATAATTAAGAGCCTGGCCACTTTGAGTTACAGGTGGGTGTATTTCAGGAAAGGTCCACACACCTTTTTATTTTGTTTATTTGAGAGCATGGGTGGGCGGGCAACATTCTTCCATCTTAGCAATACTGAATGTCGGGCCAAAAGAGAAGCGAAGGACAGTGTAGTGTTTGATTGGAGCCAGGTGCATGTGATCCTCTCCTGTTGTGCCAAAAGGGATATTTAGAGCTTGCAGTTCTAGGTCTTGCAAGTTAAAACATTAGTTATTATCACTTAACCACAGCTGTACGTTTACCATGCTAACCAAGCTAGCAGCTAGCGTTAGGGTAATCTCCACCCTCTTGTCCAAATATGGTCTTGCTGGCTCCAAAAAACCAAGATGATGATAGCCAAAATGCCAAACTCAAGGCTACAAGGTGTCCATTATTTTATACCATCTTTGGTCCACCTCTAAATAAAGCAATAAAAAGCAGTACACTGGACCATTATACTCCAGCTGTATCTCTTCTCATTCCAGCGGATCTGCAAGGAGAACCCATTCAACAGGAAAGCTTCTCCCTCACCGGCTAAATCCAAATCCAAACCACCAAAAGGCCCTCGTCCTGCCAGGCCCCCGGCCCCTGGCCATGGCTTCCCTCTCATCAAACGCAAGGTAAAAAAACTAAAGAGAAAACATACCTAATGTTTAAGCATAGAAAAAAATATACAATGGATGAAGAAGTACTCAAATGATTCCTCTCGCCCAAACATCCGTCCAGGTGCAATCAGACCAGTACATCCCAGTAGAGGACATCCATGTGGAGATGGGTCAGCTGGAGAAGCAGCTGGATGAACTGGAGCAGAGGGGAGTGGAGCTGGAGAAGAAGTTGAGAGACAACCCGAATGGTAACGCATCACACTGTTTCTAATGGAGTTTCTTGAGTAAAATGGGTGGAAGGCCAGTTAAATATTGCAAAGATATGAAGCTGTCCCTTCATGCAATGCATAAAATTTAGGTTCACTGTATTCAAAATTGAAAACTTTACTAAAATGGCTGCTCCATGTTAAATAACTCACTTAAGTATTGTACTGGATTATAAAAAGACCCGATCACCCAGTAAATGGATCAGTTAAGAAACATAACAAATATATCTCTGTGTTTCTCTTCTGTGTTTTCAGATGAGGACGAGGAGAGCCTGTTGGTGGACTGGTTTACTCTGATCCATGAGAAACACCTTTTAGTGCGACGAGAAGCTGAGCTGGTCTACACGTAAGTATCAGACTAAGGCAGTGAGCAAATGTCAGAATCATAATACTAAGATGTCAATCAGTGATTTTTCCTTCACACCTCCGTGAGTTTGATAAAAGTTGTCCAGAGAAGGCTTTCAGAAATATAGCACCCAGCTTTTTTAAATGCATGCCTTTAAGGGGAAAGGAGATTGCTAAAGTAGAAGCCATTTCTGATGCAATGAATTTGACTGGCCATGTCAACATCAAAATATTTATTTAAAAAGTTGTGTGATCCAGTTCTCTGGTATGCAGTCATATGCTTATTACATTATATACACACACACACACACACACACACACACACACACACACACACACAGTTATTCACATGGGATGTTTTCTCAATTGCAGCCTTTTTTTAAATCTCAGTGTTGGTGACAAACGTGGCTGGATGCATAATGTTTTCATGTTGTCCAACTGTCCATCAGTCCATGCCATCCTCGTGAACACAGTGTCTCAAGAATGCCTATAAGAATTTCTTCAGATTTGGCACAAAGGTCCACTTGGACTCAGGGATGAACTGGTCACCTTGTAAAACATGTTTTGGCCATAACCCAAGAATTCATACGCTAATTATGACAAAATTTCACAGAAATGTCCAACAGGATATAAATATGAAGTAATGTCATTTTATATCTAACAGATCAAAGGTCAGCTTCACTGTGGCATCACAATGTTCAGCAAAAACACTTTTCTGGTCATTATTCACACCATAACTCAGGAACAGAAGGGAAGACATTTTAGATACTGAATTGGTGACACTAATATTGGGTGTCCATCTTGAAACTGTTGATTGTATAGATCCTCTCTGCTGCTGGGTTGAAGATGAGAGCAGACATGGCTGTAAACTGTAGCTGGACTGGTTGGCAGAGACATATAACCACAAGGCAGTAGTTCTAGTTTAATTTTAAAGAGTGTAGACGAAAAGTGTACAAGCACAGCTGTAATAGAAGGTTACCAGTGTGTAACGTTCTGTGTAATATGTTGCAGAGCGAAGCAGCAGAACCTGGAGGAGAGGCAAGCTGACGTGGAGTATGAGCTGAGGTGTCTTCTCAACAAACCAGGTGTGTTTGGCTTCATCATGTCAAGAGAACTCAGAGTCTAATGCATTGCCTTGTTTGTAACGCACAACTCATGTTACAAAGCAAATTACTGCCACCAACACTTCACCTGTACATCCACACACAGATAAAGCTGTCACTCCTCTTTTTACTCACTTCCTTCCAAGTCGTCACTACATATTGTATATGAGTCTGGACATATCTGGATGTAAACTGCAACTTGACTGGTTGGTGGATTGATACAACCCAGAGGGAGGAAATTTAGTTTCCATTAACATGACTGTAACTCCTCCAGCAGTACTTACACTGCTCAGTCACACAGTCTGTCTCTCTGCTGATCATCTTCCCTGATAGGATGGTAGATAAAGTAGAATGTCCACATGTTTATACTTACTGATCTGTTACTTTAGGTATTCAGAAGTGCACCTTGTGAACTCACGTTGCATGTTAATACAATTGAAAGAACCTAAATAATTCATTATCATCCTTCCTCAGAGAAAGACTGGACAGACGAGGACAAGAGTCGAGAGCAGGAGCTGATGGCTGAGCTGGTTACCATCATCGAACAGCGCAACCAGATTGTCAACAACATGGACCAGGACAGGCAGAGGTAATCAATGAGTAGCAGTTAAGTTCAGTATTTTCCCATGTTTTTGTGTCTAAGTATGTAATGGGAACAATATTTGAAATTGGTCCAGTATTGAGAGATACCACCGCAGCCTGCAGCAGCGAAAAGCACTGCAGCGTAAACACTCAAGGCATGTACACCCAGTCAATGTATGTCCACGAGAAGTGCTTGTTTTTTTACACAGACAGGCTCAGATAGTATTTCTAAGTGTCTGATGTTTTGGAGAAAGGATCCCTACAGAGATAGACCTTTCCGTGAAAGATTAAGATCCTTTTTGTTTAACCAGAAACAGCCCCAAAACCGCAATCACCAAAAACACCAGACTCCATTATATAAACAGTAATTGTATCATCGTGAAACACATTTAAAAGTCGATGGGCACTAAATAAAATTCATAAAAACCTTCAGATGTCAATTCAGTTTCAATTTTATTTATAAAGCCCAATATCACATATCACAATTTGCCTCACAGGGCTTTACAGCATACGACATCCCTCTGTCCTTAGGACCCTCACAGCAGATAAGGAAAAACTCCCCAAAAAAACCTTTAACGCCGTTTCTGGTTAAACAGAAAGGATCTTACTCTTTTAACAAAAGGATCTATCTCTGTAGGAATCTTTTCCTCAGGTTGTTTGGCAATTAAAATGACTGTGGCTGTCATTGGTAAAACAAATACTTGTGGTGGGCGTAAATTGATGGTGCAAACATGCCCTGAGTGTTGACACTGCAGCTTGCTCAGCTGCTGCTTGCTGCAGTGCTCTCACTCAATACTGGACCAGTTTCAAAAATTGTTGTTTCCATTAGACACTAAAACATGAGGAAAAGCATCCAGGTTGAATAAAACCTTACTTACCCTTTAACTGTGTATCTCTGTAGTGAACCACAGTGTATTGATCAATGATACTTTATAGCTAACAGCAATCTAAAATCCATTCTGTCACAGGGAAGAAGAGGAGGATAAACTTATGGAGGCCATGCTAAAGAAAAAAGGTAGGCTCTTCAGATTAGAGTATTTTATTAACATAAAATGTAACCGTGACATATCATGTGACACTTTTTCCCCCTAAATTTTAACCTCACGCTCCGTTTTTATTCCCCTGATCAGACTTCCACAAGGATCCAGACGTTGACCAGCACAAGAAAAAAGGAGCAAAGTTCAAACCCATTAAGGTGCTCAAGCGGCTGAGCCATAAAGGAGAACCAGGCAAGAGCCACAGCCCCCGCAAGGAGAAATCACCATAGAAAGGACACATTCTCCTCTAAGAAGATATGAGGCTGTTTTAACATGACTAAGGAAAATGAAAAAAAGGACATGCGAAAAGAAAATGCAGCAGATCAAGAAGATGAGGTGTCCTTTAACTGTCATTAATGAGGCGGAAGTGCAACCCAAAACACTTCCTGCTCACATCTTGTGACGCTTCTCCAAAAAGTCTCTGCAGTGACTATTTTCAGTTGCCTTTGTGTGTTTTAAAGGGACAGTACATTAACTGTTGTAAGAGCCGATGTGTTTTTAAGTTCTCCAACCTTTCAAGCTAGTGAAGAATAGGTTTCTAAATTACTGCACTGAATTGTTGTATGTTCCTTCACTATCCTTTTATCAAGGCTCTGCAAAGGTGCGACTCATCAGCTCGAGTGAAGTCAGTTGGAATCAAAGTTGTTCGCTGATATCGAAGGTTTTTAATCTATGCCTGATTTACGCTCGTTGAATTCCCCTCCTTGACTCAAAAGGTCAGCAGCTCTGAGGAGGTTTCACGTCACGATTGGTTTGAGCCTGTGGTACGAGTTAAAGTAAAACATTTTACTGTCGTTTTTAAAGATGAGCTCTGCTTTAAATCTCGCAACATCGCCCTTGAAATGCTCGATCGACAATGGATACCTAAGCTCTTCTAGCTGCTATGTTATGATCATATGTGGTTTCCTAGTTTTTCTTCTTTAGTTCTGCAATGGTGTCATTGTGTAAATGCATATCATCAAAGGTGTGGATGAACATAGTACAGTATTAGTGGGTGTGGGAGACTCTAGATCAGATTGATGTAGAAGATGTGAAGTCTGGAGGAGAGCATTGTAGACAGTTTATAAACATGAAAGGTCACATGCAATAATGAATATTAGAAAAAGCAGATTTACAGTATTTTAACAACTGTAGCGAAGCACCAGCTTATAACAGTTTTAACAATTGGGGAAAAACTGAATATGCAATCATTAATTTATATTTTACTATGCCTTTCTGTATGTTCCCATGTTTTGCCTTACAAGTGGATAGGACAAAAAAAACATGTTAATATTGTTTGTACGAGTGCCATTTATTTAATTTCTTATGTGGATAAGCTTCATTTGTTCGAGCTAATGTAAATGTCAGTATGTTTACTCACTCTGTTCCTGTTCCGTCAGTTAGATTGTCTATTTGTCCTCCATTTTAAATGGTAATCTCTGTCGTGTCTGTGTTTCCGCTCTGTGCCTGTCTTCCTGTCCGGCTGGAACCAAGGGCTTCTGTAGCGCCACCTTTCTGTTGAGTTATACGTCGTCCGAAAACAGCAGCAGGATTATAAAAAATACTGACACTGGAAGGCAGAGGAATAAAATAACTTAATGCAAGTAGTTCATGTGTCTTGTAAGTTTAATGCTTTCACAGCCTGACATCACAGTGCAGCCGGTCAGCAGTAACCTCTTTGCAGACATCATTACCAAACACATATCCATATCCAAACCATTCCTGAACTGTATTTGAAGTTTCACTGCTTGCACCTGATTTCCAAGTCAATGTTCAGTCAGTGGCAGTGAGTCTTCTTTCCTGTCTCTTTCAAGTCAGTCTTTGTTATCTTCCGACCCTTTCCTCTCAGATGTCACTGGACCCTTCTCACGACTGTAGTCCTTCTCCAGCAGCTGCAGTTCTCGGATCCTCTGTTAATGAAGTCATTACACAGCACAGGTTCAAACAGGAACTCCTGTTAATTTTTGTAATGACTCGTGGGAACAACTATTTTTGAAATTGGTCCAGTATTGAGAGTGGGTGGTGCAGCTGGCAGGCTACAATGTGACCAGTCACAATAAGTGTGCCCCGTCAATTTACTTCCACTAAAACTGCTTGTTTTTGCCACTGACAGGCTCAGATTGGTGTTAGAATTGTCTGAAAACATTATGGAAAGGATCCTACAGAGAAATGAAACTGCAGTGACTGACTGTAGTACTTTAGCTGCTAATTGACTGAATAGTTTGGACATGCACTCAGAAACTTTGCAATCTTAACCAGTTCTTTTTATCATCATATGTTTATTTTCTCACCAGTGTCCATAATGTATAACCTCCAATCATTTTCAACATAAAGTTCAAATAAATACAGCCATATAAATCTTAATCCAAGCACCATCAGCAACTGGCATGAACTTAAATACTATGGCCTGCCTCAGCCAGTAACATAAGCCACCTAGTGGCGTGGCGGGATAGTACATTAAACACAAAAACATATGGCTCCAACAGAAACATTTTCTGCATGTTTGGCTTGTTCTGTGTTGTTTTGTGTACACGTCTTGCTTACAAGAAGTCTCGTTCTGAATCTCATGAGGTGACAACTTGTTGCAGGAAGAAAACAGTGGACACATGACTAAGAATTGAAAAGAGGAGTGCAAGTAATAGTTTGTTCTGTTGGAGCACAGAAATTAAACTCTTATCTAAAGGATTTCAGATCGAGACTTCTTTACGGAGACTTGCACACAAAACAGAACAAGTGAAACAAATGGAAAAACGTTTCATTTGTTTGTAGGGTCGTCTCCATAATGTTGTATGTCACTCATAATAATAATGATCTGAGCCTGTCAGTGGCAAAAACAAGCACTTGTAATGGAAGTAAATTGACGGTGCACACCTTCCTTGAGTGTTTGCTGGCTCTCTAAATACTATACAAACTTCAAATTTTCTTTTCCCCAAAAGTCAGAGACGCAAAGACATGGGACAACAGGGTTCTGGATGAAAAAAAAAACAACTAGAATTCCCCTTTAAGTTCAGCTGCTTTTTCAAACTGAATAGACACAGTAATACTCTTTTTCCTCTGATGTCTGTGCCTAAATGCCTTAAACCAGACTGCCATGGTAAGGATCTAATTACATTGCAATTGAGTTGTGTCAGTATCTAATTACAGTGTTTAAAAGAACATCAGAATAAAGATACACAACAATAAATCAGTTTAGTTAAAACACCCGTTACCAAAAGATTTCTAAAACGCCTCAACAGCATAGCAGGGACTCATTTAAGTTTGTTTACCTGAGATATCTCCGTGTTAATGATGCCAATGTACTGCGCCTCCTGACCCAGAGAGGCCATATCTGCCAGAAACTGTCTTCTCTCCTCTATCTCATCCAGAACTACAAAAGAAACAAGTTAATATTAGACTTCTTTTAGAGGCACTGGATATATTTAGTCAAGCAGAGGAGCACAAAGCAGAATCTGCTTCAGGCTGACATAAAAAGAAACAGACTTTGAACATAATTGAAACATCTGGTTCTGTTAGACAAAACAAATTCAATGTTTGTGTTCAGGCTGTAATGGGGAACATTTCCTCTCTGTTACTGCAGTTCATGTAAGTCTAGTGGATCATCTGTTTCCGTGCAGTCAGCCTCACCTTCCTGATACCGGTCTTTCTCCTCTGACGCATCTGGGTTCTGACATGCGGGAACTTTTTGGGAAGATGCAGCTGTGGGTTCTTCTTTTCCTGTTGCCAGTATACTCTGAAGCCTCCTCTTCTCTTTCTCTAGGTCTCCTAGGGTGAAAAAAAAGATGACAAGGATGCTGAATGTCTCTCAGGATGCATAGAATAAGACAAAAAAGGTTACCCAAATTCAGTGACCTACAGTGTATGCATTTGTTTGCAATATTGGCTTGTTAAAACACATAAATGCAGAATTAACGATAGTGTCAGCTTCAAGAACATACTTGTAGGACCAGGGGTGAACTTTTCTCTGACGTAGTTGTTCCCAGAGCGACAAGATTCAGCGCTGCGTTTCTGAGTCCTGCCTGGCAGGAACATCGGGACAGATTTACTGGTTTTAGGCTGAGAGGGGGAAGCTGATGATGTGGGGTCAGAGGTCAGTTGTAATGCTGCTGCATCTGTCGGGGAAAGTTAAAAAAAAAAAAAAAAGTTTTTATGTGGCTGTACAGGATTAAACTAAACGTTTTGGGGGAAAAATACTGGAAGGGCCCCTTTTATCCTTGTATCTTTGAGTCACAATGTTATATAATCTGGATTCTTAGCATGTCATATAGTGAGTTGTGCAATACCTATGTGTGGCAAACATCTTATCACATTAAAATACAATAACAATATTTAAAATATCTATACTTAATGTCTGTGTATACTCCACTATATTCAGTCTCACACTTACTCTTGAGGCTTTTGTTGAGCTGTTTTCTCTGCACATTGGTGAGTCTTGATTCCTGCATCATCACTGAGCACCAGGAGAGAGAAAGATTAAAATCTCAAAGCACAAGCAACACAATGATGAATGCACACAGACTTACTTGAAATGTACCCAGACATGCACACACCGTCAGCGCCTATATGTGTTTCCCATTCACACCAGAATATCAATAACTGCATTATCATCTCACATCTCAGCATATCCTGGGTCTCCTTGCTGTACTGGGTGGCTCTGGGGTTGTTCCATAGTCCTCCTCTGCTGTCTTTACTCTGTGAGGAAGCCTCCATCTGCAACCTCAAACACACATAGATATTATCCGTTATCTCTGGGGTTTAGTGGTAATTTGTCTCGGTTATATTGAATGCTACAGCTAAAATTTAATTTGTAAAATCTCTAACAGTGAGATGTCACTCATTTAGACAAATCCTGTAGCTTGAGACACTGAATGAGATTTTCTGGTTTACAGTTTTAATGCCAACTAACAAATAAAACGTACTGAGCGCAGTGGTGGAATGTAAGTAAGTGCATTTACCCAAGTACTGTACTTAAGTACAAATTTGAGGTACTTTAATTTTTCTTGAGTATTTTATGTTATTTTTTTGTGACCACATTTTTATTTTTTTATTTTTGTTTTCATGATGGAGGAAAGACCACAACTGAAAAATACAGTATTGACAATTGTGTATTTTATGTTATGACACTTTATAGTTCGACTCAACGATACTTAACAGTAAAATATTGCACTTTTGATTTAATCAAAATTATCTGAAAACTTTACTTACTGGTTATCTTACAAATTAAGATTTTTGTGCACAAACCATATGAAAATATACAAGTGCAGCTGCAACAATTAGTTAACAGATTAGAATATTAATTAGCAACAGTTTTGATGATCATTTAATTTTTCATGCAAAAACATTTCATGATTCTGTTTTTTCAAATACGACCACTACCTGCTTTTTCTTTATTTAAATTTTTTTGTTTCATCAAATTTACTTAAAATTTTCTGCATTGTGTATTTTTTTACTTCCGATATTTAACTATCCTAATTGTACTTACATACTTTTACTTACACTTATTGTAGAATATTTCAACAGTGTGGTCCTCCTCCACCACTGACCGGATGTAATATTACAGATAAAAAGAAATCTTGACTTAGCAAAAAGTAGCTTAGCTTCAATGTGTTTATATTAACCAGCCTTGGTGCGCTAACGGCTGGGTGACCAACGGCCAAAGCCGAACATCAGAAAGAAGAAGTTGACTCTACATGTAAGAAACGCGACAAGAAAGGGATATAACTTAACAAAAACTGTAAAGAACTTACTCAAACACTTCTTTTCTTATATTAACTCCTTCGTGAACACAAAGTGTAAGCGCTAACAAGCTAATTTCGGTTGTTGAACTCGTGTTTAGACGGCTGCGTCTGTCTGTTGCTATGGCAACCAAGTAGTTAAAAGCACTTCCGTGTTACAGCTGGAAAATGTCGGCGTTCAGATTTTTTTTAAAAATAGTTTTCTGTTACACCAACATATTTTAAACACTGAGTAACTGGCTGTAACGTTATTATTATTATTTTAACTCACCATGTTGAATCTTTTAAAGCCGTTGGCACATTGACAACATGCGGCCACTGGATGGAGACAAAGACAGATGTTTTCTGGTGGTGTTGACAACGTTTTCCATCAGTTAATACTGATAATGTTAAAATAAATAAATTAATATACATAGATATAGCAACATAATATAATAGATACTACATAATACACAAAGACACTGCACAGAACCCTCAAACTCCCAGACCCCCCCCCCCCCCCCCCCCCCCCCCCCCACACACACACACACACACACACACACACACACACACACACACACACACACACACACAAAGAAAATGCAGGTTCATCCTGTCTCATACCCAGTGATCCAGCCCCCCCCCCCCCCCCCCCCCAAAAAAAGCAACATTTATACAATTGTAATCTCTCTTTACTTTGCAGCTACAAATGTTTACTTTCTCCACAAATTCATGTCACATCAGAAGTGATCCAGGTCCCTCATATCAATGTAGTAGGCTCCCTGTATGCATAGTCTAAAAATCTCAGTTATTTTTATGTTTTATTTCCAGACTATTTTATAATTATTCTTAATTACATATTTGTTTGGTGGATATTTATACATTCCTATGATACATAAAGCACATGATCTCTTCTTTTAATGCCCTTCTGTCCTGTGGTATCACTTGCACACAAATTAACAAGTTAGTCTTTGGCTTTGGACGTGAACTCTCCTCCAAACAAACTGTAGATGATCTTGTGTCTAACGCCATGAAGAGGCTGCCAGCACAGTTTTCAGCCTCTGTAGTGGATGTCTTGTGTAGTCATCACTCTGAGGCAGAGAGCGCGTCTTTATCAGTGGTGGGCTCGTCATCAGAGATCAGCAGCAGTCAGGAGGCCATTATCTGTGAGACGACAGCAGCCTGCTGCTGCCCCGTGTTCGCAGATAAACAGCAGCCAGAATATAATCACCTTTCACACATAGGTCTTCTGAGAAGTTAGAGCCACACGTCCTCAGACCGACCTGTTTCTTGAGTGTGTGTTAAAGCTAGTAGAAGTACTGGCTCAACAAAGAGGATGCGGTTTTAACTGCAGAATTAGAAACTGAATCATTTTCAGTTTTGCTTGTTAGTCTGTTTGTTCATGAGTTAAACCAACTTCCTCATGTGTTTACTATTATTTATCAATATATTAGTGTCATGTATTCATGTTAAATGTCTCTGTAATAAATTATCAGCAACAGTTTTGCTGAGATCTCTGTGATGGAACTATACAAGCTTGTTATTATAGGCGGTCCACACACACCATATTAACACGACACGTGCACACACTTCGCTGTACGTGCACCAGCACACTCTGCACTCTGTGCCAAAGTGTGGTTTACTAGACAGTGGCCAGACATCTGATAGTAAAGTTTACTTGTGAATGAAAAATAACATGGAGAGCGCTGCTTTACTCAGCGCAGTGTGAGCGGGGTAACTTTACAGCATTTTATAAAACTTATAATACATTGTGAAGTGGCTTGACTAATGGTTCCATTCAATTCAATTTATTAATATCTGTTTTTAATACTTGCAATTTTTTTGTAATTAATTAATGCAGTTTCCCAATATATTTAGTTATTTTTTAAATATTAGAAAGATTTGATGGAATATAGCTATCAATTTCTACTATTATCATCAAATAATTACAAGTAAACATCACCCCTTTTTGTTTATTTAATTTTATATGCACTGAGTTTAACACCTCCTTGTTTTGTTTCAAAAGTTGTTGTTTGGTTAGTTTAGGTTCAAGTGTCTATGTGACAATGTGGCAAGAGACAATTTTTTACAGAGCTGTTGCTGCACTGTTATTGTGCTCTAGTCCATGGTTTTATTTTTCTATGTATTTTATTTCTAATTATCCCTTTCTTATTTTATGTCTCATTTAATTCTATTTTAAATTTTGAATTGTCTTTGTGTAAAGGTTCCACACAAATAAACTTGCCTAAAGTTACTTTTACATCAACCTGTAAAAATACAGCAATCATTATTTGCAATTTATTTAATATAAAACACAAATATTGTTTGAATCCTCATATTTATGTGTTCTTACATTATGACATTACAGCTACAGGCATGGTCACTTGTATAAATTTACAAAACTGGTCATAATGATTGCATATGCACTAGCTTTTAGAAACTGTACCTCCGTCTTTAACCTATCTCTGTCAGTCAAAATGTCTCAGCAGAAGCTGATAGCCCTTTAAAGATGTTGTAGTCTATCTTAATTAAGAGGAAGCTGATTCAGTAAAGTGTACTTAAACACTGACAGATGATTATGCCAGTCCTTCCACTAAATAATTTTGTTTGAGTTCCAGCAATTAATACAACCGACAGGGAAGACCTCGATAAATTTTCATTTAGATTTTTTCTAAATTTCCTTTTTATTGAGCCAAATGACTCACTCTTCATCTGACACTTAAATGCTTTTATATACATATATTTATATACTATCTACCAACCCTTACATATCCCTATCTGTCCACACCTCTCCAATCATTTCAGTTGGAATAGGGAAGGAAGAAAACAAAGAATTTCATTTGGACACTTCAATATGTCTTCCTATGCATATAAACAATAAAATCAGTTCAAAGTAAAAGTGTATTTTTTTTTCATATTTCCACCAAATTAAATTAATTTAATCAATTAATTTATATATTTTACCTTTATTTGGTATCTGATTGGTTAAAAGTGTGGCTTTGACAGTAAAAGAAAAATTATGTATAATATTTCCTCAGATGACAGAGATGGCTGTCTTGATGAGAATTCTGATAGAAATTGATGTTTTCTTTTTTTATCTATTTAATTTTGGTGGGGGTTTTTGTTGTTGTTTTTTGCTTCTTTATTTATTTATTTCCTTGAAAAACTTGATGTTGTTGTGATATATATATATATTTGCCAAAACAGGCATGAAGTAAATTACTTGTAACTGTTTTTTGTTAAACCTCTGGCTGCCAATAAATAAATAAAAGAAGAAATTTGGAGTTCGATCTTAGTATTACCATCACATTAATATTTAGATATTTGGTCTGGATATGAAAATGAAGAGGAGCTTTTTGCTCTGAATCTCACAGAACAAGAAGACAGTGAGTTGAGGTGAGATGGTTTCTTAGTGTAAATGAACAATCTTTAAGGATTAAAAAAAAAGAGAGGGGGCCAGCAGAGTAAGTAACGATGACGCTCCACCTCCTAACGGTCCTAACCTACATGAAAAAGAGAGATTTGAAGTTAGACTTGCAGCTGACAGAGATAGACAAGAGAGAGGAGCGAGAGATAGCAGGGGAGGAATGGAGTAAAGAAGGCAGCTCTGAGAACCTGTTTCTGCGGCCTATTAGCACTGAGCAGACTGTAACTGGGATGAGCGGCCTGGTGAGCTGAGGTTTGACTTTCTGTTAGCTGGGCTGAAGACGGTCACATAGAGAATAACTAAATAAATAATATTAAGAGACAGAGCAACTTCCCTGCTGTTGCTACCACTGACAATCGGTGTCGTATCAAAGTACTTGATGGCTGTTACACAGGCTGTGCTCCCTTCCTTCAGCTCCTTCTCTAACCTCGCTCAATCCACTGACAATATGAAAGTAAGTATCACGTTTATTTTTCACTCCTACACAGAGACAGAAAGTTTTTTAATAAATATCGTTGTGCTGATTATTTGTACATTCAACAGATACAGTATTTATTATTTCACTTTATACTGAGTTAACAAATGTGTCAGTCTTGACTATAATGCTGGACTTTTGATTTGTCCCAGAAACTTGGAGATAAATATGGAGGTTGAATGCACTTATTTCAAATTGCTTTAGACGAATCATCCGCTAATGTAATGTAAAAAAAAAAAAAAAAAAAAAGGCAATTGGGGGCCATCATCTGAAGGAGGTCTGCAGGAAGTGAAATGTTAGTTTTATATACTGACTCAATAAATGTCTTAAAGGATAGGTTTATATTGTTTGAAGTCTATATGTACAGTAAAAGAGTTACTGGTGACTGTGCTGCTCGTCCTGGCTTGGCCTGGCCTGGCCTTACACTGTTAAGTGATGGAGGACAAAACCCATAATACTTCTCATGTGTTAAAATGACTTCTAAAGTTCAACAGGATCTGATATGAGGCTTCAGCGGTCTGAGTTTGACAAAACAATTTTTTGAGGTTTGTTATTTTAGTCAAAAATTCCCTCTGACAGTGTTTCCATGCTGAGCCACACTAAGAAGAACATTTGGAAGATAAACACCTAATGATTGATTGATTGAAAGACTGTTGAAGACTCATATTGGTTTCAGACAATCTCTGGAGTACGTTTTAACATAGACCGTAGATTTTATCCTCCCTTACTTAGGTTGTACATATATTGGGAAAGGATGTCTTGACAGCCAGTATGGAGCAGCGCAGTCTCACAGGAATATGTGAAATGGACACAAACTCTTGCATCACCTGGTGGTGGGCAGGAAATGTGTTAAAATGATGTGCTGGCAACATGAAAACAATTTCAATGCAAAGTCAGTAAGAATTTTTTGTTGTGGTGGGCATACAAATTAACTGTGAAGAGCGAGAAAGTCAGGAGGGGTGGAGAATCATCGGTCAAACAAAAATGGACTTTCAACCAGTAGAGTGTGATGTCATGATTTTATGACATTATTATGATTTATTTTGTCTTGAGATTCAGCTGTGGCCTGTACCTGGCACAGACATTACCCGCAGTGAGGTTCACTCCTGAGAAGACATTTGGTTATCAATGTTGGTGAGACTGTGTCTGTTGGAAATTTCAGGCTCTGACGTCTGAAGGCCTAAAAGATGACACGAGGAAATACTATATGAGATTTTGTTTAACAGGATCTCAAATCACCACCACTTTTAAATTAATCCATGTTTTAAACTGCCTTGTCTGTTGTATGTTCATTATGTTTATTTTCACTTGAAGCACTCAGTGCTTATAATGCCCTTATTTCAAAGCACTTTGTGCTTCATTTCTTGTACTAAAGGTGCTGTGTAAATGAAGTTTATCGTTATTATTATTAGTTTATTAATTCAACAGTTAACATAGTTACATGACTTAACAGACTTTCTTTAACTACACAAAGTACTTAAGTTAACTTCACTTCAGCCGCACCTACCATTACTTTAACCAAAACCACCTTTTCCTAATTTAACCAAGTATTTTTTGTTCTTGAAACCTGAGTACCACAACTGTTTTACTGCATTAATGACATGTTTGAAACTGTTATACAGTTTGTATTGGCATTGTTTTCTTGTTGCCAGCACAAAATTTTAACAAATTTTATGGCCACCACCACGTGATGTGTTAAGAGGTCGTGTCCATTTCACGTATTTCTGTTACTGTGTATGGCCAGAAGGAACAGTTACAGCAACAAAAAATGTTCTCAATGTATTCATGGACTATGGTTGAAGTGATATACTGCAGTTAAAAAGACAGATATATCATGTACATTTGCTTATCTACGATATTGAAAAAACAAGTGCAACTTGACGGAGAATCTCTCCTTTATTTTAGTTATTTTCCAAGGGGAGACTTTTAACACATACTTCTGTTAACAAAATGGTTTCAAGTTTCAATTATAGTTATAAAGTGTTCAACCAAAAATAACGTTTCGTTTTCAATCTTTTAAGGGTCATTCTGACTGATAACAAGATAAATTCTTTAATAATGTGATACCATTAAAACACAATATTTTGTGAGACAGTTATCATACCGTGGAAATCTCATACCGTACTGTAAACCTATCCTTAAAATGAAAAAGCAAGGTGCAGGAATATCATTTTTACTATATGTTTTTCACTGTGATCTAAATGCTCTCCACCACCATGTAGGTGTGGAAGTCTGAGGGTGACTCTCTCCCTCCGGACTCTCTCAGCAACAAACTGTCACCAAACAGCTCTGAGCAGCTGCAGGTCTCTCAACAAATGACAGAGGAGCTCCTGGATGATGACAGCCAGGCATCTTGGGACATTGAGTTCCTGCTGTCTGAATGGAGCAACCCGTCACCTGACCTCAACCCCTCTCTGGACAACAATGATCAACGGCTGCCACAGTTAGACCCAAACACAGCGTACCAAGAGGCGGCCACGTTTAAGGACCGACCAGGACAGGAGCATCTGCAGATGAACACTAGTTGCCTCATGGCTGAACTCCTGTCCCCGGCTGAAACCATCACCACCACGTCAGTCCAGCCAGTGCTGTACCACCAGGGTTATAATGATGACCAAACAGGTCGGACTTCGTTTCACAGTCAACCTAATGTAGATCAGTATGTCCTTCCTCAAGGAGGCAGTGTGGAGAGGCACGGCAGAGGAAACCTCACTAAAGTCTCGTCATGGGACTTTAACCCTTACTATCCCCAGCAACACCCCTCTATGGTGACCTTCCCCGACAGCAGGTTCATACCAACTCAGGCTGTGACCCCTGACCCTCAACACTACAGCTACATTCCACATTTTAACCACAATGCCAACCTTTACTGTGACTACACCCTCGGCCAGGCCACCAGTCATCTTCCCCTCCACCAGCAGCCTCTGCTGGTCGGACCACAGCTGCCCCCTGTTGGGGTGGAGGGAAAGCGTGGTCGAAGGGCTACAGGGAAAAAGAGGCCCGCCATCCACAGCTGTGAATACCCGGGCTGCACCAAGACCTACACCAAGAGCTCACACCTAAAGGCTCACCTCCGCACCCACACAGGTACGTCCCTTTGACTCCACCACAGAAAGTCTGTGACAGTTGGTCTCAATTAGGGCTGCAGAATATAATGCAATTACATGGTTGAATATTGCTATAACAATATTACTTGTGATAAATAACTTCAGTATTTTACAATCTGGACCCCAGTGACCAATGGGAATAATTGTAAACTGGTCCAGTATTAAGAGAGAGTGCTGCAGCCGACAGCTGGGCAATGTACCGTCTGCAACTGAGCACCATTATATTTCGTCCAAACTGTTTGTTTTTGCCACTGTCAGGCTAAGTCTGTTATTGTAAGTGTCTGACATCATTATGGAAAGGATCCCTACAGAGGCAAACCTTTTGTCCAAGAGTAGGATCTTTTTTGTTTAACCTGAAATCGCCATCCCCAAACACACCAGACCAGTGTGTACAGGCCCAGCATGTTTTTGATGAACTGAGATGGCTTTTCTGAGTTTTATCTTGTTTCTGTCGACTATGAATGAAATGTGTTTTAAGATGATGAAATTAGTGTTTATGTCAATGGAGTGTGGTGGGTTTGGCGATTCCGATTTCGGAGCTGTTTCTGGTTAAAGGGCCAGTGTGTAAAATGGGTTGAAAACAGTGACATCAGTGGTCAAATTCTAGATTGCAGGGCTCACTCGCTCACCCCTCCCGTCAGGTAAATGACGGTGGCCTCGTAGGGACAAAAAGCCTTGCGCACAAGTTTTTCAGGAGTAGGTCTATCTAGCAACGAGGTGAATGTTTATTTAGAAATCTAAGCCATGTTACGATATTGTAATGAATCCCTCACGAGCAGGAGACCAGAGGAGCGTTCGGGGAAAAGGCCAGTTTATTTGAGCACTCCAAAAACTCCGGTAACACTCCAGGGGGTAAAAGACTCCGTCCCAAACTCTGACTCTTCTAGCGTAACACACACACTCCATACACACATACTCGTTTACCATACCGAGTGGGGACCCCCTCCCCTCTCTGCTCCACCAATCTCCAGCCCGCACACTGACTGACAGCGTAGCCGGTAAACAGAGCTCAGCTGTTTATTTAGCCTAGCAATATCTCCGGACTATAGTAGCTGCAATGGACGACTTTGAACGCGATTTTGAAGAGTTTCTTGAAGCGGACACAGACCCAGAGCCAGGAGGAAAAGCGCCGCAGAGAGTGCATCACAAGGAGTGAAGTTGCGTCTTCTTTTCCTTGCAGATGACGGTTCGGGTTCATTCTCTCCTGTTGCGTGGTAAGTGTGGTCCATTCGCAAACTTTATAACTAAAAAAACTTTTCACTACTCTCTATCGACGAACTACTAACACTCTGCTGTTTCCTCCTCCTTCTTCCTTCCTTCCGCTGTCTTCGTTGGTTCATTTATACACGCGAGACGCGTTCTCTGGCTGGCTGGATTGTCTGCTCGGTCTGCCATACATACATGGCGGTGCAAGATGGCGACCTCTCTAAAGCAAGGCCCTTGCTATATACAGTACAGTCCAAAAGTTTGGACACACCTTCTCATTCAATGCGTTTTCTTTATTTTCATGACTATTTACATTGTAGATTCTCACTGAAGGCATCAAAACTATGAATGAACACATGTGGAGTTATGTACTTAACAAAAAAAGGTGAAATAACTGAAAACATGTTTTATATTCTAGTTTCTTGAAAATAGCCACCCTTTGCTCTGATTACTGCTTTGCACACTCTTGGCATTCTCTCGATGAGTTTCAAGAGGTAGTCACCTGAAATGGTTTTCCAACAGTCTTGAAGGAGTTCCCAGAGGTGTTTAGCACTTGTTGGCCCCTTTGCCTTCACTCTGCGGTCCAGCTCACCCCAAACCATCTGGATTGGGTTCAGGTCCGGTGACTGTGGAGGCCAGGTCATCTGCCGCAGCACTCCATCACTCTCCTTCTTGGTCAAATAGCCCTTACACAGCCTGGAGGTGTGTTTGGGGTCATTGTCCTGTTGAAAAATAAATGATCGTCCAACTAAACGCAAACCGGATGGGATGGCATGTCGCTGCAGGATGCTGTGGTAGCCATGCTGGTTCAGTGTGCCTTCAATTTTGAATAAATCCCCAACAGTGTCACCAGCAAAACACCCCCACACCATCACACCTCCTCCTCCATGCTTCACAGTGGGAAGCAGGCATGTGGAATCCATCCGTTCACCTTTTCTGCTTCTCACAAAGACACGGCGGTTGGAACCAAAGATGTCAAATTTGGACTCATCAGACCAAAGCACAGATTTCCACTGGTCTAATGTCCATTCCTTGTGTTTCTTGGCCCAAACAAATCTCTTCTGCTTGTTGCCTCTCCTTAGCAGTGGTTTCCTAGCAGCTATTTGACCATGAAGGCCTGATTCGCGCAGTCTCCTCTTAACAGTTGTTCTAGAGATGGGTCTGCCGCTAGAACTCTGTGTGGCATTCATCTGGTCTCTGATCTGAGCTGCTGTTAACTTGCCATTTCTGAGGCTGGTGACTCGGATGAACTTATCCTCAGAAGCAGAGGTGACTCTTGGTCTTCCTTTCCTGGGTCGGTCCTCATGTGTGCCAGTTTCGTTGTAGCGCTTGATGGTTTTTGCGACTCCACTTGGGGACACATTTAAAGTTTTTGCAATTTTCCAGACTGACTGACCTTCATTTCTTAAAGTAATGATGGCCACTCGTTTTTCTTTAGTTAGCTGATTGTTTCTTGCCATAATATGAATTTTAACAGTTGTCCAATAGGGCTGTCGGCTGTGTATTAACCTGACTTCTGCACAACACAACTGATGGTCCCAACCCCATTGATAAAGCAAGAAATTCCACTAATTAACCCTGATAAGGCACACCTGTGAAGTGGAAACCATTTCAGGTGACTACCTCTTGAAGCTCATCGAGAGAATGCCAAGAGTGTGCAAAGCAGTAATCAGAGCAAAGGGTGGCTAATTTCAAGAAACTAGAATATAAAGCATGTTTTCAGTTATTTCACCTTTTTTTGTTAAGTACATAACTCCACATGTGTTCATTCATAGTTTTGATGCCTTCAGTGAGAATCTACAATGTAAATAGTCATGAAAATAATATATTAAATATATCAAATATCAAAATCAAATATTTCACACTGGCCCTTTAAATAAAAAAGACAAGAGGTCTATCTCTGTGGGGATCCTTTCTGGAATATTGTCAGACACACAGAATAATAATCTGAGCCCGAAAGTGGAAAAACAAGCACTTTTATTGGACATTGACAGTTCTCCATTGCCTGCAGGTATAACACTGCAGCCTGTGTTGACTTTCTCAATACTGGACCAATTTCAAAAATCGTTGTTGACAACATGAGAAAATAGGGTCCAAGTTGAAAAATACCAAAGTAACCCTTTAAAGTGTGCCCAGTTCTGCCTTTCTGTTGCTTCCAGCTGCTAAAATACAACCAATTGCTTGCTGAATTTAAAAAATGAAAGGATTATTTCCAACATACTTCGATTGAACAAACTAAACATTGAGCTGAACACAAAAGGCACTAATAAAAAAGTAATTACATCTCAAAGCACAGTTTTACACTGCTACTCTGTCAGCTAACACAAAAAAAATCTCAGAGTGCAATATCCCAGTCTTCTGTGATGTGTTTTGAGCGCAAGTTGATATCGCAGCCCTGTAGTCTCAATATATGATTTAATGTACATTATTTGTTTGGTAACTACCATCTGTTGTATTGTTTTCTCTTCAGGGGAAAAGCCTTACCACTGTTCATGGGAAGGCTGCAGCTGGAAATTTGCGCGCTCCGACGAGCTGACGCGTCACTACCGCAAGCACACTGGCCAGAAACCCTACGAGTGCCTGCTGTGTCAGAGGGCCTTCTCCCGCTCCGACCACCTGGCTCTGCACATGAAGAGACACAACTGATGCTCTCACTCACTCTCTCTCTCTCTCTCTCTCTCTCTCTCTCTCTCTCTCTCACACTCACTCACTCACTCACTCACTCACTCACTCACTCACTCACTCACTCACTCACTCACTCACACACACACACACACACACACACACACCACTGCAATTTAAACAAAGTAATTCAAAGGTAGAGGATTCACAATGATCTGGATGTTCTGTGAATTTTTAATTTGTTTGTGACTCAGTGACCTCATATATTAACTGAACATGTTCCCGGTATTAATTTGAAATCTACACTTGATTACCTGGCTGGTTTAGAAGACAGGCCCACACGTAGACTCGGGTCATGAGAAGTGACAACACAACTGGTGGTACAATGGCATCACAAATCATTGTGTACATGATGCCTGGTGGAAGTTATTTGTTTGTCCGTTTTTGGCGTACTTCAAAAAACAAATGAGACTAATTTAATTCATGAGCCTCTAATATATTAAGTCCTCTCCTGTCCTAAAGAAATGATCGATATCCACGGCTTAAAGAGTGACCTTTAGCTAATGACTGCTCAACAGATATGTTTTAAGAGTACTCTGCTGATTTCGCATTGCACTCTTATAACATTCTCAGACTCACGATTGAAAGTTTAAAAAAGATGCCACAGAATCATAGACTGTATAAAAGAAGTGGACGTAGCCACCGTGATGTCACCCATCGGTTTGTGGACAGCCATTACGAAGCCTTGATTTTGGTATATTGGTCGTCGCCATCTTGTTTTTTTCTGGAGCCAGAAGTGACCACGTACAAAGATTGCTGTCAATCACAAGGTAGCCATGCCTTAAAGCATACGATTATTGCTATTTACTCTAAATAGGACCATAATTTACAAAATTAACATCATGCTGTATTGAAGGAAACTGTATTGGAAGTTGCAAGTTTCCTTGCAACTTCCAATTAAGATCATAAAGTCATTAGGAAAAATGTTTACTAAGGTTAAAAAAATCAAGTGAGAAGCGCAGTAATTTTCTGTTAGGTCACCACTGTAGTCACCCTCTGCTGGCCTTTACAAAGAATGCAGGTTTAAGGCACTTGTGCATTGGCTTCACTTATCATTCTCAGAGGCTACATCCACTTCTTTTATACAATCTATGAGCAGAGCCTGAGATATTGTGGCAAGGCACCCACATTACCTACAATTCGATTTGGCTACTCAAAGCTCTGTTATATATTGTGTTACACTATTAGCAGCTGGTGTAGCCTTGAGCCACTCGTGTAAAGTAGAGATGAGCATCTGGCTAAAAAGGTCTAAATACTCACTTCTTTCTTACTCCACACCTCCAGATGTTTTTCCCTTTTTTTTTAAATTTAATTTTCAAACTTGTAGTCTTCAGACCCAACTGACACTGACTCAAGGGATCACCTGAAGCAATTCATAAGATTATTTGCATCTCCCTCTGGAGCCACATAAGGTTTTAAACAGTTTTTCTTTCATATATGCAGTGGTACTCTCCAAGACCTAGTTGATATAGGGTGCAACTTTTTTGGATGTGACAAGCGAAAGGTACGCAAAAACGTTACACTTCTCTGTGGGGTCCTTTCCACAATGCTGTCAGACACTCAAAATAACAATCTAAGCCTGTCAGTGGCAAAAACAAGCACTTTCATTTACATTGCAAACTATTTTGCAGCTGAAGGTGGAAGCACTCTCTCTCAGTACTGGACCAATTTCAAAAATTGTTGCTCCCACAAGTCACTTAGACACGAAAACACGAGAAAATAGAGTCCAGGTTGGAAAAAAAAATACCAGAGTTCCCCTTTAATGCAACACTCTAGGTTCCAGTTTAGATACCGTGAACTCGAATCGATTACTTGGACATCATTATTCAGATGTTCACAGTGAGGTGTTGGACTTGACAAAGATGTTAAAGTGGGCTTTTCTCTTTTTGTCTCACCCTAATAAAGACACACACACATGGACAGAGGGCCAGAACAAGAACACACTTATAATGTAAAGTTAGCATGCTTTCAGCAATAAGGGCAACTTCGACCACCGATCACCAGAAAAAAAGGTTGGCATTGTGCGTTTCTACAAAATGTACAGTACAGGCCAAAAGTTTGGACACACCTTCTCATTCAATGCGTTTTCTTTATTTTCATGACTATTTACATTGTAGATTCTCACTGAAGGCATCAAAACTATGAATGAACACATGTGGAGTTATGTACTTAACAAAAAAAGGTGAAATAACTGAAAACATGTTTTATATTCTAGTTTCTTCAAAATAGCCACCCTTTGCTCTGATTACTGCTTTGCACACTCTTGGCATTCTCTCCATGAGCTTCAAGAGGTAGTCACCTGAAATGGTTTCCACTTCACAGGTGTGCCTTATCAGGGTTAATTAGTGGAATTTCTTGCTTTATCAATGGGGTTGGGACCATCAGTTGTGTTGTGCAGAAGTCAGGTTAATACACAGCCGACAGCCCTATTGGACAACTGTTAAAATTCATATTATGGCAAGAACCAATCAGCTAACTAAAGAAAAACGAGTGGCCATCATTACTTTAAGAAATGAAGGTCAGTCAGTCCGGAAAATTGCAAAAACTTTAAATGTGTCCCCAAGTGGAGTCGCAAAAACCATCAAGCGCTACAACGAAACTGGCACACATGAGGACCGACCCAGGAAAGGAAGACCAAGAGTCACCTCTGCTTCTGAGGATAAGTTCATCCGAGTCACCAGCCTCAGAAATCGCAAGTTAACAGCAGCTCAGATCAGAGACCAGATGAATGCCACACAGAGTTCTAGCAGCAGACCCATCTCTAGAACAACTGTTAAGAGGAGACTGCGCCAATCAGGCCTTCATGGTCAAATAGCTGCTAGGAAACCACTGCTAAGGAGAGGCAACAAGCAGAAGAGATTTGTTTGGGCCAAGAAACACAAGGAATGGACATTAGACCAGTGGAAATCTGTGCTTTGGTCTGATGAGTCCAAATTTGAGATCTTTGGTTCCAACCGCCGTGTCTTTGTGAGACGCAGAAAAGGTGAACGGATGGATTCCACATGCCTGGTTCCCACTGTGAAGCATGGAGGAGGAGGTGTGATGGTGTGGGGGTGTTTTGCTGGTGACACTGTTGGGGATTTATTCAAAATTGAAGGCACACTGAACCAGCATGGCTACCACAGCATCCTGCAGCGACATGCCATCCCATCCGGTTTGCGTTTAGTTGGACGATCATTTATTTTTCAACAGGACAATGACCCCAAACACACCTCCAGGCTGTGTAAGGGCTATTTGACCAAGAAGGAGAGTGATGGAGTGCTGCGGCAGATGACCTGGCCTCCACAGTCACCGGACCTGAACCCAATCGAGATGGTTTGGGGTGAGCTGGACCGCAGAGTGAAGGCAAAGGGGCCAACAAGTGCTAAACACCTCTGGGAACTCCTTCAAGACTGTTGGAAAACCATTTCAGGTGACTACCTCTTGAAGCTCATGGAGAGAATGCCAAGAGTGTGCAAAGCAGTAATCAGAGCAAAGGGTGGCTATTTTGAAGAAACTAGAATATAAAACATGTTTTCAGTTATTTCACCTTTTTTTGTTAAGTACATAACTCCACATGTGTTCATTCATAGTTTTGATGCCTTCAGTGAGAATCTACAATGTAAATAGTCATGAAAATAAAGAAAACGCATTGAATGAGAAGGTGTGTCCAAACTTTTGGCCTGTACTGTATGTGGTGGACAGACTGAACCTTTACGTTTCAACAGTGCTGTGGATACCATATGGTTATGTTTAAGCACAAAAACCACTTGCTTATGGTTAGGAAAGGCTTACAACACCCAGTTGGGGGGGTATGATCCCAGCAGGAGAATCAGTGATGTCACGGTAAAAAAGCAGCCGCTTTCTGTGCCTAAAGACCTACTGGATACACAGCACTGACTCGCTACATCACAACCAGTTTTGTTGTTTGTTGGTCTTGAACCATGCTCTGCAGCTTGGCAGGCATCTTGACCAAAGTCAGCTCATATACTTTGTCATTTTAGAAACGCTGATAAGATACATATCAAACATGCAAATATAACATATCTGGGTTTGCAGAAACTAACAATGCCAACATTTTCTACTGGTGACTGGGCTGTAGATCAACACTGTACACACTGTGGGCATGTAGACAGCAAACATTAACACTAACAAAAGACCTACCACAAAATGTGTGTAATACGGGTTATAATACAATACACAGTAGTGTATCCTGTGGGATCTCATGGTGCGCTGAACAAAGTCATGACTGCTTAGTTGCAATGCTTAGCTGTAGATAATCTGATATCTTTGTTAGCTTCCATATTGATTGTAATACAAAGAAACAAGCCATAAAGTTAAACTATGTTATTACACCATGAATGCAGGGTTATGCATTTTTGTCACCTAACTTTATGTTTGTTTGTTTGGGGATTTTTAATTTAAGAAAAACATATATATGCTTTTGTCTCTCGTATCAAGCAGAATTTATAACTGTAAATAATCTGCATCTTTTCCAGTTGTTAATTATCACCTAAAAATGCGAGACACATATTTATTAATATAATCTTTTATATCAACAGCAGATATTATATTATTGTACAGTGTTTTTCTATTCTCAAAAGAGTGCTTTAGAGTCTTTTCATTGTTTTAATTCTAATAAAGACCTCTATTGCTGTAAAACTGTCTGGGAGTGTGACATGATTTATTCAAACAGCCGATCTGAACAATTACACCATCAGGTTCGCCATTATTTTACTAACTCAACATCTCAAGTGCTTTAGCCAAAGATACATCTGTCCTGCATAAAACAGAAAAAAATTGAATCCACAGAATACATCTAAAATATTATTGGAGCTTCAGCCTTTTCACGTAGTGTCAGCCTTTGTCCTTTAGGTGGCAGTCTGCTGTTGTAACATCAGCCCTCATGTTTGCAGGCTGGTATTAGCAGCCCGCTGGCTGTTGTGTCTGCAGTGTTTCTAATCTGGGTGAGGTTAGAATCTGTTTATGTAACTCGGCACTCACTGAATCATCCTGATTATGTCAGATGATGGAGATCGTCATCACATTACAGAGCTCGCTCTCGCCCTCACACACGCGCTTGCACCAACATGTACACACCCTCCGGGAAGACGAACACTGAAAAACAAACACAGACATTGTTGGGGAAGCTACTCTGAAAGCATAACTTTGCAAGCTACCTGTTAGTTCACACTGGAAGAAGTTTAACTACAGTAAAGCTACCCAAGAGAGAAATCTATGTTGATTAAAAGAATACTTCACCCACAAAATGTCCATTTATATATCAGTTAGTCATGCCGTGTTACCTTGAATTTGAGAAGAAAACTTTCTTGCATGCCTCCATGGAAAACAGCACACATATTGATTTATTGACTGATTGGGGACCACGTTAAACTCAAGCAACACTATATCAAAACATCCTTTTACATACATATCTTATTATATATTTTTCAGTTTCTGACACTCTATGTGTATGGAGCTAGAATTGTGTCTTTATTACATGCGAGAAAATAAATGATATGAGAGGGAAAAAAAATGTTTGAGAAAAAAAAAATATTTGAGAGAAAAAGTTTTCACACTGACAGCAAAAAATAATATTTGAGACTAAAAAAAGTTTTGAGAGAAAGTATTTTGTCAAAGAATATAAAAAAATAAATAATTTGAGATTTAAAAAATGATTTCAGAGAAAAAAACTCTCAAAAAACATTTTTTTACTCAAATATTATTTTTTTGCTATCAGTGTGAAAACATTTTCTCTAAAAAAAAATTGTTTCTCTCAAAACATTTTTCTTCTCTCTCTCAAAACAAAAGTCTTTGCTCTCGAGTCAGGATTTTGCTCTCGCTGTGAAAATAATGTCATGGGCGGGGCCACGTTCCTATTGGCCAGTCTCAATCAAATTGACAGTTGGGTGAGGATTGTCTTGAGATAGGGTGAACAGACATCCCGAAAAATGTGGGACAGTCCCGAAATCAAAGCAGTTGTCCCGAATCCTGAATCCCTAATTGTCCCGAAAATGACACTAGAGCAGTCTGGAGGAGTCATTGCCTGATAAAACATTAAAAACTGATCATGGTGGTTGAGTTGTCCTGCAGCTCCCACCGGCTGCACATTGGCTGCAGCTGTCAATTTGATTGAGACTGGCCAATAGGAACGTGGTCCCGCCCATGACATTATTTTCACGGCGAGAGCAAAATCCTGACTCGAGAGCAAAGACTTAGGTTTTGAGAGAGAGAGAAGAAATATGTTTTGAGAGAAACAATTTTTTTTTAGAGAAAATGTTTTCACACTGATAGCAAAAAAATATTTGAGAGTAAAAAAATGTTTTTTGAGAGTTTTTCTTCTCTGAAATCATTTTTTAAATCTCAAATTATTTATTTTTTTATATTCTATGATAAAATACTTTCTCTCTAAAGTTTTTTTAGTCTCAAATATTATTATTTTTTGCTGTCAGTGTGAAAACTTTTTCTCTCAAATATTTTTTTTCTCTCAAACATTTTTTTCCCTCTCCTATCATTTATTTTCTCGCATGTAATAAAGACACAATTCTAGCTCCATATATGTGCAGGTTGTCACAACATAACATACATCTTATTTTATTTCACTATTTTTCCTTTCTATTTATTTGGCATTTAACCTTTTTTTTTCTTGTTACTAAATATGTTAATTATGTATAGTATAGAGTTATGTCATTTTCAGTTGTAATTTCTGTCAGTGTGGGTTTTTTTGTCTAGTAGGGCGACACCAATACATCATGTGACCTGTGATACATAACCCTCACATGAGCTCTTAATTTGCACACCTGTTTCCACTGCATTTTACACCCTGATGAAGACTCTCTAGTCGAAACGCATTGGTTTATCTATTTACTGATAAATGATTTCTTAAGTCAAAGTGCCTCAGATGCATTTTTGGACTGCCTGCGTGCACTATAGACTTTCACACTGAGTGAGCTGGCCAGTCATGCAGTATAATCCAAATCTAATTTATCCAGTTGTACACTCAGTACTTCCCAAACACATCCATATTAGCTAAAACCTCAAGATTTAAAACTAAATTGAAAGTGAAACTTATCTATGCTCTCAGCAGTATATGTTTTTTTAGTTTTGTTTAGTTTAGGTTTTTAAAATACCCGGTTTTGGGGGCACAATCCCTGCTTAAAATGCAGTGACATCTTGTTAACAAACATACACTGCCTGGCCAAAAAAAAAGTCGCCACCTGGATTTAACTAAGCAAATAGGTACGAGCCTCCTATTGGATAATTACTGCATGGGCGATTATCTTTCAGCTGGCAACAAGTTATTTAACCCCAACTGGTGCAATGAGTTGCTTCTCATTTCCTAAACAACCATGTCGAAAGACACATCCCGTGGTTGTGGAAAAGATGTTAGTCTGTTTGAGAAGGGTCAAATCATTGGCATGCATCAAGCAGAGAAAACATCTAAGGAGGTTGCAGAAACTACTAAAATTGGGTTAAGAACTGTCCAACGCATTATTAAAAACTGGAAGGATAGTAGGGACCCATCGTCTTCGAGGAAGAAATGTGGCCGGAAAAAAATCCTCAATGATCGTGATCGGCGATCACTTAAACGTTTGGTGAGATCAAATCGAAGAAAAACAACAGTAGAACTCAGGGCTATGTTTAATAGTGAAAGTAAGAGCATTTCCACACGCACAACGCGAAGGGAACTCAAGGGATTGGGACTGAACAGCTGTGTAGCCTTAAGAAAATCACTAATCAGTGAGGCTAACCGGAAAAAAAGGCTTCAATTTGCTAGGGAGCATAAAGATTGGACTCTGGAGCAATGGAAGGTCATGTGGTCTGATGAGTCCAGATTTACCCTGTTCCAGAGTGATGGGCGCATCAGGGTAAGAAGAGAGGCAGATGAAGTGATGCACCCATCATGCCTAGTGCCTACTGTACAAGCCTGTGGGGGCAGTGTTATGATCTGGGGTTGCTGCAGTTGGTCAGGTCTAGGTTCAGCAACAGTATGTGCTCAAAGAATGAGGTCAGCTGACTACCTGAATATACTGAATGACCAGGTTATTCCATCAATGGATTTTTTTCTTCCCTGATGGCACGGGCATATTCCAAGATGACAATGCCAGGATTCATCGGGCTCAAATTGTGAAAGACTGGTTCAGGGAGCATGAGACATCATTTTCACACATGGATTGGCCACCACAGAGTCCAGACCTTAACCCCATTGAGAATCTTTGGGATGTGCTGGAGAAGGCTTTGCGCAGCGGTCAGACTCTACCATCATCAATGCAAGATCTTGGTGAAAAATTAATGCAACACTGGATGGAAATAAATCTTGTGACATTGCAGAAGCTTATCGAAACAATGCCACAGCGAATGCGTGCCGTAATCAAAGCTAAAGGCGGTCCAACGAAATATTAGAGTGTATGACCTTTTCTTTTGGTGGTGACTTTTTTTTTGGCCAGGCAGTGTATATATCATGGAGCTATCACTGGTGGAAAAACAGCAATGGGTAACACACACATGGACACAGGACCAGTATAAGAACATACTCATAATGTAAAGTTAGCGTGCTTTCAGCAATAAGGGCAACTTAGACCAGCAATCACCAGAAATAAGACAGGCATTGTGCATTTCTGCAAACCATGTATACATTTGCATGTTAGTATGTAGCAGGTAGGCTGAAACTTTACGTTTTGACAAACACTGTGGTTAGGCACAAAAATCACTTGGTTTTGGTTATAAAAATATCATGTTTGGGCTTAAAATACCCTGTTTGGAGGGCATGATCCCAGCAGGAAAAGCAGTGATGTCATTATAAAAAAGCAGCCGCTTTTTGTGGCGAAAAAGCTGCTAGAAACACCGCGATGACTCTAAATCACAACCAGTTTTGTTGTTTTTTCGTCTTCAGTTTGGAACACACCATTCACCATCCCCTCCACCTCCCTGATGATAAAGTCAGCTTATATATTTTGTCACTTTTGAAACGCTGATATAATACTTGTGAAATGTACAAATAAGACATATTTGTGGTTTACAGAAATATACAATGCCAACATTTTCTTCTGGTGACTGCGTTGCCCTGTTAAGAATCTCTAACAGGTTTTAGGGCAATAGATTTTCAAGGCTGGTAGCAGGTTTAATGGTTTAATAGGATTTAATTTATAAGGTCTTGGCCCGAAGGAAGACAAGTCCAAACATACTGATTTGGAGGTACAGCATTTAATCTTCATTTGGAACATGTTTCCTCTTTGGTGCATCATCAAGGCTATGATTGGCTTCTTAAACCTGCTCATCCAAGATGGCACGATAGCAGGCCAGATGAGAGCGCAAACCCGCATTGCACACACACACACTGATCACAACCACATTAGTGCCCTGCTCACAGCCAAATATACACACATGAGGTAATCCTGATAATTATAGTGCTGCAGATATACTCCCTGGCCATTAATAATCTGTTATCCACTGAGACTGTGCTCACATAGCAAGCTATTACACTCCAATAGATAAATCCATAATACTTCACTGACAGGTTAGAGATAGTGATGAGGCTCCATTTGCAGTGGGAGTTTATTTTAGTGGAAGATTTAAAGGTGAGTGATTTGAGATTTAAAGTTGACACAAGGACAGAGGCGGGAGTTCTGACCTGCAATGCCCCGAAAAGAACAAACAATGAAACTCTTAAACAGATTCTCCTTCCACCTTCTAGTTTCTCCTTCCCTGTTTACATCATGTCATACTTCTACAGAGGGTATTATGTAGGCATTATGCATTCATGGCAATATTCAGGTGTTAACAGTTTGCAGAACAAGCACTGAAGCACGAACATGCCATTAAATATTAAGCTATGAAATGCTTTTGTTTTCCGTCTGGCTGAGCGGCTAAATGGGTCAAAGGTGGAATTGTCATTACTATAATGTTTGTGACCAGTTCAAGGCTTACAATCTGAATACCACAAACAATGCCAGCAATGCAATGTATTTTTTTCAGCATGAGACAACTGCTCTGTAGAGTTTCATTTTCCGTAAATCCCCAAAGCAAGATGGAAAATTATTTATGAAAACAGCTCATCAAAACCACTTAATTTCATTGTTTCATCTGAGAGAAAACATCATATTTCTACCTCCCTGCCA